AAAATACACACAACAAAAACTCTCGCATATTAAAGCAATTTGCAATTTGCACGAAAAACATATATTCGCAGAGCAAAAATAAACTGAGACTCGACGATTTATTTGATTTTTCATATGCGATACGAGATGAGATATGTGTGTGTGTGTGTGTGTGTTTGTGTTTGTGTTTATATTGTAGCTACAACTCAACTGCAAATCGTACAAGCAAACAAGCCAACAACTTTCTGCTGTTGTTTTTATTGTTGTTGTTTCCCAATCGTCGTCTGACTTTTTCATGACTTTTAGTCGACTAGATTTCAACTTGCTAATATAGTAGCAACAGCAGCGCAGCGGCAGCGACAGAGGAGAAGATGGGAGCTGAAAAAAGCGCCTGGCCACTTGCACACACATACACACACACACACAAACACATTCACACACATGGCTCACTCACACACACGTATTTATTTTGCTGCGCTGCAGCCGAAGGCGCTGTTTGCAAAAGCCCTCCCTTTCCCACACACACACACACACACACACACACACACACACACACACACACACACACACACACTGCAAAAAAAAGCCGCTTAAAAATATGCATTGAAGCAAGCACAAAAAATCGAGAGAAAACAAAACTCTTGCCATAGAATGAATACGACGGACTAGAGTAGAACACAAAAAGAAAACTAGATAAAAAAAAAAAAGTTTCATTTCTTGCCATAGAACAAAAAGCACGCAAAACGAACGAGGAGAAAACGAGAAAAACAGAAACATGAAACAGAAGGGAGAACTTACCTATACCACGCTCAAACACAGTGTGCGACATGCAATTCACACACACACAGATACGAACAGAACAGAGCTGCATGCATATCAGGCGAAGAGAGATGAGGAGAGGAAAGCTAAAGTTAAAGTGGGATGGGGTGCGAGTCATACAACGCTGACAGCGCTGCTTGCAGTGACAGTGGCAATGCCAAAGGCAAAGGCAAACTGCATATTTCGAGGCCTACATCAACATTTTTCTGGGCGCACTCTTACACCGAGAGAGAGCGAGAGTAAAAAGTGCCATTGAGAGAGAGAGAGAGCGCGCCAGAGAGAGTAACGCTGCATTTGGGAGAGCAAGCTTGATGATGTTGCGGTTGCTGTGCAAGTTGTTTGGGTCTGCTGGCGTCGACTGCAGTTTCCCAGTTTGTGTTGTGCTCTCGTGGCCATAGCTATGGCTTCTGTCGCTGTCGCTGTCACTGTCGCTGCCTCTGCCGCCGTTGTAGCGTAGCTTTCGGACGTTTACATGGATTATGTGGGTATGTAGTGCGGCGCCGAGACCGAGAGACGACGACAACGACGACGAGCAGCAAACAAGCAAGCACAATAACACAATGAACTCCAAATGTGGGCAGAGGCCGGGCTCTTGGCTTTTGAATGGCTGGCTCTGTGCACTGTGAACAAGAGAGTGATAGAGGGAAGGAAAGAGAGAGAGAGTGGAAGGGAGAGAGGAGTGAAGGAATGGAGAGATGGATGGCTGTGATGTGTGTTGTTGGAGGCCGCTGGCTGCCTTTTGTGTTTTGTTATTGTACTTTGCTTGGCGTCATTTTTTTTATATATATTTTTTTTACTTTATATTTTTCATTTTTCTTGTTTTCCTTTTCTTTTCTTTTCTTTTTCATTTTTCCCATTGCGCGCCTTTGTTTTGTTACTTCATGGCGTTCTTTGGCGCTGTGTGCGAGTCGGAAAAATTGCTTTTCATAGGGAAAAAGCAAAAAAAAATGTTTAAAAAATGAAATGAAATGTGGCTCGCTGTGATTGTTGTTGTTGTAGTTGTTGTAGTTGTATGTGTGTTGTAAGTACATGAAATATAATAACTCATCACGCTGATGCGCTACGCTGGAGAGGCACCTCCAACCTGCGCTAATTGCAAGCGCAAAATGGCTGCCAATAACTAACTGCCGAAGCTTTTGCTATTCACGCTAGCGCCACCTGGCGCCAAAACATGAAATGTGTCCCATTTTAAATGCACTTCTACACACACATACATATACATAAACATATGTGCCTATGTGCATATGTATTAGTGAACACGATCCACAGTTTGCTCGTCATTTTGATATTAGATAGAGAATTGCATTGGTTGATTCCCACTTGGAGTTGTGGCACTTGAGTTGTATATAAATAGAATCCACTTTGTCCTGAGTATCAAGAGATAAATATTGTATAACATATAAAATATATATATATATATAAATATCATATATTCTTGTCAACTTTTTCGCATTTAAAGCCACCGAATCCTTGTCCTTGTCCATCTAAGAATCGATGCGTTTAAGTTTTCAATCGAATTCCATTTGGCAACTTGAGATTTAACAATAAGTTTAACTGTTTAACTGTAATTTTCATAAAAAAAAAAACAAAGTATAGCTCGTAAAAAGTGGCATTAGCTTAACGGCACTCAAGTGGCCATTAAGTCAACAACTACTTGTCCAAATACTTGATTTATTATGATTAGCACACTAAAGCTCTGATCTTAAGTTGTGTCGAACATGCTAAAGCATCTCAAACGAATTCCACACATGAAATAATCAGCTATCAGCCAGGCAAACATGGCGATTAAAATAAAGTTGCTTTTGTTGTAGTTGTTGTTGTTGTTGTAGATGTGGTTGTTGTTGTTGCATTGCTTAAACAACCCATGAAAATGCCAAACATTTCATGACGTTGTCAGCGATAATATTCAATGCCTGGGGAACTTGCCACACACAGTATGGGGCAGTGGAGTGGCAGGGCAGATGGGGGGGGGCTTGTAATGATTGGTTGGCTGTTTCTGTGTGGCTGGTCAGGTTTTTACTTTTTGTGCTGCTGCTGCTGCTGCTGTTGTTGTTGCAGCAGCAGTTGTTGTTGTTGTTGTTGCTACACACTTTTTCTTTGCCGCAACAGCAATTTACTGCATTTTTTCATTTTACCATGCACACGCTTGCAACGCACACACACACACACACACAGACACACAAATATATATATGTGTGTGTGTGCTTGCCACACGTTGCAGTGAAAATTTGCAGTCAAGTTGGCGTCGTTGCCGCTGAAGCAGACGAAGTTTGCATGACGCCGCACTTTATTTATTTCATTTTATTTAGCGCGAAGTTTGTTCCCCCTCCCCACTCTACTCCTGCCCCTGCCTCTCTCCTCTGCTTGTTCTTGTTGTTGTTGTTGTTGTTGGTTTTGCTGTGTGGCAGTGAAATTGAAACGCCATCGGAGGGAAAGTGGGCAGTGGCAGTGGCAGAGCCTGTTTCCGTGGCAGTGGCAGTGGAACAAGCGCAGCCAGCACGACGACGACGACGACGACGACGACTGGGCGTATGCGCAATACAGTGCACACTCGCTAACACGAACAGCTATAGAAATTAACATAAACTGCTTAGGCTTGGAATAAGTCTACTTTTTAAAATGAAAAAATATCGATTTATTTATTTTTTAATTATAAACAAAGCTGAGTTGAGCGATGCGTTGCACTTGTTAGCGAGTTACCACTGTGCTGCATTGGAACAGCAGCAGGTGCAGCTGAAAAGCTGCACAGAAAAACGAAAGAAACTGTGTTATGCCGACAATGCACCGCAATGTTGCACTCCATCAACTGTCTGTGTGTGTGTGTGTGTGTGTGTGTTGCAAGTGTCTGTGTGTGTGTGTGGGGTGCAGTGCCTGGGGAGGGGTGTGCTGTGCAAAGCTTTGGCACTTGTGGCCAAGTGTTTTGGTGCCTGGGCTTTGGCTTCTTAGTGAAGTGTCTTTGCTGCTAAGCTGGTTGCCTGCCTGCTGCCTGCTGCCTGCCTGCCTGCTGCCTGTCTTCTATAGTTGCAACAACGCCTCTTTGTCGTATCTTTTTATCTACTTAGGGCGCGCCTCCAACTGCCACACCCATTCAGGCCATCCATCCATCAACATGCCCGATTATTACTGTCTTTACACAAACCACAAACAACATCATGCACTTGATATGCGTTTTTTTTATTATTTTGTCGCATGCCTCACTCACTCTCTCTCTCTCTCTCTCGCTCTGTCTTTCACTCTCCCCTCTCTGTGGCGCATGTGTCTGTGTCTGTGTCTTAATGTGTGCCCTGTGAACGTGACTATTTCTATAATGTGTCTGAGCCTCGGAGTCTGAAGGGCTCCACAGTTTCCTGTTAACATGAAAGCATAATCGATACGGCTCGAGTCAAGTGCTTTAAGCCAAAAAAAAAAGAAGAAGAATGTCCAGGAATAATATATATTTGCCATATATATAAGAACTAAATATTTACACGCCTATATTAAGTAGTGCTCTTTTTGGGCTTGCATCCACATACGATCCACAGAGATCCACATAGAATTGCCAGATATTTTTTATATATTTTATCTCAATTTATTTTCTCTGTGCCAAAGTGAGTAGTTATCGAGTGTATCGAGTTGATACCAATTCCATCAGCTCAAAGTGACAAACTCTGTTTTCATCCATTTTTCACATTTGCGAATTTTGTTTTTTTTTTTTCAAACTTTGTCGATTTTTATCGTTTTTTCTTTTTGGCTTGAGGATTTTTTCTGTTTTTTTTTTTGTGTTCATCGAGCGCGATTCTTTTTTTTGTATTCGACTTTGAGGCAAACGTTAATTGAATTTTAAATTTTTCGTGTTTGTATTTTCAGCTTAGAGACCCCGTTTGCAGATACAGATACAGATACATATATATATATATATATATATCTATACATGTTCAACATGTGACAGTTCAGTTGTGGAGAGCATTTGTCTCTGCAATGTTTTCTTACTATTTTTCTATACGCCTATGCAAATTTTGCACACACCGAAATCAAAATTTATTTATTTGGGTCTAATGTTTTATGTAAGGCAACAACAACAACAACAACAATAGCAATACAACAACAACAACTACAAGACTCAATTACGATTACTATTCAAAAATTCACGGAAATCGTAAATAAAAAGAAATCAAGAAAATTAAATTTAAATTGCAATTTTTGCATCTATTTTTTTTTTACAGGTCGCGATGATCTCTCGCCCTCGAGCAGCCTCAACGGCTACTCCGTCAACGAGGGCTGCGATGCGAAGAAGAGCAAGAAGGGTCCAGCGCCCCGGGTGCAGGAGGAGCTCTGCCTCGTCTGCGGAGATCGGGCGTCGGGCTATCATTACAATGCGCTGACCTGCGAGGGCTGCAAGGGCTTCTTTCGGCGCAGCGTCACCAAGAATGCGCACTACTGTTGCAAGTTTGGGCGTGCCTGTGAGATGGACATGTACATGCGACGCAAGTGCCAGGAGTGCCGCCTGAAGAAGTGCCTCGCCGTTGGCATGCGGCCCGAGTGCGTTGTCCCAGAGAATCAGTGTGCGATGAAGCGGCGCGAGAAGAAGGCCCAAAAGGAGAAGGACAAGGTCACCAGTTCGCCCAGTTCACAGCATGGCGGTGCGGGCGGCGGCGGTGGTGGCGGTGGCGGTGGCGGCATAGCCGGTGGTGGTGCGTGTGCCAACAGTGTCGGCCTCCATGGCACCCATGACTACGTCAAGAAGGAGATACTGGACCTCATGACGTGCGAGCCGCCGCAGCATGCCACAATTCCGGTAGGTCAACAATCATTCTAACAAACAACAATTGAATATAATTGAAATGAACACATTTCTCTTTGCAGCTACTACCTGATGATATTTTGGCCGAGTGTCAAGCGCGCAATATACCTCCATTAACGTTCAATCAGTTGGCCGTTATATATAAATTAATTTGGTATCAGGATGGCTACGAGCAGCCATCCGAAGAGGATCTCAAGCGTATTATGGTAAGGTCACAGACATTGATATACACAACTGGGCAGTAAAATAGGTGTGAAATTGTTGAATAAATTGAATATCATCTTCTGAAAGTTGCAACAAATGAATGCAACTTTTGTTTTGCTCTTGATTTGATTTTCAAAAAGTTCGATTTGTTTATTTTCATTACAACAAAAGCTTAACTGAGCTATTAAATAATATTGAAAGGGCCAAGGACATCACTGCAGGGCTGAGGATATAAGACCTGTGCCTAAGCTCTAAGCAAGTTAGAACCATGGGAAAGAAGAGCCTTAGGATACTTACCGGTCTATTGACAGGACACTGTAGACCAAGAAGTCACCTAACTAAGCTAGGAAAGAGCCGTGGAATCCTCGATGCACATCCTAGCAGAATGTGTCGCCATAACTAGAAGATGATGCAGCATCCTAGGGATGCATGTTATGAATGTTTCAGAGGCATAGAAGACCTCAACCCAACAAAGATCCACACATTCGTGCGGGAATTGGGGATGATGGAAGATAATCGAGTAGGTCGCGGTGCAATCCCCCATAATAATATTAAGCTCTAAGATCAAGGAAAAGAAATGCATAGCTACATCAACTGGAAGGTCTTAGAACTTCTTGACAAATGCTAAGAGCAATCAGAGGCAAGTAGGATTCAAGAAAACTTCGATCAGCCAACGATAATCGTCTGGTGATAATGACAAATGTTTATCCCGATATTGAGAATGCTATAGAGCCTCATCAAGTGCTGGACTGCTAGCAGAATATGCAGATTTCATTTATTATTTATTTTACTCCATTTAAAATGAACTACAACAACTGCAACATGCTTGCCACCAAGTTATTGTCTTGCCACCCATTTTACTGCCGAGGTCAATCTCAAGTTTAGCTTGAGTCTCGTTCTTGAATAGTCTTCACTTATTAATCGATATTGGATTATTGTGTTGTTCCACAGAGTCAACCGGACGAGCATGAGAGTCAGACGGATGTCAGTTTTAGGCACATCACCGAGATAACCATACTCACAGTGCAGTTGATTGTGGAGTTTGCGAAAGGATTACCAGCGTTTACAAAGATACCCCAAGAGGATCAGATCACGTTACTCAAGGTGAGTATTGTATAGGCATATAAATCGAATCGAATTAATATTTATATATCTGTATTAATTAGGCCTGCTCATCGGAAGTGATGATGTTGAGAATGGCCAGACGCTACGATCACACCTCGGACTCGATATACTTTGCGAACAATCGATCCTATACACGGGACTCGTACAAAATGGCCGGCATGGCGGATAACATTGAGGATCTGTTGCACTTCTGCCGACAGATGTTCGCGATGAAGGTGGACAATGTGGAATATGCGCTACTCACTGCCATTGTGATCTTCTCGGATCGGCCGGGCCTCGAGAAGGCCCAGCTGGTCGAAGCGATACAGAGCTATTACATCGACACGCTACGCATTTATATACTCAATCGCCACTGCGGCAACTCGATGAGTCTCGTCTTCTACGCCAAACTGCTATCGATACTCACCGAGCTGCGAACGCTGGGCAATCAGAATGCCGAGATGTGTTTCTCGCTCAAGCTCAAGAATCGCAAGCTGCCCAAGTTTCTTGAGGAGATCTGGGATGTGCACGCCGTGCCGCCGTCAGTGCAATTGCATCTTCAGGCCCAGCAGGACGAGCATGATCGAATCCTACGAGCCGAGCGTATGCGTGGTGCTGTCGGTGGTGCAATTGCCGCCGGACTCGATGCAGACTCGGCGTCCACATCTTCACAGGCCGCTCTGGCGGCGGCCGCCCAACAGCAGCAACATCATCAGCAGCAACAGCATCAACAGCTCCACACGTTGCCCAGTCATACAGCAGGTGCAGGTGCTGGTGGTGGTGGTGCGGGTTCCGTATCAGCCGTAAGCACCAGCAGCGGCTATATTGGTGGCGGTGGTGCAATGGGCCCAAATACAGCGGCGGCCAGTAGCTCCACCAGCATCACAGCAGCGGTGCCAGCCAGCTCGACGACGCCATCAACGGTGGCCAACGGCAGTGTTGGGGCTGGCGGAGTGGGTGGTGCAGGTGGAGGTGTAGGAGGAGCAGGAGGGCGTAATGCAGATGTCAGCATGTATGCGAACACACAGACAGCGATGGCCTTGATGGGTGTCCCACTAAAAACGGAGCATTCAACAACGAGCAGCGCATAGCAGCCCCTGCTTGTCGAGGGAGTCGCTCTGCTGCTCATGGAATAGAATTCAAATTCAGAAACAGGCAGCTGTAAACACACACACACACAAACACACATTCACACACACACACATACACACACACATACACACGCATACACACGCATGTAAGCAGAGAAAACTGTACCGTTATTCACTTGGTTTCTTGTAAGTTCAAAGCAAAACTGTAACTGTACAATTTTGCATATTTCAAATAGTTGGATTGGATTGGTTTTGTTTGTTTTTCTTTTTTCTATTTTTCTTTTTCTGGTTTTCTTGTCGGATTTTGCGCAAGCTATGCAAAAATTTCGCGCGTGTGGATTTAATAAACAAGTGCGTAACGGCACAGTGGCAATGCTTAATTATACAATTTATATATACGCCATATGCATATACATATATATATATATGTGGATAAATATATGTATGTGTGTGTTTGTATATATAAATTGGCAAAAGTCGCATCTGGCAGATAACAATTTTGAGTAAGCGTAAAATGCAGTTATTTAGTGTTAAGTCTGCAAATATTAGTTGTAAGCCATTATGAATATATATATATACAACAAATTATATATATTACTATACACTCACACACACACACACACACCTACACACACACACATTTAAAACTATATATAACAAATTCTTAACTTAAAACAGAAAGCATGCTTAAATTGAAAGAAAAAAAAAACAACAAACAGAAAATAAAACATAAAATTGGTCAAAGCAAGCAAAAGGGGGGCGTAGAATTGAAGCAGTTATAATAACAAACAATAACATAGCATACCTTATATATATATATATATGTATATAGATATATATATATACATATAAATCTAAAGAAGTTGTATTAAAATTCTTTCGTTTTGTTTAATGAGCCGAAGTTAGAAACTGCTAAATTCAACACCTGTCAAAACTGTCATGCAGTAAACAGAAGAGAATCAAGATTGTTTATATTTTAAAAATATATAAAAAATACAAGCCTAATATTAAATGTAATAATTATAACAAATAAAACAACAACAACAACAAGCATGTGTATAATATCTAAATAAGTAACTGTACATCTAATTCAAAAGCAGCGAGTAAATCTGATTAAAAATACCTTGGAACTATAAACAAACAACAAATAATAAATAATAAATAATAACAATTAATTTAAGTTATGTATATTTCGCAACAAAAACCAACTCTAAACAAAAAAAAAAAAAAAACAAAAAAAAAAACTAAATCTAAAAAAAAAACACGCAAAACTTGGACTGATTTTATAAATATTTTTTTAATCATATTAACTGAGAAGAAAACAAAAACAACTGTATAACAAAACAAAACAAAACAAAAAAAAAACACACACAAAAAAAAAACAAAATGTTTAACAATTGAAAAGAAAAAACGACATAAAAATTTGTTTAATTATGCCCTCCTTATATTTTTCTTACTAACATAAAATGAGAATTGAACATTTTTAGGCGCCGTCGTTTTTTATACAATTCATATACATTTTTGCAGTTTATTTTTGTCTACATCTTCTTTACAAACAATTGGCGAAATTGTAAAAAAATTTAAACAAAAAAAAGTGATTGGAGTTTTACTCAAAAAATAAAAGGCATTAACGGTATTAATTAATTAAAACAAAAAACGCAACATAAACAAAAACAAAAATTCAATGCACACATTTGCTGGCAAAAAAACAAAAATCAAAAAACAAAAAACAAAAGTTTCAATCACTTGACATGCACTCACCAACACCAACACACCCCACACACACACCCCACACACACACCACACATGCATACACACACCAAAAGACTTCAATATTAATTTATATAAAAAACAAATTTAATTCAAAATTTATACATATTTGTAAAGTGTAGCAATTAAATTAAAAACTATTTGGCATAATCAAAATTTTGTTTAAAAACAAAAAAAAAAAAAAAAAAAACAACCAACCAACGTGCAAATTACATAATTTTGGCAATTTATTTCTTTATTTGGAATTTATGTTATGCAATTGAATTAATTTTTTTTTTGATAAGTTCTTTCTTTTGTTTTTGCTGCTTTTGCTTTTTAACCTGTAAAAACGAGAAAGTAAACTAAAAAAGAAAAAACAAATTGTTGGCCTTATTTTTACTTAAATCAAATTTATTCTAATTTTAGTAGCGATTTGTAAAATACGACAAAATAAAAGAGCTAAAACAAAATATGTAAAGTTATGTAAAGTAAACAAATCTTTTTTAATTGTGTAAAAAGTGGCAGAGATATTTTTTGAAATGTGCAATTTTTTTATTTTTACTACTATTATTAAATAATTATGCTAATTGAATATATATAATTTTCACCTACACATATACATACAGTAAACACACACACACACACACACACACACACGCATACTGATACATAAACATTTAAGTAAATTTAATTTATAACGATTGAATTTTTTACACAGCAATTGAAATCATTGAAAATAGTTAAACAAATATCTAAAATTAATGTATAATTAGAAATTAAATGCTTTAAAAATTCAATTATTTGTAAACTGCACTTTAAAATGAAAGCAAAAACAAAAACAAAAATACAGTGAATAATTTAATTATAAAATAATTAATACCAGCAAACCTATTAGTGGAAGAAATCCCTGAAAATAAAAATAAAACAACTCACTCTTAAGTTTCTTTATTATACATATACATTTGATTTAAAGCTTAAGTTTTTTTAGTATGCATAAAAAGCGTTTAATTATTATACATAATTTGTTTTGTAGTTTTACTATAATGTAAAAAACCCACAACAACAAAATCTATCGTAATATAAATAATTTTTACTATTTTACGTAAATGCAAAAATGGAAAATGCAACAACAAAACAAAAATATACAAAAATACACACAATATATATTGAAAATATGTTGAACGAAAAAAAACAAGCATAAACAGAAATGTGTTTTTATTTGATTTGATTTTCTATTTCACAAATTTCATTACACAATTTGATTTATCCATGAAATAATTGGTAAACAGAGTGCGACATGTGAGCAAAGACTCGTTAGTGTAAGGATCGATAGATCGATTAATCGATAGGTCGATAAATTGCATGCAGAACTTGAATAACATTTTTGCATATGCGAAGCAAACGGCTGTGAAGTTGGCTTTTCACTGAGTGTTGTTATAACAAATTATAATGAAACCGATATTGGAAAGCAAGCTAAGAAAACTAAGTATGAAACATTATTATTTCGATAGATTGCCACAACAAATTGATGGAAAAGTATTGCGAAACAGCTTGGGTCAACCAAATGGAAATCGACATTAGTTCTTTTTGTTGTAGTCCAAGTTTTAGTTTTGCCAAATTGGAAAAGTAGCAAACAAAAAAATAAACAAAAAAACAAACGAGAAATGATTTTAAAATGGGTGAATCTCGAGAGTCAAGCCCAAAAAAAATAATTGAAACATAAGACGCGCTATAAAATAGCTTTAGATGATACAAAATGATTTGCTTATAACCTTTTTAATAATTAACGAAAACTAAAACTAATACAAAACATTTATAAAAGGTACGGTCAAGTGTGAATTAAATATATAAGTTAAGCAGCATAAACTAATCTAATAAAAACGAAAAATACATTATAAAATTAAACTCCTCGCGCCCTCGCTAATAATATTTCCTTAAACTTTGATAATACCAAACTACTTATTAACAAAACAAAAACCAAAACAAAAAAACCAACCCTATACCTAAGCCAACCTGTAAATATGTATGTATATGTAACTCTCGCTCTATATAAAGAAGCATTATGACAAGCAACAAATACGAAACATACAAAAAAGCAACCTGACAAAATTATAATGATGAACATAAGGTATAAAGTAAAGTAAAGTAAAGTAACACAATTTGTTGAGATATCCATTCATATAATATGACTAACAAAGCATAAGAACAAATGAAATGAAAAACACAAATCGTTATGTAGATTTTTGAAATTCATAAAACGAAACCAAAACCAAAAAAAAAAAAAAAAAACCAAAAACAAAAAAAGATCAAGAACTTTATTTAATTTTTATGCCTGTTTTCTGTTACGTGTAACTTGAATAACTTGTTTTGCCCATAACTACTTACAATACCTAATTACCCCTAGAGGAAGATATGTACTACGATCCGTAAATGAGAAGGAATGAGAAAATAAAAACCCATATTGAGCACACAGCTAAGCCTAATCCTTAAAACAAACAAAAAAAGAAAAAAAAAAAGAGAAAAGAAATACAAAATACAAAATAAGAAGCAAAATTATACGAGAGTTTTGTGTTCAACTTGTAGATATTGATCCTGAATTGAAAACTACCTCAAACGAAACATTTAAATGAAACACGATTGAAAGGTTTTTGAGCATTAATAATAAACGTAACTACAAGCGAGACCTTAGCAGCAGCGCTAACCACAAATATACATACATTTAAAATTACTCACATACAATATGAACAATTCTTTTGGTTTCCAAAATTCCTTACCAAATTCAAAGCCCGATTGAATCAGTTCGAAATATGATGGAAAATACATACTCCTTACGCCTTTTTAGAGGTACCTGTTTTGCAAATCATAAAAAAGAAGAAACCTAAAGCACAATTCATATTTTCCATGAAAGAAATAAAAACAGAGTATTAAAAATCTACAACATGATCTGTTAAGATGGCAGATATGACAGAAAATTAATGATGCGAATCTCGAATCTTTTTGTTTTGTTTTCTTCTTTATATTGAGCTTGTAAACCTATCGAATTAAATCACAAAATATATTTAAATAAATTGCTTCTCCAATCACAAAGCTAAAGCGCTAAGCAAATAAAATTTTAAGTTGTGTAGATTTCTCACTGCCAAATTTGACAAAAACATATAACAATAATAATTAAAAATTATATAATCATACAAATTTACGTTTATTATTACATACAATTTGTGCAGGCATTTTCATTATTATTTTTTAACTTAGCCATAATGTCGAAAAATGTCAATATGTCAAATTTCATTTGCAATGTGTAGCAATCAGTAAAAATACGAGTAAATAATTATCTACAATATATAGAAATATTAAAAACAAAACAAAAAAAAAAAAACAAATACGAGTACAGTTCAAGAAGTCTACATAGATTCTACGAGTAAAAATACTTACAATTAAAGAAATACAAAAAAATATACGAGTATGCAAAAAACAACGCACATTTTTTCAAATGCAGTTAGCAGGAAAAATATATATACCGGAAAAATACAACTTAAAACTGAATTGATGGCATTTTAGTGTTACGAAATACAAAACAAAAATATATTAATATATTCAATTACATATTCTAAATGAAAAGCAGACAGAACACAAAAAATACGTAATAGAAATGAGAACTGGCAAGTTTTTTAAATTAAAAAAAAAAGATAATCTGCATTTGATAAAAAATACACATTTTTCTTACCCATTATCATTTGGCACCGCAAATTTGGGGTTGAACTTGAGTCACTTTAGGGTTTTTTTTATTTGGATTTAGAAGCTGCACTGCCAAAAACTTTAAGTTTTATCTTAGCTCTAATTTAAGGCGGCTTGTAATTTTAATTTTCAAAGAACCTGCTTAAAAAGAACTTTTTTCATTTTGAACGATTTAAAACTGTTTTCGTCTCTTAAAGCCGTATTTAATTAAAATGAGAGAGATGTAGAGATTGTTAGCATTTAAACCGAAGAAACAATTCAATATGCATACTTAATTTGTATTATTATTATTATTACTATATATTATTATTAACAATCGTATAAAATATTTGGTATACTAACTCAAGGGGTTAGCTTGTTGGTTTTTTTGAGAACTTAAGGTGCATTGATCTATCTACATAGACATAAACTTACTTATACATATACTTAAACTAACTTATCTATTAGTAAGTGCATCTATTAAACTGACATTTTATTTTCAAATACTTTCATACAAATTGCTAATCAGAAACAGAAACACACTTGAATTCTAATAACAAAAAAAGGAAAAAACCCAAAAAAAAAAATAGAAAAAAAGCAAAACTTTTATACTACGAGTATAACTTGACTTAAGTTTGAGAAAAAAGTATATATACATCTATATGTATATATATATATATACATACATGAACAGATACATGTACAAGTTAATGTAATTTGCTATTTACGTGTAAACTTTTGGGGCGAACGAGTGGACAGCGCATTAAACTACAACTGATTAATATGCCAGTCTATGGGCCGCATATATAATTACATTTTTGAAATTAATTACATACATAACAAGAACAACAACAGATCTATATAGGATTAGACTAACACACATACACTTTAAATAGTTTTAAAACTAAGCTGTACATATACGTATGAAAATAATAATAACAACAAAAGTCTATATATATACGATATATATGAAACGTGTAATAAAAATAAAAAATATATATTTAAAATATGTTCAACGGATTTGATGTTCGCTTTGTCATTGATATGATTTGAATTAAATATTCGTTACTCCTTATCGATCTATCGATTTGAGATACTGAGCGATATTTTTCGCTTGGCAACATTTTAACAGGGTGGCAGCACTGCCCGAATCGAGGTATCGATAAAAATACTATTGCCATATCTCCAACCTATTTCGGACGCCGCACTGCAAGAAAAATATAATAAAAAGAGAAATAATTTAAGCAAAAAGGTGAGTGAGTGTGCAATATGGAGACCATTTAGGCTGGAGCACAGACAATAAATGTTGGCAACGTGTGTTTAGCCAATAACTAATTGCAAATTGGCGCATTAACAACACGTAAGCGTTTTTTCGCACGGCAAGATGGCGGCATTCGCTGTTCTATAAAAAAGTAAAACAAGCAAGCAAAGTTTGCATCTATTGTTGCTGGCCCAAATATTATTCGCATGAATGAAGAGTGATTAGTGTACTAGTCGGCAGCACATAAGCCATACTCCAAGCTAATTGCAATAATCGTCGAGAGCCTCTTTGAGGTTATGTCTGACGGTGGAGGCGCCAAAAGTTCAACTTTCTCTGGACAACCATTACTAAGCAATTAACAACTATTTGCAGACAACAGCAAAAAGAACAACCACCATTAATGGCGGAATCCGATGATGAATACGATCGCAAGCGACGCGACAAATTTCGCGGCGAACGCGACAGCTACAGGCCCGAACGCCGGGACGACCGTCGACCAATGGGCGGCGGAGCTGGCAACGCCCGCGATGAGTGGGCCGAGCGGTAAGTGGAGTATTGGAGTAGTGAGTGCATCCACTTGGGCATCATTAATGTGCAATGGCTGTGCTCCATTTTCAGGAATCCATTTCGCGGCAGTGCTGCGGCAGGCGGTGGTGGAGGTGGTGGCGGCGTCGGCGGTGGCGGTGGGGCTCGTCATCGGCCGGATTACAGTGACTATCGGGGATCGGGTCCACGGCCGCGCTACGGCTCCCCGGGACGTGAGATGCCGCCGGCGAAACGCATGCGACCTGACTGGGGTGACGGCGAAATGCGCGCCAATCCGCGTTTTGGTAAGGCTTATGGAAGTAAGGAAAACATTCAGTAACCATCTTCAATTTGTAGTTGATAGTTGAAATACCCTTGTAGAGATATGGCAGATTAATTCATTCAACAATATTTATACATTGTTGGCGTATTTCGTTTGTACTTTAGAATGCCCTCTGCAGGGGTTTTTTACATTAAGACCCAACCAATACTTAAATCTGTGTTCTAATCATAATCCTGTTGCAGGCTACGATCCGTACCTGGTGCAAGCATGGAACGATCACTATCAATCACTGCACTCGGCTTACTCGCACTCGGGACATGCGCCGTCTGCACGTGAACCGCCGCCGAGCGGGATCAGCAATAGCGACACACAAACGCAGCCGGCAATGCTGACGCTGAAACAGTTCCTGGACACACAGGACGAGAACATATCCGACTCGGAGGTGATGCGCAAATACACTGAATACAAGACGGACTTTAAGCGGCAGCAGCTGAACGAGTTCTTTGTGGCGCACAAGGACGAGGAATGGTGAGTAGCAAACCACGAACAACAAGACCAAAGAGTCAAGCACCAAGAACCATTAGAGCATCAGCAGCGATGACGATAGAAGAGTATCAGCAGCGAGACGCTCTCTTAACTCATTGTACTAACTATTTATTCATCTGACTGTTTTTTTGTTGTTTGTTTCTCTATGAATCTAATTGCAATTCTCTCTCAGTGCGACTGCAAATCACAAATCACCAAAAATCAAATACCAAATACCACAAAACAAACAAAATCATAACCCTTTTGTATATTTATTATTAAGTTTTTCTCTGCAGCTTTATATGGGTTTTGTGGCGCTCTTGCGAACCTAGAGGCAGAGCCAGAGACGAGACACTGATTCAGCCTCTCAGCCTCTCTGTCTCAATATATCCAATACAAAACATAACTTAAAATTTAAATTACCCGGCGAGCAATGCCGTGGGTGTGTTTATATTTTTGAAACCGCGATCTATTTAAATTCGTTGCGAGCAAATTGCCTAAATATACCTAAAAAAAATATATATATATACATAAAGCGTGTATATATAGAACGTATGCATATCACGCAAACACATATGTATACACATTAATATGAATGCGCTTGCAAAGGTAAGACTTTGGGTAATACTCTTATCGTACATTGCAAACTGATAAACCTAAAAACCAAAAAAAAGAAAGAAAAAAGACAAAAAAAAAATATCAAATTTCAATGAAAAAATATATATATTTTTGTAAACCACTAATCAAATACTCGATTGATGTCCATAAGCGTCGCATCCTCTGGACGGAATCTATCTACATACAATATATATATATGTCATATATAGTCAACCAACTTGCCAGCCGTACTTTTTTTCTTCATTAAATCATACATTTGTTGTATATCATATACCTTTTGCCAAAGCTCGATATTAATTAAGCTGCATTGTGTCTTTCGCAGGTTCAAGAACAAATATCATCCCGAGGACAGTGTGCGACGCAGCGACGAACAGCGCGGCTTTCTCAAGGTAAAACATTAAAAAGTTTTAATTCAGTTTCAAGAGTTACTCATTGATGTGTTCTTTACGTCTTGCAGAGACGCACGGATGTATTTCTAGAGCTGCTCAATAATGGCACCATTAGCAATGTCAAAGTGGACTCCTCGCAGGCGGATGCATTGGTGCGTGTCCTGGACACGTGTGTGATCAAACTGGAAGGCGGCACTGATGAAGATCTAAAGATACTCGACGAGAAGCCCAAGGATCCGGCGCCTGTCTACGAGCGCAGGTCGGAGAGATCGGAAAGGTCGGAAGCGACTGAATCGGTGGTTGTAACCAAGCGAGAACCTGAGAGTCCCAAGCACCAGACAAAATCGGAGAAAGATGATGATGATTTGCCCGAGGTTGAGTCGCCGCAACGCAAGAATGTGCGGCCAGTTAATTCCGACGATGAGGACTGGGATGACGACGAGGAGATGCCAGCTGCCAAGAGCGAGCAGCAATCGGAGCTGGCGGCAGAGAAGCCTGCCAAGCAGTTGAACGATGAGGAATCAATGCAAGCCAATATCGATAAGAATCAAAAGAAGTCAAAGAAACGGAAACGCACCAGCAGCGACGATGAGAGCTCGTCATCCTCCAGCTCTGAATCGGACTCCGATTCGGATGACGAGAAGCTGATAGAGAAATACGATGTGGAGGAGGGACTACGTGCCGATCAAAAGGCGGAAGCAGAAAAAGACAAGGAGGAGGAGGAGGAGAGAGCGGCAACGGCAGCAGCCAAAGCCAAACAACTGCCGCCCGACAGTCCCACACCCGATGAGGATGTCGACGCGGCTGCCGTGGAGGAGCAGAAGAACGAGGTTGTAGCCATCAAGACCGAAGTCAACGATGAGGAGTCGCAGAAAACGGAGCAGCCAGCAGCGGAGGAAGAGAAGTCCGAGCAGCCAAAAGATGACCCCGAAGCATCCTCAAAGAATGGCGAAGAGAATGAGGAGGAGAAAGCAGAAAAAAGCGAAGCAGATACTGCAACAACAAAGGCAGCAGCAGCGGCGGCGGATGATGATGCAATGACTGAGACAATCGATGTGGACAAACTGAAGGATTCATTGAAGCCACGCGCTTTGCATCGCACCTCATCCATATTTCTGCGCAACTTGGCGCCCTCCATAACCAAGGCAGAGATCGAGACGATCTGCACACGCTTCAGCGGCTATTTGCGCGTGGCCATCGCCGATCCGCTGGTGGAGCGTCGCTGGTATCGTCGCGGCTGGATCACCTTTACGCGCGACGTGAACATCAAGGAGATCTGCTGGAGCCTGAACAATCAGCGGCTGCGTGACTGCGAAATGGGCGCCATTGTCAATCGGGATCTGAGCCGGCGTGTTCGCCCTGCCAATGGGATTACGGCGCACAAGCAGATCGTGCGCTCCGATATTAAACTGTGTGCCAAGATTGCCATGAATCTGGACGAGCGCTTTAAGCTGTGGAGTGAAGTGGATAATGCGGATAATGCGGAGCTAAATCCGGAGGAGCTCAAGGAGGCAACCAATGGCAGCGGCAGCTATGGTTTCAATTCCAAGAATCCGGTGCTGCAAAACATAACAGATTACCTCATCGAAGAGGCCTCCGCCGAGGAGGAGGAACTACTCGGCCTGGCCGGCGATAGCAAGGATGGCGAGGGTGAGCCCATTGAGCGGGACGAGCCGCTGATACAAGTGCTCGATCGTCTGGTGCTCTATTTGCGTGTTGTGCACTCGGTGGACTACTACAATCACTGCGAGTACCCATACGAGGATGAGATGCCCAATCGCTGTGGCATCATCCATGCACGTGGTCCCGCCCCCATGCGTGTGACCAGCAACGATGTACAGGAGTATATCAAATCCTACGAGGGCAAACTGCAACAGTTCTTGGCCAAGACGGTGCAGTTGAGCGATGAGAATATCAAAGAGCTCGGCGCCAAGAATCCCGAAAAGGAAGTCGAAAAATTTGTGCAGGCCAACACACAGGAGCTGGCCAAGGATAAGTGGCTGTGCCCGCTCTCCGGCAAGAAGTTCAAGGGGCCCGAATTCATACGCAAACACATATTCAACAAGCACGAGGAGAAGGTGGACGAGGTGCGCAAGGAGGTGCAATATTTCAACAATTATTTGCGTGATCCCAAGCGGCCGCAGCTGCCCGAGCATCCTGGCAGCTCCAAGCGCACCGAATCCGAATCGGGACGTGGCTCGGGAGGGTGAGTTTTGCATTGTGCTAGTGTATATTGTATTTATTATATTAATCATATATATGTTTGCATAGATATCGGCCGCCCATGTATCCCCCCTTCTCTGCCATGCCATATGGCTTTGCCCCGCCGATGATGGGAGGCGGTGGTCGAGGTGGACGCAATTTTCCCCAGGCTCGCAGGTCAGTTGCACAACACACTTGAAATTTCCGTCTAAACGTTAGTCTTAAGTGTGTGAGGGATATCAGCGTTAAAGTGGCCGCTGGGCTTAGCTCCTGCTTTTTAATAGAAGTCTTAATTTCTAACCATTTCTGTCCGACAAACAATGAAACGTTATACGAAAGGATTCACGCCTCTTGCTTCTTGCCTTTTCTTTTTAACGATACAGAATATTCTCAAAAAACATTTATTACTTCACAAAAATACATGAAAAACAAATCAATTGTTACTAAAGTTTTTGTTAAACTTTAAATTCGTTTTAAAATATTTATTTATTATTTAAGCATAGCTTTTGCCTTAACATTTTTATTACATGGGCTAGAAAGATTTGTTATAATTAGGAAAATGGAAAACCTATTTGTGCCACTTTTCAAAGATTTGTTTCTCTTGTGAGCAAAAGCAGACAAGGAGTTTTCCTGACAGAAAATTAGAAACTTAGTGTACTTGTCTCAATTTCTATATACTTTCTATATTTTGCTATCATTTTTTGTTATTGTTGTTGTTGGTCTTAACTCGAAATTTGTCACAACTTTCTTGTGTCGCAAATATTTTGCAGAGAAATGCCTGTGGAACACCAACGCCGGCTTATCGGTTACCATGATTTGGATGCGCCCGTTAATTCCGATATGTTTGACTAATTAACGAATTGATTAGCATTAAAAAAAAACAGCAGTTAACCACACAGATAACGCAATACAATAAAGTTTTCGAGCTCAGTCCATAAAAGCAATTCAAGCAATGCCAGGCTAAAAAGGGAATTACAAAACTTATATATATATACACATCTTATATAAACTATTCCTTAAATGAAATTGTTATACCTTTTCTTTTTTGTACAATATGGCGATTGTATTTTGAAAAAAGAAAATGAAAAAAAAACAACGGAGAGCGAATATTACATTTTCATATACACAAGTCTTAAAAAAATGTCAAAATTTATGTCAATTGTTAAGCTCACAATTATTAAATTTGAAAACCAGCCAACTTGCGACGAATTTTAAATAAATGTTTTTTTTTTTACTACATATGTATAAGATTTGTGTGATTTATTCCAAACTCTAAACAACATTCATTCTTGTTGCTTACAGACCCGGTGGTTTTGATTATCGCGCCAGATCACACTACCGGGACTTGGACGCGCCGCAAGAGCCGTACTAAATAATAATAATTATAAATAAAAGAAAATAAATAAAAAACACCCCACACCATAGACTACAATAAACACCGTTAGTTAATACATAATTACAATTCACACATTGAAGAAATATGATTACCACAAGAGATTTTTAAAGCCATTTTATAAACAATCATTAACTAAATTATTTAAAACAAACAACATCTTTCATTATAACAAATTTTGGTGTATGCCAATTGTTTTGTATTGCTTGAACAAAATGAAACGAAATGAAAACTTAATAAAAATGGGTTATCAACATGACATTTGGATTTTAATGCTAAGATGGAAGCTAAGTGGATGTGTTGTGTCTGTGATATGATTCTTAAATAATATCCCACAAGATCTATTTATCTGGTATGTATAAATCCTTGCTAAACTGTATTATCATAAGAAAAGATTTAAAATCCACCTCACAAGAAAGAAGGCCAGGCAACAGAGGAGGAACTGCAACAGCCGATGAAGTACGAGAAAGCTGTAAAGAAATAAATAAAAATACTAAAAGAAAAGTGATGATCTTCAATTTTCATTGCTAACTTACCGCCTTGCTTTCCTGCGACCACGCTCGAAGGACTCCTCGGTCGGCTCCTCCTTGCTCAGATAGATTCGTATGCCGTACAACAAGCGATCAAAGTAGCTGCTCCAATCGAGGGATTTCACATCGAATTCAAAGAGCTGTTGATCGGCTGCTGACATGCTCGCCCATAGTCTATCCGTGTTGAGTGTTTCGAAGCTCCAGCTCTTTATCATGAAGTTCTTGAACATATCCATATTCTTGTGTATCTTATCGTAGATTCGGATCATCTTCGGTTTCTGACCCTGCATGCGCAATACCAGATCTATGGCATAACCGGGTAGCAGATGATAGAAGATCGTCGCTAGTTTGTATACCCACCAAATCTGGGTGGTGTGCGCAATCGGATGCCAGATCGCCTTGGTTGAGGGATAAACATCATACTTTTCCTCCGTGAAACGCTTCAGATCGCCATTAAACATCATATTCTCATTGCTTGGCACATAGTTGTAGATGATTGGAGCAGACTTGACTCGAAATTTCTGCCTCCTCTCAGTTGCTGTACGCCAGGCACTGGCCAGGATCAAATTGGCGCAACCATCCACGGGCACAATATAGCAGTTAGCCTTCAGATTCACGCGTACGATTCGCAAAATACCGAGGAAAATGCCATATACAATAACAATGGGTCCATAAATATTATCAATCCAGCCAGAGACTGGCTCCTTGTTGGTCGCAACAACTGATAACTTGTTAATTAAAAAGAAATGCATAGAAGTCATATTACTTTCTTACTTGCTCCGGGACGAAAGATGCAGATCGGCAAATCGTCGGCCTCCGTCTGCACCACTTGCTCCGCCAGCGCCTTTGTATATGTATATGTGTTGGGAAACTTGTCCACCAGTCCGGGCGCGAAGCTATTAAACAGCTTTGCATCCAGCATTTCCCTGAGCGCCAGCACCTTATCGGCGCTACAGTTCAAATGTTCCGGATAAAAACGTTCCGTAATGTGCTGAATAACGCAATTGGAGACGGCTGTCGATACGTACACGAAGGCCACCAAATGGGGCATCTCCTTGGCCAACTGCACCATGTAGCGAGTGGCACGAGTGTTGATATCCAGCGCCAGGTGAAGTGGATTTTCGAAACTAAGCGTGGCTGCGCTGTGAATAACCAGCTCCACGTGTCGCTTCAGCAACTCGCAATCCGATGCACTAATGCCGAGATCAGCAAACTGACAGTCACCCGCTATGGCCACAATGCGCTCCATTGCATTGGGCTTAGAGTTGAGCAGCAAGGCGAACACCTAAGGGGTTGGTATTAAAATCAATCAGCATTTTGTAGTGTTTGATATGCATACTGGGTCTGTTTTCCATTCGCAAATACGCTCCTGAATCTCCTTGCCACGTTTGGGTCGAAGCAATACATAGATGCGATTCACCTCTGTGGAACGTAGCAGCTTCTCAACAATCACTAAAAGATTTAATAATGATTTAATATTCATTTCCAAGCAATCTAAATCTTTTAACAATTTTATTATTATTATTACTTATAATTTGATTTATTTTTAAATTCATTTTTTCATACTTCTACCCAAAAAACCACTGGCACCGGTTAAGAAAATATTCTTATTTTTGTAAAAGTTTTTAATTTCTGACTCCATTTTCCACAACAATTTCACAATTAATTTCTTGAGGTATAACCGATATCGTATTTCAGACTTGACGTTGAAATGACACCGAAGAAAATATGTGCAGTACCTTTTATAAAAGAAAGTCAGTCCACATTTTGAACGGTCGAATTAATGAATATGAATGAATGCATTCGCTCGACGCAACCTCATAGAAAGTCCACGCTAAACTGCTCTGCGGTAGAAAATTGACTCAACAACTAATATTATATTTTCTTAGTAAGTCCAATAGTTTGAAGCAAATTACCTACATATTCGAGCACACTTCCTATGCAATTGACTCATATTGTTTAAGCAAGCATTCTTATATTATACATGTGCAATTTCAAAACATAGAGTTTTTCAAAATAATTTGAGAAAGAGCGAGGCAAGAGTGAGAACTAAGTTGTGTTGCCGCATGGCGGGCAAATGTTTGGAGAAACGTGCTAAAAATAACATTTCTGTGCAGGGGCAGCGTGTGAAAAGAAAAAAATAATTTGAACTCAATCAAAATGAAATTTGCTCAGTCCACGTAACATCTCAGTGTGTGTTTGAAAGCCCTGTGAAGTGTTGTGTAGTATTTATCGATTGGAATGACGATTCTCAGTACCAATTGCGCCGTTTGCAACGTGGCTGCCCCACTAACCTGCACCCGCTGCAAGCTGGTACGTTATTGCAACGGGGAGCATCAGAAACAGCATTGGCCAACCCACAAAACATGCTGCAAGCCCTTCAAGGTGCAAAACGATCCCCAGTTGGGCCGCTACTTGGTGGCCACACAGACTATTCAGGCCAAGCAGATTATATTCGTGGAGGAGCCGCTCGTTGTGGGTCCCAAATGGTTTCTCACCGACGACGAGAAATCGGCCAGCATTGTGCCATGCGTCGCCTGCTACACGCCCTGTCGCATCAACAAGCATCTGTGCCGCAGGTGAGTGCTCTTGTCCACTGTGCTACACATTTTCAGTTTATAAAGTGACAGAAAGTATGCTTAAGTTGTCCTCTAATCTTTTTCTACTTCTACAGCTGTCGTTGGCCTGTTTGCAGCATCAGCTGCGAGCATGAAAAATTAGAGTGCAGCATTCTCAGCTTGGGCAGTCCACCCTCAGGAAAATCGGATGCACGTGGACTGCATGACTATTACAGACATGATGCGCTGCTGGTGCTCAAGTGCCTGTTGCTGCAGCGTCAACATCCTGAACGCTGGGCAGCACTGCTGGAGATGCAGTCCCATGAGGAGGAACGCTTGGGCACAGAGCTGCACCAGGAGGCAGAGCAGCGCATTGTTAGCTATCTGCAGCAACGGTTTCTACAGCGCATCAAGGCGGCAAAGAATCGTGAGAGCCTGCTGAGTGAGTACAGTGCGGAGCTACTGCATCGGCTGTGCGGCATCATTGAGACTAACTACATGGTCATCGAGCTAGCAACGGGCGTGGAGCTGAGCGGCGTCTTTCGGCAGGCCTGCATGATGGAGCACGCCTGCCAGCCCAATTGCTACTTTCAATTCGATGCGGCCACGCAACGGATTGCTGTGCGCGCCGGCTGCGATCTGAAGAAGGGTGACCATCTCAAGATCACCTACACGAACATCCTGTGGGGCACACAGATGCGACAGCATCATCTGCGTATGACCAAGCACTTCAATTGCCGCTGTTCGCGCTGTGAGGATCCCAGCGAGTATGGAACTTATGTGAGCGCCATGCGCTGCCTGGGCGATGTGTCCAAGTCGTGTGGCGGCATCCAACAGCCCGTGGATCCACTCGACGAGCAGACACAGTGGAAGTGCGACACATGCCCGATGCTTGTGGATGCTGCCTATGTGTCAGAGGTGCAGACCCACATGACTGACGAGGTGGAGAAGCTGCTCGCTGGCCAGCCGACAGCCAGTCAGGTGGAGCTGCTGTTGGCGCGTCTCTCACAGCTCTTGCATCCCAATCACTTTCACATGTTCAACTTGAAGCACACGCTGATTCAGCTCTACGGACACGAACCGGGCCTGGAGCTGGCGACGTTGAGTGATCTGCAGCTGGGACGCAAGCAGCGACTCTGCGAAGAGCTACTCAATGTTTGCCAAAGCCTGGATCCATACAGCATCAAGTTGGCCATCTATGTCAGTGTTATTCTAATTGAGATTGCTCACACGTTCGAGGAGCAGGCAAGGCGGTCACCTGCAAAGGCAACAGCCCAGTTGGAGCTGGTTCGTTTGCGGCTGCTCGAGGCGCAGGATGTGGTGGAAAAGGTGCAGGATTCGGTGGCCGGCAAAAAGCTGCTCGAAAAATTGAATCTGGACCTCTTTGAGTATGATAAATTGGTGCTAGCCAATAGCCACAGTCAGAATAGTCATACTCAGACTGCTGTTTAACCAAAATGAATGCGATTTGTTTAAATTGAATAACAACTAGTTTGTATTTATAATAAGCTAATTACGAAGCAGCATGCAGCTCCACACGCTGCTGCTCCAGCAGCTGCGGATGCGCTTCGAGGACCGCTCGTTGCTGTCGCAGATTCTTCACGATGCCCGGCAGATGCCAGCCATGCCGCAACAGACTCTCCATCACATCAAAGTGGGCATGACGTATGCAACGCAGTTGCGAGCAATGCGCTACAGTGCGCAATTCGATAGCCATGTCGTGAATCAATGCTGCCATATACTCCTCGCTCTCGTTGATGGTGTGCAGTTCGAGGGTGAAGTGCGGCCGGTCAAAGTGTATCAGCTTGATGCCATAGATGACCGTCTGGCTGTTGTCAGCTGGCCGCAACAGGCCCTTGCAGGCCAGCTCGTAGGCAGCCTGCGTCTGCAGATCAACGCCACAGAGCTCGTACATCTTGCGCTGATGCGAGGCCTGCATGGAGGCGGCCAAGCCGCTGATACGCTCCGCCGTCACATACTTATGGTTAGCACGGACTGTGATGCGTGAATTGGGCAGGTGGCTTTCGGTGGCGGTGCCCATGCGAGCGGTCACATGATAGACTCTCACTGGCCGATTGCGCTGTATGAGACTGGACTGTTGCAGTCCCCCGTTTAAGCCAAATACTGTAAGCAATGTTCGGGAAGTTGAGTTTTTTATGTTTCAATTAATATATCCTTGGCCACCTACACAAAACGCCGCTTGTGTGATCACCTAGTGTGGCAACAGCTGCACATTTAATATCAGCCGGCATATAACGTGGACCAGCGGCCAGGATGTGATCCGATAGATCAGCATCGGAGGCAATCTTATGCAGCACGGTGTCCGCGGCAGTGCCAGTGCCCAGCAGCAGTCTGTCCTTGGTTAACTTACGCGGCTCTCGCTGCTCCAGCTCATTGAGTCCTAGTTAAATAATTACAATTTGTTGAAGTTGAATTTTGTTTGTAATATTTTCTCACATTTAACGCACCTTTGCAAATGTTGCCCAATATGGCATTTCGAACATGTTTCACTTTCATGCCAGCTGGCTTATACACATTTATAATGCCATTTAAGTGCTTAAATACAGTTGCCGCATCGTAGACCTTTGTCAACGACATTTTTAATAAATAATTGCATAAAAAACGCGTTTCGTCTTGTTTATGTTTTCAAATGACAAGAAGTCAGCTGTTATTACGTGAACTATCGCACAGCTCTATGCGATGATTTGGTAGTGTTGGTAAATAATACCTGCTATCGATTAACGATAGTCAACCTTTTACCGCTGCACGTGTTGCATTATTGTTTCTGCTGTTTTGAGTTGTTTTATAGCTGAATAAACGATTCAAACGGCAGTCAACATGAAGTGGACCACATCGAATCTTAAACATGCCAACTATACAGCCAAACATGAATTGTTCGTGGGAACACACACGGGCTCCTTCAAACGTAAGTCAAACCCCAAACGCTCGCATCTTTTTGCTGCTGCTCACTTTTTGAATTTCGCAGACTTGATGCCCGCTGCGGACAAGAGTCCATACGAGCAGTCAAATCTCAGTGATTTGAGTGGTTTGGATAAGGAATCACGCGTCACAGCATTGGCCTTTGGCAATGAGGCACAAACAGAGATACTGTTGGGACGGGCTAAAAATATTGCAGAGCTGCACTCGCTGGGAATTAACGGAGGGGTCTCCACTCGTAATGTTAACTTTACGGCTGCTCCCATTGTGGGATTGGCGCGCTATAACAATAACTTGATTGCTGGCATTGGTAATGGACAAATACAAAGCTTATCGCTTGACCATGGGGATGAGGAAACGGAGGCAGTTATCATCCAGACAGGCGATCAAATGGATCATCTGCGTCAGTGCTCGACGGCCACAAACATTATTGCCACTGGCGGCAAGGCCAGACAGAATAATCTGAAAGTCTACGATCTGAGCGCCGATGGCAAGCAGATATTCAACTCCAAAAATCTGCCCAACGATTACTTACAGTTGGAGGTGCCCGTTTGGGACAGTGACATCGGCTTTGTGGATGGCCCTAGTGTATTGGCTACCTGCTCCCGGCATGGCTATGTTCGACTCTATGATACCCGCAAACAGCGGCGCCCAGTTACCCACTTTGCCAGCGAGGAACATGGCATGAGCTTTGCGGCGCTGGTGGCACGCGGTAACTACATTTACACAGGCACCACCATGGGCGCCCTGAAGGTAGACTCACATGGAATGTAGCTCTAATGCAGATTTAATGACGTAAATTGCTTTTTACAGGCTTTCGATACGCGCTGCATGAAAACCCATTGTCATACCTACAAAGGATTTACGGGCGGCATCAGTGATTTGCACTTGGACGAGACGGGCAAATACTTAAGCTCAGCCTCCCTGGACCGTTATGTGCGTGTGCATGATGCCGATTCCACTGTGCTGCTCTATCAGTGCTATGTGAAGTCCAAGGCAACCAAGGTGCTTATTAGGCAGCTCTCTGGCCAGCAGCAGCAAGAGCAAGAGAGCGAAGAGGATGTCGCAGAAGGAGAGGAAAAGAAAAGTCGCAAGGACATTAAGAATAACAAACGACAGCCTCAGGCAGTGGATGCCGAGTATGAGGATATGTTCCAGCAGATGGCCACTGTGGGGTAAGTTTATCTGTATACACAATATATTTACAATTCATTGACATATATTAAAACATTGGATGCTAATAAAATGCACATCAAATACAGCGACAGCGATGATGATGATGATGACGAAGCTGCCAAGAAGCAAACGCCCGTGGCCACGAAGCGGAAAGCGCTCAAACAAACGTTGAAAACAAAAAAGAAAAAACAATAAAGGTGATATCTTTAAAGAAAAGAAAAAACTATGTGAAATTAAGTTTTAAATATACATGCATGTATGTTAAGTTAGTCGACTATTTCCAAGCCTGCTTCAGCTGCAGCTGCTTTTGCTGTTGATAGTTTTTGTGCAAGCGAAAGACGCAGTAGTAAAAGAACTCCACAATGGATATCATGCTCAGACCCAGGCAAAGATTGAAAATGCCACCCAAATCAGCTACAATGGATGTAAATGTTGTAATTCATTAAAGTGGGAATAATCATACACCTACACAGTAGTCCAATCCAGGACATGACAGTGACTTTCCTAATCACTGGCACCACTTGTTTGGCCAAATAGACGCGCAGCACAAAACTATCATTCCTAAGCATCTCGGATGTGCTGATAAGAAAACGGGGTAAATTTATAAAACAAAACGGTGTGTATTTAAAGAGCTTACTAAAAACCGGTCACGGAGAACTGATGCAAATTGAGATCCGTTTTGTAGGACAGCGTAGAGTATGTGACGTCATAGCAGTTTGGAAGGCATTGGTCACAGCGAACGCTCTTGAAATTGTCTATAAATTAAATACAATATTTTTATTTAATTGTGGTAACTAAGACATTAGCTTAAGAACTAAATAGTTGACTAAATAAAACTATAATTTATTCAAAACTCTTGATTTGGATGAGAATGTGAAAGTATACTTTAAAATGTTTATCTCATTACTTAAATCAAACGATTCAACAGAACGAGCTTCAAATAAATTTAATGCCTTCAGTCTGTATAGTTTAATATGCATAAATATTATCGTTGCCTTAGCGATATATATTTGTTAATATTAACTTATTACTTTTAGTTTCTCAATAAACCACTTGATTAATTTTTCAGAGACTTAACTTTAATATCTCGTTCATTGTCAAATACTCTCTACTGATGGTATAAATTGCAATAATATTATAGTTTTAACAAGAGTAACTCATAACTCATGCTTAATTTTCTCAAATACATGAATTTATCGTAAGCAGAACCGAAACATAAAAACCCTAAATCATAATTTTATATGCTCTCTCTATGCTCGTATATGTTAACACCAAGAAACACGAAATACACTGCACAAAAGTCATTATTTAAGCAACCCAAACATGATTGCGTCTGTGGTTGAGTGTTTTGCATACCGAAACGCCTTGAATGGCAAAATTGGAGCTCCTCGAGACGAGTACCATCTTGAGCACATTTCTGTGTGAAGGAACACTTATGTGCACGGGCACGCATTTTGAATATTAAATACAAATTATAAATGATGTAACGGGAGCAAACACAGCTAACACAGTAAACAACACCAGCATCGGTATGGAGATAACAATGCACCACGCAGAAACATCAACCCTCTAGCCACACGTAGGAGTGTGAAATATGTAGTTGAAAAGGATGCCGTGAAAATGATATTGAAGGTAAGTAACTGAACAATTTTATCCATCTTAGGCTAAGAAAATAAATGGGCAAAATGCAAATTATAATAAATAGTGAAGAATATGAATATGGGATTGCTACAGTCAGACAACCTATTCCACTTAATTATGATTATCGAGTCTCTGGCTCTTACCATAGTTTTTCGAGTAGCAGAAGGTATCGTTTAGATTGCATTCCTTGACGTGGCCACTAACAATGGGCAGCAAGTAGAGATGACAGCCGCAGCGTTTGGCAATCGCCGCCGTCTGGCAGGCTAACAAACAGGCAGCCTGTCGATAGTTGCGCAGATTCACATCATCTGATATGAGGCAGTCCCGTTTACTCTCGGACAGCTCCAGCACCTCTATTGACGAGCTTTGCACCGTGGGCGATATTTCGACAAAGCTCTCGGATCTTGCAGTTATGGTCACGGATGCAGATGTCTCTGTCACATAATCCATTGGATGATGAACGAGCACAATGAGACCAGTGCTCAGATTGTGTTCGGAGCCTTCGGAGCCAATAATCGTTAAGCCACCGTCCATGCCAAAAATATTGGCAGAGAAGGGGACGAAGCTGGCATTGCGCGGATTGTAGTTGAAGGAGCAGCAGGGACCAAGATATGCCGTTGTGGGTATAAAGGACAGATACTCGTGCGATTGGTTGCACTGAAATTCCGAATAGCCCCAGAAGCAGCGCTTCACAAAATCCGCACAGCCCGGACTGACAGCCATCGCTGCCTCCCAAATGGACACATTATTCAGACGGAGCACTGCATCCGTTGCCTTGTAGCTCTCATGCGAAGGTGCCACATAACTCTGATCCGTGAACGCATTGAGAAACTCAAAGCCAGCTGCTACTTCATCAGCATCATATTCAGCGGGTATGTTGCTGCAATAGTTAATCAGGTGTTTTACTCTTTGTTGCTGCTAATTGTTTCTAACTAGCAGATACCCTGTACCCAAGCCTAAAATATATTCATAGCTCTCCCTCTCTTAACGTCTTATAAACAAGCCACGTGAACGTGGCTAGTTTGATAAAAAAAATCCATCCATCTTTCGCTTGCAGTTCTCCTTGCCACACCCACTTACAGCGTTCGAACATAGCGATGGACGCGTTCCGTGTTAACTGCCTTGGGACTGCAGATGGTGACACCTGGAAAGGCCACATCAGTGATGGGCAGATCATTTGAGATGGTGTTTAGTATGGGATACGAGTAGAACTTGAGCCAGAGCAGCAGCGTCAAATAAATGCTCAGCAGCAGCAGCTTCACCAACACCGATGACCAAATGAATCTGTGAAATGGGCAAACGTCAGGAAAATTGTTGAACTCTCCGTCCGTCCGTCGACCTCACCCACCTGGAGAGTCCCTGGGTGCGATTGCGTCGCAGCAGCCACATGCCGCTCACCTTGGTGCGCTCCGTATACTCCCAGAAGGTGTTGACGATGGCCAGCTTTAGGGGATGGCTTCTCCAGCGCTGCAGCAGTCGCTGTCTGCTGCTCCCCGAAGCGCTTCTCTTCGACATCCACTTGACGTTGTGGGCCATTGTTTCGAGTGTGTCTAAGCAGTTAAAACCGCATGGCGCTCACTTTTATAGGCCACGACAGGACAAAGGCCTCCGTTCTAATGACTGCTGACAAGTTTAAGTGCTAATTATGGGCTAATTGCGTTCTTAATTTGTTTAGTTCGAACAAGCATGCCACTTGTAGAACATTAGTTATAATTATATGTTGCCAGCAAGTCTATTGAGGTGGCTGAAGTTGACAATAACTTCTGAAGCGTGCCATCTTAATTGAGATACTTTCATTCTTTAGTGGTGATACAACTTTGAGGGAGTCCTTGTCGAAACTATTAAATAAAATTAAAATAATAAATCTGGAATCATAATACTGGCTTGCTTTGCTAAAATGTATAAAGTTAATGAAAATAAATAGAATAATCCGATTTTAAAAAACCATTGCATTTTAGGCAAGCTTTGAGCTCTTTTGCATCTTAATATCTGGAGTCGAAATTGATGCACAAGTTCTATGCTTAAAATTTATATCGATTGATGGATCCAAACTTCTCATAGTCATAACTTTGTTTAATCTCAATCAATCTTCAAAAAGCAATATATTTTTGTTGATCATGGTGTGCCCGTTAGAATAATACTACATTATAATCTAAAAACTTGATTCTTAACTGAATTCATGTTTGAATTATATCCCAAAGAGTGAGACGGTTCCAAATTTTCTACTGCCACAACCTTTTCGCCAGCAAACCATTTAGACGATTTGTGTGGCACATCTGTATGATATGTATTAACGAGTGATTTATTGTATTTACTTAGAACTTCAAACTAACTAACAAGACAGACAGACTAACTATTTGAAGTGGAACACAGTTTCGCATGTTTGTTTTGTGTTTGCACTTAGATGGTCTATAGATATTATCCATTTCCGATTCCAAGTCAACAAAATAATTCCGCTTCAGCAACTACTTTGGAAGTGCGCTACTAAATAAAAACAGACTTTGAGTTTTTTCAACTTTTGCTTACGACGGCTGCTGCTGTTGCTGCTGTTGCTGCTGCTGCTGCTGCTGCTTTTGGGAACCAAAGTTGCTCGTGCACAAATCTGCAGGTCTTAACCAATGGCAATAAAAATCAAAATTTGTACGGGTAGCCTTAAACTGCAGACCGGAGGAGGGGGGATGGATGCAACCAGGAGACAAGCAAACAATTAGAAAAACAGTTTACTCGTTGCTTAAATAAAGTTTGGGTTCACAGTTTACGAGCATTTAATAGGAATTAGTTGTTGACTTTACTCTAAGTTGTTTGTTTCTGTTTTTGTTGTTGTTGCTGGCACGTGCTAAGCAGCCGAGATTGAATTTTAATTAAATGTCATCTGAAATATCTTTGAATTCTAAGAACTTATGCGCATAGTTCAATTAATTGTATGCTAATCAACAAAATTAAAAATCATAGCACAAATTACAAATTACCTTAAGCAAAATCATGTTAAGATCTGTAATCCTCCCTCCCCCACCGACAACAATCGAGTGGCAACTTTGTGCATGAGCTACGCAGCAGGAGCAACTTTTAATTTCTTTGCAGACTAAAAACGAGCAGGGGACAGGGCAGGAGGAATGTTAAGCTCATGACTGAGATGAAAATGCCTTCAAGTTTTTTGTTGCCTTGTTATCAGAGAAATGAGCGCGTGCCGCTCCAAACATAAAACTTTGATACGGCAAACACATACACACACTAAAAACTCACACACACACAGACACACACACACACACACATACAAACACACACACACACACACACACTATATCACTCAGCCAAAATGCTGAGCAATTTGTAAAATTTGTGAGTCTCATAGCAAGCTGATTGAAATGCGTGCGGGGAACTTCAATGATTTCTCAGCAGTGGGAATTTTCCACACGGAAAACACATTTCTCAGCAATCATATATTTGTATATATCTTACAAATTAACCAAGTCTCAGCGGACTGATGATCGCCTACGGATAGTTTTAATTCTAAAATTTCATTTGTTACATTATTTGTTAGCTTAAATTTTAAACAACCTGTAAAGTAATATATGGTTTGTGAGTGAAGACTCATTCTTCTTACTAATTCGAATGATGTGATATTGATCAATGCCTTTACAAACTATTTGATCTACACTTAACCTGATCACAGGATATCTATATCTGTAGAGTATTACTCTTAACAGCCTTTCCTTCTTACTTGCCTGACGTTAGTTTTTTTGTTTTACCAAATGTTGTTTTTTCTTTTTTAGTTGTAGAACGGGGGCGTCAGAAAAGTTTCATTTGGCTTCAGAAAAGTTTAGCTTAACTGGTTTTCTGACGCTGTTGAGGATGCCTCTTCTTTTATGGATATTTTGATGGAGTTGCAGCCACCAGGTGGTTGCAGTGCCGCCAAAAAAGCTTTGACAGTTGCAAACTTTTAGCTGCTCTTTGACAGAGTTGTGAGTGCAAAATGTGGAATTATTTTGCATTCGCACAATTTTGTAGTTTGCGCTGAATGCGAAAAATTTTCACAATTAATTTATTTCTTTGACATTTTGTGAAAAAAATTCACCAATGCGGTATGGGAAAACAAACGCTAGTTTAATTATTTGAATATGTAAATGTAAAGTTTGAGCTGAATATGAATAATAACTTTTTTAAGCTCGATTTAAAAATGTAAAATAAATATTAAACCTGCAAATTTATCATGAGATTCTCTCATATATCCATACTAAACTTAAATACCTATAAAAACTACGCCAAAAACATCAACATCATATTTCTTGTTATTGCTTATCTTGTAAAATAAAACTTTTTAGCTAATATGAAGAATAGTTGCAAAGCATGACATTGACTAGAATGACTTTTGTTTTTATTGCTAGTTTATTTTGACTGGCGCAAAGCTATAAACAAATTTTAGAGCCACACATTGAAAAGTTTAATGCTAAAAGAAAGTTGGCAGAAAGGAGTCAGCTGGCACTCGGTTGTAAGAGGCGCATTTGAACTGCTTTCAAGTGCCTGGAGAAATAAATGTTAAATTGATGTCTGGCACTTGAATCGAATTTACTTTCGTGTGATTATCGCTGCTCGTAATGATAAGCCAACAAACATTGCCCGCCCAGCTCTCTCTGACAATCGGGCAAATCAATCAAATATCGGCCAAGTGGAATGGCTCTGCTCATGTGCCAGCTAAGAAACATGACCAGCGGCAGTTATTTGGCGGTTATTATGGTTTGTTTAGACAGCACTTGAAGATGTCTTACAACGCCATCGCCATCGGCAATCAGCAATCGGCAATCGCCATCAACATCAGCTGTCCGCACATAAAAAAACCGGATGCCAATCGAGTATTTGCATACACATTGAAATGTGAAAGCCACAATGGGCACAGCCCATGGGCTGGCCGTCTTATTATATGACCCAAAGACACTGTCATAATCGTAAAATAAAAATAAATAATTCACTCTAAGTCTCGTCCTCCACTTTCCGTCCGGACACTCGCAATCCCATCGCAGGCGGCACTTTACGCTTAAGTATCGCTTGGATATCGTTGGGCACTGGCCCAGAGCACAATAAATACATTGCTCGTTGCAGGCGCCAAGTAAAGTTGCCAATGTGTGTGTTTGTGTGTGCGCCGTGTGCGGCTGCAAGTGGAGCATTAAGAATGTATGGATGTACGCCAGAGAGAACAGGACAGTGACAGACGCACCACAGATTTCCCAAGGCATCCGGGAAAAGGGTAGAGAGGGAATTGAGAAAATGTGAGGGAGGCTGTGTGAAATCGCATTGGCGAGTCAGCTTTTGTGATTCGTGGCTGGCGTCGAGTCAGCGAAAATAGTTGGCAGCCACAGGCACACTCCGCACACACACAGAAGTTCAGGCTAGCAAAAGGATTTGCAAAAAACTTTCACGCCGACACTTAAAGGCGTCTATCTTCCCTATAAATAAGGATGTGGGATTCAAGGCAGTTGTTCTCTTAAAACTCTGAGCTGAGTTTCCATTCGGCTCCAATAAGTATGCTATAGATAGTCAATAATTCAGTTTGGTTATGTTTTGAAATATTTCAGATTTATTCAAGCTACTCTCGCTTCTCAATAACAAATTCAATGTTTATTTTATATCTTGCTAAATTATAAAAGTTTTTCTTTTCAAACTAAATTAGTTCAATAAAAATTAAATTGTTGCAACAAGACTTAATGCGGAACTGGAAGTGCCCCAAGCTGAGTTAGGCTTAAAATTGCTCTAACCCTTTGAAACGGTGCAAACACTTATATAAAATCGAAAAACCATTGAGGATAATGCCGGGGGCGGGAATGAGTATTGGAACTTGGCTCTTGGCCCATTTGCGTAAAGTTGAGACTAAATTGAGTGGAATTCGGAAAGCTGAAGGCAAAAACCTTTTTGTTTATTTGTCTTGAGTGGGCCTCAAAATTGTTGAGTTTTGTTTGCACTTTTCTCTTTTGTCTGGAAACAGTTCCACATACGCATTTAAATTTTTGTGGGCCAATTGGTTTTTAATGGCTTTATGGATGAACTCTGGAAAACAAATGGAACTTCGAATGCTGTGCCGAAAACTTTTTCAGGCCTCCAAAGTTCTTGGAAAATATTAAAATGACTTTTGATCCCATATGCATACATAGAGGGACAAAACAAACTAGAATCCTCTAGCTGAGAAGGCTTTTTTGTTACTTTAGTATTGTCTAATTTCATTATACCCTTTTTCCATTTTTAATGAGTTCAAGGTATGAAAATAACTTGCAAATCGCCTGAGGCACACTAATGCCCAACAACTTATGTTCGTGGACTCCTCGTTTCTTTTCAATTTTCCTGTTGTTTGCTTATCGAATTCATTCGGTGTGAATGCCGCCCCGGGCTTCCAACAGAAATCTCATTAATGCTTAATAAGTCGTTAATGGTGAAAGGTGGCAAGTGCCGCCAACTAATTGAGTTTCTCTCTGCCGCCTTGCTCGATGACGGTAAAGTTCGATGAAAAACAGCTTAATGGGCTTCTATAGTTGGGTTTGTCTGAATAATGCACTCTATTAATGCAAGCGTATTAAAAACAAGTTTAATTTGAAACTTTGAGCAGACGCTTAATTCTCAGCCACGCATTTGGACTTAAGTCTTTGATAAATTGGTATTTAAGTATGAGAAATAAATAAATCAATTAATATTAAATTTCGCAGTTCAAACAAAGTTATTGAACGTTTTCAATTCGATGAGCAGAATGGCTTCCTTAATGTTGCCCCACTCTCTGTATGGTTTTGCTTGGTTTGCTACCAGCAGTTGCTGGTTGCTTTGTTTTTGTAGCTGTCATTAAATTAACGCACTTTGCATTTAAGCCAGCTAAAGCTTAAGCCTATTAAATGTGCACCTTTCTAGGTGTCAGACAGACTCTTACCAGCATTGATAAGGGACAAGCACGGCGCAAAAAGCTGTCAATTTGTTTATCTTTTTTTTTGTAAATTAAGCCGACAAAGAAAAAACACTCACACTTTTCTGACACTTGACTTTTGGAGTGATGAATCTGCATTCATAAGTGTCTCAAAAGAATTCCGATAGATTTGTCAATTTTTGCTTAAATTTTAATGCTTCTTTGCTTACCCAATTTAAACATAAATATATTAAGCTGTTGGCCTTTGGGCTTTCGGACCAAATTAAATGTAGCTTTGACCCTTTTTTTTGTACAGCAATTTTCTCATGTAAGAAATTTAATAGCTAATAAAATAAATAAATATTCGATTCGGAATATTTGGCCAATGTAGCAAAAACAACTAAGAATGCTGAAGTCGAGTGAGCTCGCTACGTGGGTTAAGGGTCCCAGTTGTAAAATATATTATTCTAGTTTTATTGCTATATTGCCCCTTTTTGTACGAGATTAAATAGGTATTAAGTGCCAGACATAACTTAAACGGACCTACAATTACCCAGTTTTTGCTGCTGAAACAAAAATTCCATTTGCGGTCTAATCAAGTTACATTGTTTAAAATTGAGTTTCCACTTTAGCTTGTCGAACTTTACCCTTGTGAATAATATCAATAATAATATGATTATAAGTTATTATATCTTGTGGTTTGCACTGCAAATCATTTTTGTTATTTGCAATAAGCCGCAATTATTACTAGAAATTTGCTAATCAAATTGAAACTAATTTCAATCGAATTTACTCTCAATGAAATGAATTTATTTTATTATACGCAAAAGCCACAAATCAGTCCATCCATAAGCATATATCAGCCACATATCAAAACTCATAAATTCCGAATGCCATAAAAACTCCCCCAAATAACAAAAGAGCAAAGAGAAAGATAAAAAGAGAAGGAAAAACAAAAGCAGGAACAAAACAAAATAAAAACAATTTAAATCATCAACAAGCAAATCCAACATAAAGCCGGAATAATTCGCTTGGCCATGGACATGAGCAGGCCAAAATGGCATTGTTTTTTTTTTTTACTTGACTGTATTACAACACGTGCGTCCAGCGGACCTGAAACTAGGCACGCCACTCCCGCTTCCTACCACTCCCACTGGCCCTGCCTGCCCCCTGTCCCCCGGCACGCCCTGTTGCTGCGCCTTTTTGCCCTGTCAATGGATTCCAGCTTACGAGTTGCGCCAATTAACAAAAGCAACAAAAGCAAAGCGAAAACATTATCAAAGTGGCCAAAGCTGGACAGCAGCAGCATAAGGATACACGCATCAAATTGTGTGTGAGAGAGAGAGAGGGATAGAGAGGGAGGGAGGGTACAGAAAAGAGAAGGATAAAGCAGCGCTAATCCCATGCCCAAACAACAAGACGCAAATAGTCCGATCCGTTTTCCTTGCGTGTAAGACAAACATATACAAAAAAAAGAATGTGGCAACACCAGATAAGAATCAGCTCGAAGGACTAAATTCATTTTCATGCCACCACGCAAAAGTATTCGACAAGGACCCATAATGAGGAATTATGAATGCCCAAGCAGCGTAAATGCATGCGAGCTGCTGGAGATGCCAATTCGGTTTTAGTGGCAAGGATTGCCATACTGAGTCACACTAATTGTTGCTTATAGTACCTGATGGCATTAAAGTGCTAAGCAAAGGGCCTCCGTCTAAGCTTGAACTTGAGAATGGGCATGAATACTGCCAGCCGGCCAGCTGCCTCCGCCATGCAGCATGATAAATCACTTTGGGCCACTTGAGAGTGCATCCTTGCAAGAGAGTCCTGTTCAGCACTTGATACTCTGATTATGCCAGTATATGTAGCACCCATTCTCACATGCTTACATGCACCAACCACGGCTGGCTCTTTATTTGACACTGTTGCTTCTATCTTACTCTGTTGACTTAGTGTTGCCTTATATGCCTCATTTGCATACGCAAAGTTTCCATTGCATATTGTCCTTAGCTCAGGGCATCTGTTTTTATATGCAAAGCAGTATTAACACTTGATTTGGGTTCGGTCAACAAATTTTGTTCCACAATATTCACACGCCAAACACAACTGTTGCAGACTTTTGTTTTATTGTTTGCCCAAAAATTAGCTTTCGCTCTAACGACTCGTTGTATCCTTAATGCTGCAGGTATTAAAACTTTGTCATAAAGAGTGACTTGCCATAATAACTTATAAAATCTGTGTTGAGAACTTTGATATACAAATAGCAAATATACTCTTCTTAAAGCTTTAACAGTTAGGCGCAAAATATTCTTTTTCTTTTAGACCACAACAAAAATTCCATTTTCTTCCTATCAGTTTATTATTGGTCTATCAACAAGTAAATTTTCTGTTAGTTGTACTGTTTGAATAAAAAAGTTTTGCTGGAACTAAGACTTTATTTGGTTGAACAGCTATCGACAAGAATCAGCATATCTCAGAGCAACAAAACAACCCCTAATAACATCAGGAACAAGTACGAGTATATTTATGATAACGGTAACTCAGTGATCCGAATCTCTGCTCTATAAACTGTGAAGCTAACTGTCCAACTGGAGCCAGGCGAAACATCCTGACCGACAAATTAGTTAATTGTGGCAAAGACATTTCCTACAACTTCTGACAATGGTCTTGCCAAATGGAATGAGCCCTTTGAGTGCTAATGTGGCACGCAGAGGGGAATTACCAATGAGCATAAAAAATGAAGCTAATAAGAATGGGTAAGATGTTGCGATGGGTTAGTTGGATGCTTCACAAAATATACATCTTCTATGTATGCATATATTTATATGTTGACTGTTGTGTACATAAATCTCCTGGTGCGCTTTGACCCAGTTCGTGGCATGCTGCAGGCAACACAAATTACGATCAACATAAGCATTACTACCTGTGGCCAAAAATGACTGGGCAAATGTTAAATGTCCCAGCGAAACATGACAAACGAATTTTTGTTCATTGTTCAGTTGCTTATCTGTCGGACCATATGCAGCTGGCTGCTGGGCAGACAGGCCAACAGTCTCTACCTGATTTAGTGGGCGTTCAATAGGTCACAGCTCATGTTCTGGCAGTTATGTTCAATGAACATGTCAGAATGTGGGTGGGTAGTAGGCTGGCATGTGTGTAGTTCGGCAGATTAGCCACTCTGACTTCCAACATTTATTGGATGCCAATAACTTTTGTCTAGGCCCAAAGGTGCGTTGGCATTTTTGCTGTGTGTGTGTGTGCTGGTGTGCGTGTGTGAATTTGAATTTATGGTCTCTCTGTCAATAGTCGAAGTACCTGCAATATTTTGCCAATTTACATGCTAGTCGAAAAACAAGTGGCTGCTGCTGCCTTTTGAGAGTGGCAGTTTGTAATGGATTTGCCTGTTTTTTCGGCAACCCATTCTCCATTTTCGCCAGTTTTCCCTTGGTTTGTAAATGCAAATTGAACGTGTTGTGTTTAATTTTGCAGTAATTGGCAACATTGGCAAGCCTTTGACTTGCGGCTCGTTTATTTCTCGTTTGCAGTCTATTTTTCACAATTGGCTGGGCTTCAATTAAATATACCATTTATTTAATCCGTTGCAAATAACTTTTGTGTTTATAAGTGAATTGTTATGCATTTCCTAGAATCGGCTTAAAACATGAGTAGATAATTTAAAGACAACAAAAGAGCAGACATTTTGAGGTTATTTGGTTTATTATTAGGTCTACAGCAATGCATTTATGCGAATATTTAAAGTATTCCATTGAATTGAAAAGGTTTTCTGCATATTTTCTAAATTTTTATTTGCAATACATTTCATGCACTTTTGACACATCAACACTTTTTTAATAATTAATTTTTACTTACATTTTTAAGCGACACTTGTTATTATTTAATTTATAAACATTTAAAATCTTATTTATTAAGCAATAAAGAAACAAATTTCTCATCAAATGCTGTGTTTCGAATTAGCTTTTGAGTATGGCTATCCCATTTTTAGGAACTTTTCCATTTAGTAGGGTAGGGTATAAAAAATGCATCATATTCATATTGATATTAGTAGCGTGCACGCTCCTCGTAGCGTTTGATCAAACTGAAAACGTAGACAAATGGATAGATGGAAAGATTATTTGAAATGGGTACTTGAACCAAATATGTGAATTGTGAACTCATCAGTGCATAAGTTTCAATTTTCAGTGTATTAAACATATGCCCTTACCTGTGTGTGACAATGCAAGAAATGGTAATAATGCTGATTTTCTAGATAATTTTATTTAATTTAAAACATATATTTAATATTTGCATTTAATGGAATTATCTTATAAGCTAAACGTTTATTTCATATTTAAGTGGAGATTAGTTCCAACTAAATTGGAAATTATTGGAGAGCCCTTTAGCTGTGACTCAAATACTAAAAACTCCATAAGTTAATTGTCATCAATTGAAAATGAATTCATAAATTCATTAATTATGGCATATTCAACACTTGAAAGCAACAATAACTAAACATTCATTAATTTATTTCATTTATTTACATTTAAATGCGCCCAACGACGAGCCTCTAATTACAATTATTATAGCTATTGATATTTTGCCACTACACACGTTTACAATTAGCAGGAATTATGTGGAATTGCATATATGTGAATATATATATATATATATGCCATTAAATGCCTATTTAATTGAACATACAATAAAAATATACATATATATATATAGGTAGTTGGGAGTTAAATCTAGCACTAAATGTACCACATCACATAGAGTACTCTCAAATAGGTAAAAGAGTGTGTCGATATAGTAAATGTAAATATATTCAAGTATTTACAGCTATTGCTAAGGAATTTACCTACAACTATTGAGTAAATACTGAGTAATGAGCTCTATATTGGATTGAAGATTCATTGACTCTCCGAAGTCAAACACAAACTTGCCACAATCAAGTTTTCCTGTGTTTCAAACTTTAAGCTCGAGCACGCTGAATACTCTAAGAAGAAATTATATAAGGTGTACAGTCAAATAGTACAGTGGTTGCTCGATAAATGTTTTTTGGGATTTCGGGGTTGTTTTGAATTTCTTAAAGTTAAATAAATTTTTTATATATGTATATATATATTTGTGGATTACAATTTGAACTGATTATTTAAGACATACAAATAATATGTAACTCAATTAAAATACTAATACTAATTGCTTTCGAGCAACCACTGTACAGAGACCTTCAAGTGCTTCCTGTGCAGCTCAGACTTAAAAGTCAATCGATGTCAACATATAAAACAGGTTTTGGTACTTTAGCATTAACCGAACAGTCACAAACTGTTTGAGCTTGGCCAATACCAAGGACCATCTATTTATGTACACGACCCATTTCAGGCTTAGAGTCCTTAGAAATTTACATATAGCCAACTGCCAACTGCCAATTTCAGCTACAGCTACAATTGATGATGAGGATGTGGATGTGGAATGATGATGGGAACGATGGTGGGGGGTGTTGTGATGGTAAACAGTACAACAATTACTGTCAATAAGCATAGCCATTGTGCTTGTTGTGTGTGTGTGTGTGTGTGTGTTTTTGGTGTGCGGATGTGTGTGAGAGACAGAGTGAGAGTGAGAGTGAGAGTGAGATCAGTAGCTTAGAGCTGCTCATCGGCCTGTTGGGTGGCCGAGCCCTCTTCCAGCAGCTCCACAATCAGTGTGCCTCACCTTTTCTCATTGATGATTGAGGCGCGTCCGATGCCGCCCACATTGTGGGCGTGACCATTGCCGCTGCCCGCATGCTGCAACGGCATCGAGTCCTGGCGATGGAAACTGCCTGTTCGTCCGCCAGGCCCTCCCGCTCCACTGCCGTGATTATTGTTCATGTGCAGCGAGGCACGATGGGCGGCCAGGCTGCCAGTAGCACCACCTACTCCACCACCGCCACCCACATAGGTGGAGCGACGCATCGAGGTGACGCTAGTATCCATGACGCCAGTTGCGGTCGAGTGTTGCCGGAGGTGTGGCTGCCGCTTGACGCAAAAGCAGCACAGATAACGGTTGAAATGCTGCCGAAATACGCCGGACACACAATATAGCGCCACCGGATTAACACATGAATTGAGGAAGCTGCAAATTGAATAAGACAAATCCATAAATTTAGCCCCAGTTGCAATATGGCATGCCCAATGCGACTCAGTTGTTAACCTGGCTAATGGTGCTATTGAGCCGACTCGTAAGCCATTTCTCAATCGGAGATTTGTTATGAGCTCGTGGCGCCTTAAATTATACTTTTTACACAATTCAATAGAATGCTGAAGTTGGTTAAGGTTAAGGTTCTTTTTAAATATCAGATATTTTTGAATTTTGATATCGAACAAATTTTGATATGGGAAAAGAGTCAATTTTGGTATTTTCTGATTTGAGACTTTATCACTAAAGCATTTTATGAATTCACATTTTTACATATTTAATGACTGTGTTGGCACAAAGATTTATAGTAGCTGGCTATCTGGCCTTTTGTTGAAAGTAAGAAAGCCCAGTCATAATATATATAATAAATTTCTCCTTTAAACCCTTATCTTGTTCTGTTGTAAACCAATTTCGCTGATTTTTGGGTGGTCTGCCAGTGACTTTGCGATTTGCATTCAAAATATTTATATTTATTCTACGAAATGGTTGGGAGTGCTTGACCCCCTCCTTGCCCCTATTGATTAACATTAAGGGTATCAATGTCAGTAAGCGGCTTAGCCGAATCCTTAACACTATTTTGAAAGCATCAAAAGGCTGAGTTCATAATTTGCCGCGTTTCTTTCGATTTGTTTCAATAAGCTTTTGAATATTTTATGAAAAACAAAAATGTTTATTTGTTTTCTCGGGCAACCCTTTTGGTATTAAAATGCAAATGATTCTCACTGGAACTGTTGACACGCCCTGACACCAAAAATTAAGTTGCCGCAATGCTGACAGATAATTCTATAAATTTTAATGCGCTAAGTAACGATCCCTCCCCTCACCACTCCTCTCCCAGCAACTGACGACGTGAAAGCTGTCAACGAAAATAAATATACGACTGTTTGGCGCCAAAGAGCAAAGAAATTAGTGTTGGAGGGAATAGTGTATATCCTAGGCAAGCCAATGTTTATATACCCTTACAGACTGAATTTGAAATGTGTGTATTTTTTTTGCACTGATGCTGATTGAATCTACCTCAAAGCTGTTGTCTTTGTGATATTACTGCATTGCAATTTGAGGACAGTATTTTTAAGCGGAACCAAAGTCAAAATGAATAAAAATATTTGTTTCTTCAACTAGCTCAAATGCAAATATACTTTGTGAATTCAAATATGCCCCAAACTTTGTCACAAATTTATAATATTTCTCGAAAGGGTATAATTATCCCCTGAAGCACTGCACCGCAAAGTCTAAGGACCAACAACTTTTCATATGTTCCGCAATCTGCCCCTTGATGAGTATGCTTGTGAGCAGGGAATGCAAGGATTGCATGCGCCAGCAAGAATTTAAAACAGTTGTCGCCCAAAGTTATTAAACGAAAGGGATAATGTGTTGTACTTGTAGTCGGTGTTTAGCCTTTAAGCCATTAGCCTTAGCTTACCTTGTGCAAAATCCTACGATGCGAACCACGTGCCAGAAGTCATCGAAATCATCCTCGGCGGTGGGATAGAAATGGTACCACAGCTCGAATACATGATATGGAAAGAAGCAAATAAAGAACACTGTCCGTGACAGGCAATTAGTATGCGATTGAGTGAGCAGGAAATCCAGCACTCCCTCAAGTTCTAGAACAGTACTCACCCACTACAAAGGCGACGACCATGCGTGCCACATGACGACGAGCCCGGGCCTGACTGCGACTCTGAATGCTCAGCTGCTCGCCGGGCATGTCCCGGGCACTGATATGCAGACGCTTGGCCATCATTATGTATAGGACGCCAATGATGGAGAGCGGCACAAAATAATATATCGATGCCTTGGCAACCACCATATATCTGCAAGAGAAGACAACAAACACGGCTTAAGCATAAGCTCATCTACTTGTTGGTCCATTGGAAACGGTTGCTACTTAGTTGCACAGCTTAGTTCATGCGACTAACTTAAGGCTAACTTAGATTTGGTAATTACAGTCATTTAAAGTGCTTTGATTGATTGTGACGCAGTAGCTTAATGCATCACAGCCTGTCGCAGATTTGTCAAATGTCTGTCAAGCACATTTTTTTGGTTTTAATGCTCTGCAAATTTAGTTATTTTGTGGTCTTAACGCCACCTTTGCACAATTGGAAGTGTATCTTTTAAGCCCTTAAATATCTGCCAAACATTTAGTTTAACTAGACAGTATAGAAATCAAAAATATATAAGAAAGATATTGCTGATTATAAAGTAGAAAACAAGAAGCTTTTATTAAATTTAATTATATTTCCCATCCACAACGATATAATTTGCTGCTGCTCTTTAATCTTTAACAATTTTATATTTTATATTATATATTTTTTTCCCTTCAAAATGGGTATAACAAAGTCATGCACTGGCACGTAAGTGGGAAAAGAGTTTACGACTTGTGATAGGTCAAGACTTGGGTTCAGGGTAATCGAGCCTCTCAACACGAGCATCCTTTTTTTTCTTTATTTCTTGGGTATTTTAAATTTGTAACTCTACCTTTTAGCTCGTGTGCGATATCGATCTTAAAGGAGAGTTTCGGGTAATCTGATTTTAAAATTTGAAGAAGGGATCACAATCATCATTAAAAATGCGAAATAAAAATGTGTCCAAAGTATGTCTGCCTGAATCTGTGTGAATAATGTGTATTTAAATGTGAAGCAATTGCATTCGTTCCGTTAATTAAAATGAATTAAGCCCAACGAGAGCCTCAATAACACAAACCAAGTTTGTGTGTAACCAGAGTAAATATATTATATTTATTGATGAAAGCATTGATGTTTATTTGTTGCAGTAATTGATATATTTAATCTGTCGTGCAGCGGATATATTCTTATTTATCTACGCACAGATTGGCTGACAGCTTTTTTATGCAATACTGAATTATCACAGGTTGGTTAACAAACTGACAGCTTTTTTATACAATACTTAATTATCATTATTATTTAAATCTGACTTCAGTTCAGTATTTATGCATTTTTGGTCAATTTTCAAAAATTCAGCACCACAATTGCCAAGCCAACTTATTGATTTATATAATTTAAGAGTGGAACTCATTTAAATGTTGCCTAGGGGAATCATCACATCAATTATAGAATTTAATTTAATGCTGAGTCTCACATTTCATGAAAATGAATTCAGTAATCGGATTTGGGCCCAAATAGCTACACGTCCAAGCCATATTAAACAATTTGTCAGACTATTAAAATGCCTGTAGGCACTAGACATTTACAATAAATCAAGAAACGTGTCACATTTTGATGAGTAATGAAAACTTAGTTGTTATCTTAAATTACATGCTTTTAAGAATTATTTTTTTTATTTATTTTTTTTAATGAGAATTTGTGATCATTTTTTTTATTTTTAATGAGAAAAGTTATATGCCTTGCATAAAAGAATTAGTGACCAGTTGTCTAAAGCTGTGTAAATAACAGCAGAAGGATATGCCAACAGCAACACCTACATCAACACCAGCAACCCAGCCACCAAGTGGCTGTTGGTGTCGGATTATGTGGCAACAGCTGTCGTTGTCCGGCGTGAAAGGATTGTGAACTTGTAGCAACAGGCAAGCAGACACAGGCAGGCTTAAAAGCAAGAGCAGAATTAAATTTAAGTTGCTTATCAGCTGCAGAAATGCGAGGAGCAGCATATGGCCAACAAATATGTATATCCGGTTGAGTGTAAGGAAGACGTCGTTGAGCCAAGGCCTCACTCTGATGAACTGGACAGAAGGGTGTCAGGGTAACAGGATGGTTTCTTAATGAATATAAGCACCTTTAAAGTGACTCCGGGACAGTAATTGGATTCAATTGAGACAGGCTAAACTAGCTAGGATTAGAGACTTTAAGAGTTAGTCATTTAGAACGAAAACGATTCTCAAAACTTAAAAAAAGTAAATAAAATAATTTAAGTTTAAATTTATATAAAGATAGAAGTGTATAAATTATGTACATTGCACAAGTATACAAATATTTTGAGATAATCAAATAGTTACCACATAGAAGGTAGCTATTTTAGTTGTCTTAAATTCAATGTTTTAATGGAAAAGGACATTGGACTGCTGCTTGATTGGGCATTTGTTTTCTTCTTCTTTTTTTTGGGTTGGAGTGTGGACACCCACTTAAAACTAAATAAAAACGAATGAGGCGGACAAAGGCGCAAAATAATGTAACTGAATTGGCATTTTGGCCCATTGGTCAATAACTACTTACTTTGCATAAATCTTGGAGCGAAATGGAGAGCACACTTCAATGGTTATATTGCCCTTGTTCGTGGGCAGCGTATAGCCTTGCAGATCGGATACAACAAACGACGGCATGCCCAGCATTATAGCCAACACCCAGATAATCACCGCCGTAAACACAGTCAGCGGCTTTGTCTGTATTTGTGTTTGTATTTGTGTTTATGTGAGAAAGAAAATTGTTTAAGTATCCGTAAGGGAGTAACGCTCTTAAACTTAAAAGCTCACCTGCAATTTGCGCAGCGGATTCACAATGGCGCAATAACGTTCGCCGGAAAGTGCGGTCAATGTGAAGACGGAGACACCGATGGAAATGTCCTTGAAGAATTCGGATATGCGACACATATTACGCTCAAAGGGCCAACTCTCCTGAGTGTAAACAATTGTTGCCACTGGCACACACACCAAGATGACCAACAAATCAGCCAGCGCCAGCGAGAGTATATAACTGTATAGGGATAATAGAATAGAATACATCAAATCAGTACAAAATAATTGCCAAATAATTATAATATTCAACTTAGAGATACTCTGTTTCCTAATTTTATTCTGATTCATTTAATATTTGTGTATGCTCCAGAAAAAGTAGATTTTTTCTGTCTGTTAACTAATCACAGCCCACATTATTTAATGGTTACAGGGTATAACTGATTATCTGTAAACTCCATTCATGATGTTTTTAAGTCATAATTCAAAAATATTGAAAAATACAGTTTGACATTCCATTTGGTTGATTATGAAAAATACAACCCTTAAGTTGTGTGAAGGAAGAAGTTTATATAAAAGGCGAATTTGTTGAGTTTACACACAGTTAAACGTGTCAAATTTGCTGCATGATTGCACTGGGATTGAAATTGAAATTGTTATCGCTATGGAATTGGGAACGGGTTTGGGTAGCTGGAACGGGTACGGGAACGATAACGGTAACGGTGCTTTTGTTCTGTTCTGTTCCTGTTGCCCGTTGTGCATCCATATGGAAAGCAACCTTCGATTTCAAACGCACTTTTCTTTTGTGCTCTGGGCCATTTTCAAGTATCTGCCTTGAAATGGGTCTGTGCACAAAATCAACATCAATTCCAGCACACTCCTCGAGCGCGATTGTCAGAAATTTACGCTTAAATAGGAGATATTGTGTCTCCTGTCAAATGGTGTCTAGTTTGAATTTTCAGGGCCCGAAACTCGATTGTGTTGCAGTTAAAAAAGGCAAATGCTGCTGCCTTTTCTGTTTATTGCTAAACAAATGGCTTTGGCATTGAGGTGCTTGAACCATATTGAAGATGCCAGACTAAACACATTTAAAGCATAACAATAATCCACAAATTGCTAGTTGTGACAGAGGTCAATTGATGCTTGTCTAGACAGCCCTGCTGGACACACGTGCACAAAGGATCAGCAAGCAAGTTGGGCGAATACTCTAGTCCACTGATTGTGGCTGAATTGAAACGTAGAGATTCCATAGCTACCTGGACAGAAGTCCATCTTTTAGTCAGTCTGTTCAATCTCATTAGTCGCAAATTGTGGAGCACACATATTGACAATTGAGCCAGGCTGACAATTTATGTGTTCTCGCAATAAATATTCTTGTTGTGCAACCTAAAACTTTCTGTCACCGATTGCGTTTGACTGGCATAACTTTTGAATTGAATTTGCATTTGAATGTATTTAAATAATTCAGGAGTCAGAAGAGTCAGAAGGAGACCCGAGCGATACAAAAAGTGCCGCAAGGCTTAACATAGTTCTTAGTTGTAAGTTTTGTACAAGTTGGCAACTTAATAAACATTTGCATATGCCCAAATCGAAAAGCGTCGACATCTGTTCCATTCAATACTTAAACACATAGCTACAGCCTACCAATAGTTGGATACTGAATACATTGTGGAAACGAATAAACACAATCCGATTTCCCTGACACGCATTAAGCATACGCCATGTGGCATTGTCAGCCGTTAAGAATATTTTCTTTTTTCCGTGTCTCTGACAACTGCTTAAATGGGCCTGGTCTTGCCATCAATTGGCAAGAATTTAAATGTCTTAAAGCGCCAAGCAAGTAACGGCAAGCATTTGCTTATAACTTATTTACTTGACATTAGTTTTAAAATTTTTTTTTTAATCACGCAGCATTGTGCTTTAAAATGTTTCTTTTAAATCACTTTTAACTTATGGCATCAATTGAACTCCCAGTTTTATCTTTAATTTGAAATGCTGCTTAGTATTCCTGGGCAAAAGGGCAAGCGCCTTCTGCGCTGAATACGAAAAGTTAAGAAACATTCGTTTAGAACTTTTTAATTTGGCCAAGCATGTTGACAGCTGTTTCGACCAAAGCAAAGACAGATCTGACTCGGATACAAGTGGCAATAAAATCAGAAATGCGGCTCATAACTCAGCGCTATGAATGTTGAGTGGCAATTCTGCTATTCTTTTTTTTTTTTGGTTTTTTTGGTTTTTGCTCGTTTTTTTCATTTTTTTTTGTTTGGCTATTTTTGGCACCACACAGCGCTCATTTGGGCCACGAGATATTTATATGAAGTGTCTGCCATGATTATACACATATGGCTTGGCTGCATATATTAGGCTGTTATTTGGGGTAGTCTGGGTATAGCGGCCTGCACCACAGGGTGGATGGTCTGGGCATCACTTACGTGTTGGGTATGTTGCGCATGGAGCGATGCCGAAAGAATATGATAACCAAAGTGCCATTGCCAAGCACGCCCACAATAAAGATGAGCGTATATAGCACGGTCACAATATATGTCTCGGGGCGATCCAAGACTTTCACATACTGCGGATACTCCTCGGCGCTGACATTATGTGGAATTGATGTCGCTGCCGTTGCTCCCGTCGATCCATCCAGCTGACTCGAATTGCTGAGCTGGCTAACATTCATCCCAAGAGCAGCAGCAGCAGCCGCAGCAGCAGCAGCAGCAGCAGAATTTGATTCCATTGGCGCATAGGCCAAACTTGCCGCCAGTGTCTGGCTCATGTCCATTAGCGCCGCGTACATGTTTAAGGATGCGACACACAGAATCCTCTAGTGTCCTGTCTCAGCACCGAGTTCCTGTCTGTGTGTTTCCCTTTTATGTGCTCGCTTGTTGAGGCGACTTCCGTTTCCTTTTTAGGCAACTTTTTGCTGTTGTTCACGCTTTTGCACTCTTATTTTATTTATTTATTTTTGCTGTTTGCCAAGGGGTATTCAGTTTATGGCATTTAGGTTTTTAGCAAAGTCGTTGTTGTTGTCGTTGTTGTTAGTCGTGTTGCTGCCACAGTTGCGTGTTTTATTTTGCACATTTTGTTTCAGCTTGGACCACATTTGTTGTCAATATTGTTATTGCTGTTGTTGTTGTGGTTGTTGCTGTTTGTGGCTTTACTTTGTGACTGTCGACAGTTGTTGTCACTCTGTGGACGAGAGAGAAGAGCAGTGGAATGAGTACTTGTTAAAGTCATTGTTTGTTCTCAGTGATTTAAGCAGCTTTCAATAAAATGGCGAAAAATACTACGTTGCATAACGCACAGTATTTTATTTTTTTGTATATAGCTTAATTAAGTTACTTGTTGCGGTTTGTGTTCGTGCAATTGACAACCCTTCTTCCTTATTTGTTTTTTTATCTGATTATTATTTATTTGAAAATGTAACCCCAAAACATAAAAAAAAAATCGAGAGCAGCCCTTTTTATTATCCAATTTGTAGTGGATAATAAATGCAAGAGTATTAATAAAAAGAAATCGATGAAAACTTGCCATTTATAAACAGCAAAATGTGATCGAATCTGATGTAAAACAAGCTGGGCAAAAGCTAATATTAAATTAAATTAGGGCTCAGTTCTGCTTTTATATTTGAAAACTTTTGGAATAATTTTAAAAATACTTGCTAAGAATTTTAATATATTTGAGTTTGCGTTTGAATTTGGGGTTTCTCTGCTTTCATCTTCTAAGGAAAATTAGTGTATGTTTATCTCTTAAATACCCTTACCAAAAATTTGCATACACAGATACAATTTTAATAGGAAACATCTATCGCTTATGCTAAATGGAACCCAACTCAATCAAAAATAAACTGACCAGGAAATGTGTATATTATATACAATTACTTAGTATTTACATTCGAGAAAGCCAAACGCAGCATACAACAGAAATAAAACCTTTTTTGGATTGGCTTGTGCAATCGAAACGTCAGTTGATTGTGTTTTAGCCATGTCTTCTGTTCAGTTGGTGCAAAGCATTCAATTATTCTTGGTTTGCCATGTATTGTCATTCTTTTCATATTATTTTTCAAGGTCCTGGTGGGATTCGAGCTGCTGTTGCCTGTAAGGGGAGGGAACGGATTCCTTGTAAAACGTACATTGAGAACTAATACAAATTCATTCGGGCAAACATACAAAGACTTTCAAATCGTAATCAGTCGCCTTTATCATACACACAGCAAGCAATCGCAGTCTGTAAAGCATCTGATTCGGGTTTCTTTCTGGGATTCACTTAAGTTGTGTGTGTGTAAGTGATTGTGTGTGTTATGTCGTTTCAATTTCAATTCGATATTGGGTTGTTTAGCAGGCGTTACTTGTTTTGGCCATATTGATTTCCAGGACTACAACCATGTTTACCCTTGTGGTCTACGCCACGTATGCTTGTTATTTATTCAACGCTCTAAATTTGTAGCAGTTTCTTGGCAAATAGCGCAACAATCTTCGCAGCCAATGTATTTATAGGCTTTAGCTTGTCTATAAGCAGCTTAACTATTTTAAAAATACACGCAATTGCAGTGCCCAGTTCTTGTCTTCCTCTCATAGGTGCTCAGGAGCTTCATTGGACGGTCAGGAAACTAGATACCTATTGCATTGGTTTGCCCTAAAATTAAGTATTTATTGGACAGCTTCCTTAAATTATTAAACTATGCATGCAATTTGTGCCCGAACGTAGATAAGAGAGATAGATAGATTGAAAGAGAGAGAGAGAGAGAGAGAGAGAGATAGATAGATTGAAAGAGAGGGTGATAGAGTTAATTTAAAAAAGAAACATATAATTTAAATATTAATGATTTACTTTTGGACTACTTTACTAATCTATGCTTTTCTATGATACTTGTTGCAGTCTATTTTGGGTCAAACCACAAACTAATTCATTGATTAGAAAGCCAAAACTATTATAGGTTTAATTAAATGGCAAGTCTTCCTAATTTATTTTGAAACACCATTGCTGCTTTTAGCCAGCCAAAGCAAATCCAAGTGTTTAACTTAAACGTTTTAGGCTTTACACGTTTGGCCCATAAGGAATTGGCCTCTTAAATTACATCAGAAAAAAGTGAAACACGTGTGCAATGAAATTTTAAACTCCTAAACGAACTTGAAACCGATAAAAAAAAAGAAGAGATTCCTAAACAGTTTGCACCACTTGGGAGTTCATCCCTTATTTTAGTGCTAACTAAAGTCTTAATCTCAACTTATTCGTTCTTACTGTTTTTGGACTGACCCTTGCTCGGAAGGTCTCCGGTCAATCAGTGTGAAAAAACTTTTATATATTTGATAAATAGATTAAACATTTTTGCACCGTCTAGAACATTTAACGCTTGCTTTTGTGGATGCCACAGCTAGAGCAATAAATTACGTTAAATACGTTACAAAGTTTTCAGGTCTTTTGTGTCAAAATTGCAAAATCTTTTTAATAGATTTATAACATTAAACAACAATATGTGCGTGGTCTACACCGAGTTTAAAGTCATGAAAGCGTTTTGTTATTTTATGTGAGTACCACAAAGGTCAACAATGCCAACGATTGAGTTTTCACTCAATTGGCACGGCACTTAAGGGACCCACATGGAACATTTGCGGTTGTCGCATCACAAAGGAGTTCAGGGAGCGTGCACACTGAGAGAATTTAAGGGCAATTAGCTGTGACAACATCGCCATAAGCTTCTGCTGGGTCAGCTGTTGGAACCCATCCAATGCGATTGCTAGTGTTTAATGACAGACCTTTGGGCAATATGCTTGCGAAAGTGTCGACAATCAACACACCAGTGTGTGTTTTATGACTATGTGCTTTAGTGGAAAATTCGAAATGTGACTTCCGGCTAAAGAAAGACACAAACAGAGAGAGAGAGAGAGAGAGAGAGAGAGAGAGAGAGAGCGGGAGAGAGATGAGAGTGAGCTGTATGAAAGAGAAACTTTACAATGTTAATTATTTTTCGCTTTTTGTGGCAACGCGACAGAATACTAAAAGTTTTCAAGCTGCTTCCGCCAATGGCAGCCAGAGTTTTTGTTGGCCGCTTCGTGGCTCCAGGCAATTATACGGCAGGCCCCAAAAACTTGTCAGCGCAAATTCATAAAATACGCCTGTCGATTTTTTGTTTGCGCAATGCCTTACAAAAAAGTTGCCCCGGCACGCCATTTAGAAAAGTTTCTCAAATTAGTTGAGCCCCCTCAATGTCACCAAAAGTTGAATGTCTGTCTGGGCATATCAAAAAGCCTGACTTGCCACACTAATAACAAGCGTCAGGCAGAGGCGACGAAACATGCAGCACTTGAAAAACAAGTTTGAAGAAAATTCCATGATACACATAAATTTTCCAGGGAAAATCAACCACACACAGAAGATTAAGTGGCTGTGACGAAAATGTAACAAGCATATAAGGCAGCTGTCCAAGAAAAGGAAAATACAAAAAATAGCAAAAATAATTTAACTTGTGGGACATGTCCTGCAGCTTAAATGCTCACCGCCCTCTGATCCCAATCAATTTAATTGAATCTTTACACCCCCTGAGGGAAGGGCCAAACATCCCCTTGGTGAACTGTCTATTGCTTTTTAAAAGTTTTGAATAAGTATTTGAATTGAGGTCAAAGTTAAAGTCATTTCTTAGAATCCAGTGATGGACTTTCCACAAATTTGGTTGGAAAATTAAAAATATGTTTTTTGGGCAAAATATAATTTAGTTAATCAAAATAAATGCATATATATATTCAAATATATAAATATATAATATGCAAAAGCGAATTCATCATTTATTTAAAGCAAAAGTCTGCGTTACAGATGATCCACATAAATTCTTTTATTTCTTTATTTTTAAATTAGGCTTTTCTTAAAGATTTCAGCTGGTTCACAACGCTTTTTCAACGCAATTACATTTGTCGGTAGCGAAAGTCTATTAAAATGACGAGGTGGCTGGGTGACTTGTTGCTAGGCGGAGCACCCCGTCGTGCGAGTGACATCCCGTGCTGCAAGCAGCTAAGCACACAGAGGCGGATACAACATATTGTCGAAATGGCGTTGAGAACATGGCAAAAATTCTTTTGAGTATGTGTTAGATAAATCATAAGGCAAACATAATTTAATACACACCCCTGCTGCGAGGTAGATTTTGCAGCTTGTAAGCTGCACGGCAACAGTATCAGCAGCAGTAGCAGCAGCAAGCGTTAGACGTGGCGTATGTGTAATGCGGCGAGCGTGTTAATCATACGCCACGTATGCGCAGCCAAGCCGAATAATAAGCTTCAGCGTCGTTAGCTGTAATAAAGGTTAGCTATGCATTCCACCCCAACCAGAGGGCCATGCCAAACAGTGACTAATGACTCTCTGAGCACATTATGCAGCGAGTTCTAAGCTATTTTAATTAAAGCCCAAAAAAATATTTGTCCATTAATAAAAATACAACAACACAAAAAAAGCGTGGCCAATGCTCATTTCGTATGCGCTGAAATTTTGTCAGTTCCACCACTCCAACTTTCTTTTGACTGAACATTATGCAAATTTCATGAGGTTCCATTTGGGCTTCTGGTTCAGCTCTCTCTCTCTCTCTCTCTCTGTCTCTCTATCTATCTTTCGACACTGTGAACATAAATATTGACAAAGTAGCGCGCCGTTGCCGCCTTGCCTCGCCTCGAGGTCTCCAAGCTAAATCAATGGCTGGCAGCCGACAAGAACTCAGACCGACAGCCAGGCGGGCAAACGGGCAGCCAGGACGCAGGCACAAGAGCCAGATGGGTCATCCATTTCGGGTCATAAAGCATTACGATTCATTTTGATTGAAGATGATTGAAGATGATTGCAAATGGGCAGTATGCCTATGCAGACATGCGAGATTTCTGTTTGCCTTAACTTGGCTTAGCTAAATGCCACCTATACATCTAGATTCTAGATGAGTCTGTAGTCAAAGATCAACTGTCAACTATGACCAAGAAATGAGACTGAAAATATAATTCTAGTTTTTGACTTACTGTCAATTCATTTGAAAAATTACTTTATGTTTGGTATATTGTTACCCATTGCAAGTGCTAGCAAAATTTCAATATGTCGAAGCGGGTGAGCATTATCACGCCAGACGAGCTGGCTGCAGAGGGAGCAGCTACTGCAGAGGCTGTAACTCCTTCATCTAGACGCTCATCAGCGACATCGGTGAGAGCCAAAAATTCGAAGAGTAGCTTGAAAGTTATGCCCAGTGCTGATGTCAAAACAAAGAGTGAAACTAAGCTGAAAAGTGAACACGATACGAATGCGAACACTGAGAGCGCCTTGGTGAAACTGTCCATGACGGATCTGTTCTCGGATGGCTGTGAACGCTATAAGAAGGATTGCTGCTGTTGCCACTGTGTGGCTGTGAGGAAGGCCTTGAGGCAGGCAGCATATCTGCAAACGCCGGAAGGCAAAGAGCGGACGCAGCTGAAGATGCATCTGAAGAGCTTCTTCATGGACATCAATGCAATGACCCACGTACGCCGGACGATCGAGGCGAGGCTGCATGGAAACAAGGAGCCGACACCCTCACCAACCAAGAGTTTTCCCATAACCATAACTGATGTAGAACCGATAGATGAGCATTGCATGTCCATAGATTGGTATCTGCACGATGACTCCATGGTGACGCACTACGAGATCTATGTGGACAATAGGAGGCGAAAGCGCATATTCAATCCCTTGGTGACGAGCACGGTTCTCCTGGACGTGGACATGAAACGCTCGCACAAGATTCGCATGAGGGCGATGCCCAAGAAGTGTGCCAGCTCGAATACCGATCCCATGGATAAACTTGTCCGGGATGTGTGCTGTGGTGGCCTCAATAACATCCTTGATTCCGACTATTTCTGTCAGTGTGCCAACAAATCGAAAATGGAGAAAATCAAGGTGCATTACAAAAGGAACTCGTGCCAGGTGCTGGTCGATTTCTGGAAGGACAGCGAGTTCTTTTACATACCCTCCCTTCTCTCTGTAGATCAATTGTAGGTCCTCAATTTATCACTTTTTGGTAACTCCTAATTCAATTTTTAAATGTAAGTCACAAGTCAAAATTTTACATATTCTAAATTGTATTTAACAAAGTTGAAGCTAATATTGAATGAGGTCGTTCCTAAAGGGACTGATTAACTTGTAACATATTTAAAATACTGCAAATCAGGTTATAATTGCAGCAATTCGAAGTTTCATTTACATACATCGTTAAAATCGGAGAAATCTGAATAAAATAAAAGTTTTTAAGTGCCACTCAAACGTGGAAGCTGCGTGTGTCGAGTGTTGTCTGTCATCCAAAGACAAGACTTTCGCACTTTGAACTCAGCATCTGAATACGGAATACTGATTCTGCTGCACTTACAAAAGAGTAAGCAGGACGAGTGGCTGCGAGAGATAGATAGAAAGAGTGAGTTGGGGAGAGACAACAAGTCATGTGTAGACAACTTCAGCTGTCGGCTTTATTTAAAAATTTATCATAATCTGCATAATGTTTTCTTTACTTTTTTTTTTGTTGGTGAATGGTGCAGAGTGCGCGCTCATTTTATCAGTGGCCAACAGGCATTGGCATTGGCATTAGCATCGGCATCGGCTTTGCCACGGCTATATGGGGAGAGGGGGGCAGTTGATGCTGACGTAGGCGCCTACATTTGGGACTCTCTGACGTGGCGTGATTAATTATTTGGCAAATATTTGAAATGCCCCGAGTGGTTTCCATTACAGCGCAATTGCTTCTGTTCTGTTGATGTCAGTGAAGAGCGTAATGTGAACGCAATGAAAATCTGAGAAATTTTACGCAAATACTTTGGGCACATTTCTACGAAACATACTATATAAATTAATATATAGATATATATATATTTATATATACATTTAATTAAGTTTTGCGCTTTTGGTCAATCTTTTGAAGTACGCGATTGTCCAAATGCCAAAGTGATGTACAGTGGCCGATTTTCTATTTGGTATTTGTTTGTTTGTCTACGATAAACAAGCACCACTTATAGCATAGTACTTCATTTCAATTATTTTGATTATTTTTGAATACCCTCTGAAATACAGTAAGAGAGGTGTTATGAACAAAGAAACAAAGCAGCACTTTCTGGCGATGTCTTTAAAGAAATATAATTTAATGATAAGCAGAAACCATTTATTTTTTTTTATTGTTCTCAATCCTTTAACGAGAGATTTAATCGAACTAATACCAATTATTTTCTTTTGTTTATTGACTTATCAATTATGACGCAGTTGCTTTGATAATCTTGAGCTGCCAAGAGCATAACTTCATGTCGAGCACTGCCTACGCGAACATTCTGCTTATATCTTTTAATGCTTCCCCATTTGAACCACGCGTCGTATGCGCTATTTTTATGGTCACATCCAATTAGTTTTAACGCTCTACAATTTGAAGACCGAGTTTTATGCGCTGCGTGCTGTTTGCAAATATTTTAATTGATTTCATGTGGTTGTTTCGCCTTTTACGCCACGCAATTTTGTGTAAATATTTCACTTATATTACCAGGCCAATGCCCAAATTGTTGTTTATCTCAAAATGTTTATAGCCAAATCGATCACGCAAAGTCCGCTGCCAGCCAACAGGCAGCTGCAATAGTGCGTTAAATTATCCATTTTCGTTGCCAAATCGAAAACAATTTCAACCGCACAAAGTTTAGAGAGCCCATTGAACCTTTTAATGACAAATTTCCAAGCACAGCAAATCGACTGAAAGCCCACACAATACCAAAAAAACCAAAAGGCACACATCAAGTTGGGGACACATAATTGACATTCTTGTCTGTCGGATAGCGACAAAAAAGAAATCTAAGGGCTAACCTGTTGTCCTGACCAAAATAGCTGGCACGTACGAATACAACACCATTTATGGGCATAAACTGGGAATTAATGTGAATACTATATGCAATGCAGCCAAGTGGAAAACTAAGACAAAACCAGCAACATGAAAATAATGTGCAATTTTCAAGCGAAGCGGAAAATATTAAAATTGACTTTTCGATTAAGCTAAAGAAATAATATATTTTAAAAATAATAAATGTCGCGTTGCTTTAAGATTAAAGAGTAATGTGAGCTTTAGTAGATTCGATTTAAATATATTCGATTTAAATATATATTTACAATATTTTTGACACACAAATGTTATTCAATGCTCGAGCATGTTTTCGATTGAGATAAATATGTAATCAATAATGCATATCATGTTTATTAAATAAAACTGAGGTTATCTTTGATATAGGTAAATAGGTAATCAATAATAAATATCCCTAGGTATGCTGTTAATCCGATGTTATTCAGAAGACTTCCGCCCACTTACATGCTGTATTGATGTCCTGTGCCTACATCTAAAATTTATTACACATTGGCTAACTGTGACACATTGTTCTCGCGGGAGCAATGATTTACAGTTTGTTTTACAAGAGTCTCTCAACATTGCCTACGTTTTTTCCACTTCTGGCAATCTGTCAACGTAGCAGACTCTGTGAAAAATCTAACGAATTTCAATTGAAATTTCGCGTGAGTTTTTTTGGCATTGTCGCGTTTGCTTTGGCCTTGCCTGAAAAAAAAAGAATTGGATGAAAAAGAGAAAAGAACAAACAAATGGTGAAATCTAAATGTGATTTTGGAATTGCTGCTGCATTGTTTGTGGCGCAACTTCACTATGTGGGCCCCTGATAACCCACCCGACGCCGCAAGGTTCCCCAGCTGTGTGGCACACAAAATTGATCAGGGATTTGAGGAGTTTTTTTGTTTGTGAAAGAACCTGTGGGAAAAGCAATATGAGAATGCAGGATTTGTTTGGCATTTTTCAGTTCATGTTCGCTAATTGGCAAATTCACAAACAAACTGATGAAAATAAAAAGGGGAATCGGTTGGGAAACAGAGCAAACATATAAAACAGCCACAGGCAGTTCGCGAATTTATTGTCAACATAATTCAGGCTGAATTCAATTTAGCCAGAAAACATTAACAACTTTCGGGGGCACTAAGTAAATTACTGAGAGACGACGAGAGAGCTGTGTTCTGTGCTGAGGCCAACAGTCTCAGTTTCTTGAAGGAAGTTGATTTCCGGACAAGAGGAGAATAATTTGAGCATAATTTTATTATTGACATGGCGGTCAATGTCAATATTTGTCTATTTATTCGCTAAGACATTTTGCTCAACATAAATGGTTGAGGGCAAACCAAGCGAAGATTACTCCATAAATGAGATAAAATATGTTCTATGTCCAGGTCTGCCATTATAAGCCTTATCAAATCATTTGTTTATGCAAATTAAATTCTTTTTTCTTGTGTTTTATTGCATGGCTTAAAGATAAATGTAGCTCACTAAATGAAATCAGAGAGACGAACAAAAAAAAAGAAACCCGAATTCAACAATCACTAAATAAGCTCGAGCTGGGTAATCGCAAAAAATATAACAATAGACACAAAGATACAAAGATACAACATCTTTTTGCTTGCATAAATTCATTTTTGTTTTTGCTCATATCTTTTGCAATTTCAGTGCATTATTTATAGCACTGGTGGTCAGCAAGGGGGCGTTGCGAGCCACTCGACACGCCCACCTCGTTCGGGGCCAATGATTTTATGATAAATGAACCAAGTTAATCATCAACTCGTTGCTGGTTGGTGGTGCAAAAGTGCTCGAAGCAACTTCAATGCAAAAAAATCAAGGGCTATTGTATAGCAGTGCTGGTGGGCGGAAAAAGGGGAAAAGTAAAGAAAATTGTATTGGACAGCATGAAAAAGTTGCTGTGTATTAATGCAGGTGGCAAAAACGATGCTCAACTATTTATGAGAGAGTGGGTGAAGTTGTTATATTGACGTCAATGCATACTGAATGATGTTGTAAAGGTTAAGGCAAAAATGGAGTTTGCTTTTGGGGACCAAAAAGTTTACTATAATTGATGGATATTGTGCTGCCAAGAGATTAATGTTGGGGCAAACGTTAACCCTCACATTTCACTATAAAAATTAACTCCACGATAAATCTTATAAGCACTTCACAATTGACATTAGCCAGCAATTGATAGAACCGACTAGGCCAACTCATTAATCACAGCTAAGCAAACGAAAGCGAAGGAAAACACTGATTTGAGCTACTTCCTTTGACAAGCCGCACACAAAACACACACTAAGCAAAAGACAAAACTCGACAAACTCACGTATCACGAGCTTATGTAAGACCTATCAAATCACCAGGTTGACTCGAAGCAGGGACTAGAATTACGCACGTAGCCCAGGAGAACATTATCCGCGTCAGCAGATTGAGAGACTATAACGCGGTTGCCGGCTCCATTTGCCATGTCGAATGTCATCGATTGACAGGCTGTCAATATGCATAGCAAGCTCTTCATATACGCGACACATTCAGCCACATACTTTGGCATTGGCATTGACTTTGATTTTTGACTTGACTGTGATTACGCAAGAGTCCTTGGTCCTGTTAACGACTCTTTCGCCGTCTGTCAGCTTTCTCGTACGTTTATCATTTACATTTATTTAATTTCCTATTTATGATATATCAATATTGAAAAACTTACGGTTTGACTGACTGACTCTGTGCAAAGCTGGCAGCATGCAAATGTCGAAATGTAATTGAATTTCAATGATTGCTCATTCGAATTAAGCTGATATGACTTTTAATATGTAACTGTAGCCAGCAAAAACCAATAAAACAAAACATATGTTATATGTATAACTATTTATTTGCTTTACATTTCAGATCTACTCTATAATCTATCATCAGACATACCATTGTTAAAACTGAGTAGATTTTCCTTGGAGTGCGATAATCTCATATTAATAAGCAACTTATATAAATAACATGGGAAGCTATTTCGTATTCAAGTTTTTACGCCTCTTCACTAATTATGCAATCAGTTAATAAACGCTTCCCTTTTTGGTCAAAGAGAAAAACGAGCAGTCCTTTAAAAGCTGTTGGCATAATTGAGCAATTTGGGCAACGCCTGAGCCAAAGCCTGAGCATATGCCTCTTATGGTGAATCATTAATAACTGGCGTTCACATTAATCAGTTTAATATGACGAATTAATTTGACGACTTTAAAGAGCCTCTTGAAAATTTGTGTATAATGAAAATTACACACAATAAATGTCGTTTAAGTGAAATGCTGGAAATGGCTTCACAATGAGGAAACAACTCGTGTTCATTAATTTAATAATGGCCAGGCAGAAAATTGAAGAAAAATATGAATGCAAACGTAAATCATTTTGGACAATGGAATGCAAGCAAACAATAAAATGGAAACAGCGAGGAAAAATAACTCAAGTAAAGACATAAAAGAATAATGACATCAAAATGCTTTTCATGGCAGGGCAAACTTTAAAATATGATGGAGTGTGAGATTTACTGGCTCTAAAGATATGTGACTTTTAGTGCCAGAGTACAGCACAATTCCGTAAACCAGCCAAAAGCAGAAAATAAATGTCACAAATGGATTTACAATAAGAAGATTGAGCGAGTCGGCATTAAAAGGCCTAGTTATACATAAATCAGAAGAAAAAAACCTTTAAGTTAACAGCAACCAAACGGAAGAAAACAAAATAACGTAAAAATGTGCGCTTGAAATTGCGCGACTAGAAGTTATCCTGTTTAAAGTACAAACAGATAATAAATAAATGCTTCGCTCTATGATAATTGTCATTATTATAAACATTTTTCAATGCCATTTAAGAGTTCCCCATTACTGATACCAAATACTGATCAAAATAGCCTTACTCTGTCTGGGACAAATGATACCACACCTTAAGTGATTTCCTGTGCACAGGGTATCAAAAACCGGCAAAACAATTTGAAGCAAAGTCGGCGAGCGCATAAATATCAATTTACCCAACCTATCGACAAGTCGAATGTTGCCTCAAATGAAATGCAATATATTATTCAGTCCATATTGTTAAAGACATACAAACAGCGATAAAAACACCTGATAAATACTTGTGCACATAAATGATAGCCATATATATTAAAGAGACGCCTGCCTGCCCGCCTACCTGCCTGTCGACAGTTACACGAGATGTGATGGCACACACATTTGTTGCCAATTAAAATGCGAAACGGGCCCAAACCAAACTCCGGATATTGAGGATGCGACTCTATGGCCCATAAAAATGTCAGCGCAGAAGTTATATCAGTAAACATCCAAGCGAAACTTTTCCATTACTAATTCAATTGATGATTTCAAATAAAACAAAATACAGATAGAAACATAATAATTTGACTGTCACAAAAGTTGCCATGTTAATTTTCTTGGCCTTGGATACACAGGATCTTAAATGGCCAGAGTGAACTCCACCCAAGAGGTGACATGTGGCCAAGTTTTAAGAAAACAATTTAACTTTCGACATTTGCAACACTCTTAAGTTTGTGAATGTGTGCTGTGGCAACACAAAACTTTAATAAGAGTATTCATTTAAGTGCTGATTAAAAATTGCTGAACTGTAAATATTAAACAACAAACGCTTCCTGTTCAAGTTCTAATATAAAAGGGACTTTGCGACACCTGACAGGAAGTTATCTTGGGATGCCAATTATAATTGAACTTCGAGGCTCTCAAGGCATGAAATAATGAGTCTTTTATTTGGTGGTCCGGTGCGGTGAGCAATTGGTTCAAATTTCCGTAAGCAGGGCAGGAATATTGTAATACTTTTAGCAAAGTTCTGCGGTCAGGGTTTTAAATTTTTGATACTTTTTTACTTGCCAATATACTTATACGTATTACTTGCCAATGTTTAAGTATTTGTTTCGTCACAACACCGGTCAGAGTCTGTCCAGATAAATGACAGGCAAAGCCCCAGCACATATAAAGGGTCTCATGATATATACATATCTTCAAAATATTCTAGTCCTTAAAGTAACTTCATCTCTTTCTTATCTTAAAGTAACTTCTAAAAGACGGACTTTTAGTACTTTAATGAGAATCTCCCGTTCCCATAAAATGATGTATCTTATTAAATGGGAAATCCAATAATGGAATTTTACCTGCTGTAGTGCAGAAAAATCGCTTACAAGGATTAGCAGCAAATCTATAAGAAGTTGGCTAAAAGCTTTCAACTAAGAACTTGTATTTACACTCAAAAGATTAAATGCTCAAGTTTACCGTAGAATTTACTTCAAAAAGTTAGAAAAAACGAAAGCGAAATGAAAAAGGCTTACAAGTAGTTATTAAACCAAAAAGTTTGACTCATCCAACAAGTAAGAAACTAAAAGCCCATAAAACAGGTGAAGCAAGCATAACTTTAATTTAAATCTAATGCAAATGATAAATCCCAACAAAATGTTGCGTTCAACCAGCTTTATTCTCCTTAGAAAGCTCGAACAGTCCATTAACTTTAATCGTGTCCGCGCTGCATAAAATTTATAGTGGTAGCAAAAAGGACAGGTCGTCAAAAGCGTCAGCGCAACAGGATGCAAATGAGTCACTGTAAAACGAAAAAAATAAATTTGAATAAACTACTTTACAAAAAGAGAAATATATAAATAAGAAAAGAAGCAACGAAAAAGTTTCAATAAAAAATTTGAAAGTAAAAGTTAAAGCTGAAAAAATGAAAAACAATTTGAAAATGCCATTAGGTGCATTTATCAACATAAAAAACTTTGTATATTTATTGGGCCACATACCCGAATACAGGTATAAACATATTTGTGGGTGGGTTTGGTGCTGGCAGCAGTTTCGATATGGCCACAAAAAAAATAATCAAATGATTGTCAAGCGCACACAAAATGTATATGAGACCCTTTGGGCGAATTATGTATATTGTTACGCATACGCCACGTGCTGCGCTAGCCAATTTTATTAACCGCAGAAAGTTAGGCGTGTGTGGCTGCGAGTGAAACGCGACAGCAGCAAGACAATCAGCCAGGACCACAAATTCCCATATTTGTCTAGGGTTATCGTGTGGAAAATTCAGCGCGACCCTGTTGAAGTTTTGAATACCCTTAGCAGACGTTAACGCAAGGTGTGAAACTATGGGATTATTATATGCAGATTTGATATGCAAAGCATAAGCTGATTTTTACCAATCTGTTGCCTTCTTTTATAGTTAAAAAACAACTTAAAAGCTGTGTGGGGGGAATACAAAAGGTTTGTCATTGAAGAACTTAAGCCTGAAAAGGGGATTCAATCCATCAAATATATATTCTCTCAGAACTGTGATCCTGACTTCAACTCAATTTGCACATTTCTAGTCACTTTTTGTTCACATAAAGTAACTATCATAAAGTGTTACGAAATTTATAACGTTATGAAAATACTTCCCGCAAGGGTATAATAAAGTAAACGATGCTAACTTTTATCATCAAATTGAGCGAATGCTGCAATGCGGCGTATGCGTGATAATTTCCAATGCTTTTTGGGCGCCGCACAAAACAATTATAAAACAAAAGGTACAAAAGCAAAGAATACAACACCCAACAGACAACAGGGGCAACATTAATTAACGAAATTTGACGCTACAAAAAGGGCAGGTAGAATGGAACAAGTTGGATATGGAATGAAGCTGATGATGAGCATGAGGATGAGGATGAGTTGCTGGCTCTAAGCAAAGTTTGTGTTTTGTCAGTGATTGCAAACGCTAATTAGCCACAAATGCTGTTGGTTTTTAACTAGACTGGGTTGTGACTGAACTGCTGAAAGAGTTTACAGAATGATTGGACTGATTGGATTGTCTCACTGCCAAACTGGTGACCATTTGAGGGGCTGACTGGCTGACTGGCTGACTGATTAACCTATGCTAATTTCGGATGGTTCGACAAATCGTTTGTCATTTGGATTCGACCCGAGTCTGATTGAACTGCTGGTAGGCGTGAACTTTGGGGATGGGCGTTGCTTTTGGAACGGACTTTATTGGCAATTTCAATTTGCACCATTCACTCACTTTAATTACACCATTTCAGTTTGCCCCGTTTGCTTATTTCTCATCGTTTTGTTTAGCTGTCATGGTTTCGGCAATTTTAACCATAACTGTAAGCGGTGGCTTCAAACAAAATTATTTGCGGTTTCTCTGTAACTCTGTGTGAGTGTGTGTGTGTGTGTGTGTGTGTGTGTGTGTGTATACGTATGTATGTTATCTCATTTCAAAGAGATGCATGGAATCTCATTTATTTCATTCCATGTACAATAATGGGGTTTGTCCTTTTCCATTTCAGAGATAACGCAAAGAGGAACACAATATTTAATGTGTACTTAAGGTTGAATACAGAATTCCCTAATTGAATTGTGGATGGTCAGGATAGCTACTGCTTAAAGTAGAATTATATTACAAATAATTACTAGATAGCGTAAATATTTATTCATACATTTTGTAAGTTTAAATTGTCTTTCGAATTTTTGGGTGAATTTTTATTGCTTCCATTGTAAATACAATCGCAATAAATCCCACTTTGCCTCAGCTGCACACAGTTTTGTGGCACAGTAAATGAGTAAATGTTTTGCACATGCAATTTGCTTTTCTCATTCATTATTTTGGACAGAAAGTCAGAGAAAAGTTGTTGTCGGAGGGGTTTCCCATAAGTAAACAAATATGAAAATACGAGAATTTTGTAACGTTAAAAATAATTATACGAAATGATAAAAAAAATAACTTTTTCAATTATGTGTGCAAAAAATAAATCGAAATCATGCTCATCGTTATTTTAGAATTCAACTGCTTTTACTGCAGTCAATACCGCATTTCCTTTTAAGCAATTTACATAACACTAATTAATTTAACACGAAAGCTTTTAACATTTGCTGCATTAATGTCAATAATTTCCATCCTTCACATAGTCATACGTGGCGGCATCTAAGCCAGTGTCGACGTGTATGATAATCCAATAAAGCCAGCTTTTTAACTTTTAGCACTCAAACTAAAAGCGGCTAGCGCAAAACCGCAGTGCAAAAATGTGCATTTCTAAAATTTGCAATCATATATAGCAAATGTGTTGAACATGCTAAAAATTGTTGTTTTTGTTTTTATCTCAAAAGGGAACTTTTTGATGTTAAAACTTCTGCATAGAGAGCTATTCAGCTATCAGAAGCGCAGGGGCGTCAGCAATCTATTGTCTGGCTGGCAATGATTTAAGCCAGGCTAGCTAACATGCAAATATTTGCACGTGCATTCCGATAAAAGTTTGGCCAATTGACGTACAAATGTCCCGCTGGCATGAAAAACACTTTTTCAACTTACGGTTCACTCACAAATAACCCGAACAGCTGGCTGCGAATGATGCGGGCGTAAATAAATCAACCGATCAGCTTAGTTCTTTTATTCTCAATTTATTTTATCTATTTTAAACACTTGTCCACATTAGCAGACGTAAACAAACTTGGCACACTTAACAGCGAAAGTCGACCCAAATATTTATTTTTATTTGGCACACGCTAAACAAAACGATTTCCAATTTCTTCTGTTTTTTTTTTTATTTTCTGAATTTTTCAAAATTACTTTTTCAGTTGAACTTGGCGCTCGATGGGCGACCAGCGACCGTTTTGGACGAATCCGTTTGCAGGACTAACTGAGGCAGCCGGCGCCCGAGTGCGCCTAGCCCCAAAAGCATCCACAATGGGCAGAAAAGCGCGCCAAAGATACAATCCACAATAAACACCACAAATAGAAGCCACCACGTGTGCCAGTCCAAAGAGCGCAGACGCTGCTGAAACATATATAGAGGCATGCTCACTTTACGAGGACGCCAGTGTAGCCATAGCCTCTTTGGTGGATTGTGTTTATTTTTAGTTATGGGTGCTGTTTAGACAACTGTTGCTTTTTTTCTGAACAGTTTTCATTCATTATTCTGCGGCCAAGTCGCAGCTGTTTAAATAATTGTCATATATTATTTAGCTGCTCAGCTAATTTTTTTTCAGCCATTTTTTTTCTCCTTTAAATTTCAAGTCATACATGAAAAGGCATTTTTCGTCTAATTCCACTTGAGAGCGTTAAGGAAGTTGGTTTGAGGCACCAAAAGAAAGTGTTTCTGATTTGTCATTAAACGTAGGAGAGGCGAGATTGATCTTAAGAGTCATCGAGCATATATAAGACTTCAAAATAATTGATGTGCCCACGAAACATCTTTAATGACATTGCAATATATTCTAATTAATGTTGTATTCAATTTTTAGCAAGGAGCTGTACATATATATATATATATATAAATGTATATATACTTCCAATGTAGTTTCCACTGAGACTGTTGCCCAAATTCAATAGTTAATCATATATGCAATGCGATATTATATAATGTTTATTTTGGACTTCAACACATAAATACAATTTATTCAGCCGCAACACATAATCTTAGGTTCCGATCCCAGACAAAATTAGGCTGGCACAGTGGTGTCGTTGTAAAGAATGGACACAACGGCGACCTCAAGAGGCACATGGTCAGAAACAAGGTGCCCTCTGCTGCAGGTGCACTGAACACCATCACAATGGCCGCAACTGCCAGATAGATAAGGAACTTGGGAGGCATCGTTGTAACTTTGTAGTATTCGCTCGACGCTGCTGCTCTCAACTGACTTTTTGCTGTAACACTGTGCACTATTTATATGGTTTTCATACATTAGATTATTTGTTTAATAATACTAGATCAAAATGTTTACTATGTACTGGCACGTGCAAATTATACCTTGTATGCGATCACGAGTTAAATGTGCAACTAAAAGCATTCACAAGTCGGCAGAGTGTCAATATTTGGATTATTCATTTCAATGGGTGTTTCTTAAAGGGTATATAGGTTCAAAAAGAGCCAACAAAGTCAATTTCAATAAAATAAAATATTATTAATACCAATAAATATTAGTTTTCATCTGTGCTTTATTTTACCAAATCAGTGAATTATATCTTGAATACACATATATTCGAAAATAAGTGAAAAGCCAGCTAGGATTATATATTATTTATATAAATATATTTTTTTAACTCAACCCAAGAGAACACTCAATTATGTATAGGAATATAAGCAAGGGACAAAGTGAAACTATTAAAATAATATTTACTTATCAAGCACGTTGCTATTTGATCAGTTACAAAGTATCAGTATATGTTGAGCCATTTGTGCAAACAAAATATTTATGTTGTCACAGTGCATCAGCCTTCTAAAAACCATATAAATACGACCCATCACTTGAGAGCAGCAACAGATCGTCCATAGCTTCTACGATGACTCCCAAGTTCCTAATCTATCTATCCCTGGTGGCGATGCTGGTGGTCTTCTGTGCACCTGTAGCCGAAGGAACACTTCGCCTTTTCGCCTGCCTGACGGGATCACCTCTGTGTCCATTCAGCTCTACCACACCAAGGTGTCCCAAGGCAGATGAAGTGTATGACCCGGTAACTCGAACATGTGCTGCTGCATAATGCTGTGTTGGAATGGATCAATCTATATGTCCTGGCATCAAATGTTCAAAAGGAATCCACAAACAATGTATTATTTTGAATTGTGTTCATGTTGAACAATATAAGCTGCCAACAATTTTTATTCATTTACAACTATTTAACTAAAAATATCAATAGAAATCAATATACGCATATTTTTTGTATTATTCAGTGTTTTAATATTTATCAATAAAAATTATATATAGTAAGATCAACTTGTATTTTCATACATTTCTAGCTTGCAAAGACACAATTTTTCGGTTAATTTAATTTAAAATTTATAATGAAACTGATGCGTCAATAAGTAGACAAGTGGCAAATAGATAGCCGCTTATACAATAAATTTAATGATTGCTTAGTGTCGTAAATCAATCAACAGCTGCAGTTCTATAAAAACATATAAATTAGGACGAGTAAAATAATGATTACCATCTACCGGTTACAACGATGTGTCAACTGTTTCTCATCTTTATGATTATGTCAAAATATAAATATATAATAAATTTTTCTTGGTAATACATTTATTTAAAATTTGTGTGTAGTTGTGATTATAAATTTCGGCTCCAATTCGAATGAGATGCATAAATGAAATGTGTGTGTAACTCTGATATGAACATAAGCAGTACCTAGCAGCCTTTTATATCATTTGAATTTGGCTTTTTTGTTTATGTGCTGAAGTTGGCCAAAATGAAATCCAGTTTGGCATAATTTACCAACTTTGGCAGAGCTCTTACTAATGCGCCCGATTAACTGTCAGTCCGGGTTTGTTTGGGCTTCAGTCTCGTTCAGTTGAGCCATAAGCAGTCTGAGCTCAAGTGAAATCTATTTAAATTTCTGCCATTCATTGCTGTAACTGGGCATTAAATTACATTTTGCATGAAATTGCGTGCCTACGCATATTTAAATATGGTTGCGACTATTTGTGTCTGCTGCCCACGCAACTTGCCCGCCGTGGCATGCAACATAGGTATTATGAGAATAATTATATTCAAACAAGGCAAGCACGCTGCAGTGTTGCCAGCATTTATAAGGGACAAAAAAAGGTTTCTATATATAGCTAAAACACATCAAGACTTCGCTTCAAAATTGATTGTACCTTCGTCGACAGAGAATTTTCATTACATATCAAACCATATCTGCAGCACTTTCATGCGTCTTAACATCTTCCTACGTTTTTACTTAAATCTACAGCATTTTTTGACAACTTGGTCTTCAGGACTATACTCCAGCTTTCTTACTTTCCGAAAAGCACTAAAAGTATAGCTAAAATGGCAACACTATCCACATGTTGCATGTGCTCTGCTCCGGGTGCAAGTCATATCCTGGTCTGCAAATCATGACTATACGCGGGAGTAGGAGAAGCAACGGCTCAAGGCTCAACCTACGCAATCACACAGCAAACTGACGTATGAGTGATATTTAATTAATTTGCCATTTGTGTGTTGACGTTGGTGTTAAGGCAAACGTTAACATAACACTCTAGACACAAATCCAAACAAACTTTTTTAAGTGAATGGGAAGCTAGCTGCCAACAGCTGCAACAGCGACTTGTTTGTCCACGTGGTGTTGAACCCGTTACACCATCTGACTTACATCAACCCCCACCGCCAAACCATAAACTCACAAAAAAAATAAGAAAGTCATTTGAAAGTCTATGGAAACTTTGGCAACTGCTCTCGAAGTAAGGCACTTTTGTGACACGGCTAAGTATTCTATGGATACTTCGTCGAATAAATTAGATTTTCTACACCCTTTAGACACTAACAATTTCGAATTTGCTGGCGAATTTTTACGGTTCAACTTTAAGCTAAGAATTCTACGTTTTCAGAAAACGCCATATTTACTTTACGCAACTACTTGGGCATTAATTTGCGAAACAATTGCCGCGTGTTTCTATTTGATCTAATACAAAGTATTTGGCTTGAGCCATTTGTGCAAACAAAACATTCATGTTGTCACAGTGCATCAGCCTTCTAAAAACCATATAAATACGACTCATCACTTGAGAGCAGCAGCAGATCGGCCATAGCTTCTACGATGACTCCCAAGTTCCTAATCTATCTATCCCTGGTGGCGATGCTGGTGGTCTTCTGTGCACCTGCAGCCGAGGGAACATTTCTTCTTTTCGCATGCCTGACAAGATCACCTCTGTGTCCCTTCAGCTCTACCACACCAAGGTGTCCCAAGGCAGGTGAAGTGTATGACCCGGTAACTCGAACATGTGCTGCTGCATAATGCTGTGTTGGAATGGATCAATCTATATGTCCTGGCATCAAATGTGCAAACATAATCACTTAACAATTTAAATTTGAAGTCCGAAATAAATATATTGTATCGCATTGAATTAAATCGTTTTTATTTAGAAGTAATTTTTTTTGTAGGTGCAATTTAAAGAAAAACTTACTTAACACACAGATAAAAAGGAGTACCAATTCTATAAAGGGACAACTACAATCAATAGACAATAAATTATATTAACAGGATTTTACTCTCCTGAAGAGTATTTTCCTTACATTCAAATGTTCTTTTAAATTCCATGCGCCCAAAAGTAGGCAACAAATGTTTTTTTTGTGTTTTGTCCTTCCGCTTAGCGACCGCAACAACCCCAACGCAAAGCCCCATCCTTATGCCCCAGCCAAGTGTAAGGTCAATGGAGTCTTGTTTTTCAATTTAAGCTCTCATACCTTCATTATTCTTTCATTTTTATTCACAGCTGCTATTTACAGACGATATTTTTTGTTTGGCTTGCCATTCAGCTAATTAAATGGCAATTGATTTGTATGAATTGCAATTGTCCTGCCTGTGTGGGTGTGAGTGTGGGTGTGAGTGTGTGTGTCCCTTTATTGGTTTCGCATTTTCAAGGCATTTGTCAATAGCTTACAAGCATTTAATGGCCACTTTCTTTTGACTATGGCAGCATTAAAGCGACTGTGAATAATTTATTGATCTTCATTTTGAATCTGAACTGCAGACATACTTAATTTAAATTGATGGTATGATGACTGGCCAAATAAGAAATTAAACTGATTAAAGTTGACACACATTTCAAGTGAATTCTTTATTATTAACAGACAGATTTATCATCTCAATTCTTTCTTGAAGTATACATAATTAAGTAAGTAGTTAAGTAATTATTAACTCACTAAATTTAACTACTCAAGACTGATGGAGAATTTTGTTTCACAGCTAACCTTTTGTTATTTATACTAATGAGCCCACACATTATGAAAAAATCCGAAATCTTTTCACCAGTCCGTTGGGGCTTTGATTCATTTGCCAATGTGCTGGAAAGTGGCAACAAATTTGCGTCTTTTGCTGACGAAATGTTAATTTTTTGGAGTACACAGTGAATGGCTTTATTTGCATAGATGTGCCTGTGTTTATCCGTGTGTCAGTCTAGCAAATGTAATTTTACTGATTAGGGTCGCTTTAGCACTCACTACTTGGTTCGCAGAACTCTCTCGCTGCTCCATCATTTGGGGCGAAAATGCGCCGCTGGCATATGTGAAATATATTCAAATGTTTTCGAATGCAATCAAATTGGGTAAAAGTATTCAAGAGGGGTCCCAATTTACATGGGAATGCTTGAATTTAAGTGTTTTACGTGTCAAGGTCTCAAAATAAAATGCATAAATTACCAATTAATGTCAGCCCAAAGCAATGATTTCAAAATATATGTTTACCAGTAGGCTGTGTATTATATTCAAAGGCTTCAGTTTCAAAATATAAATAATTTGTGGAATTAGATATGGTAGCGTCGGAAATAGAATCCAATTACCAAGGCAATCGGAGCATTTGCTGGACTTAATCCCAAATTATCCGAGCTTTATAACAATGTCCTCAATCAGTTTTGACTAAAGCTTAATATTTAACGAGCTGAATTGAACTTAAGTGACATTTTTAAGTATTTTAAGGCGTTTGCGTTGAAGTATTGCTCAAAAGGTCAATCTAAGATATTTGTCCTGCTATTAAATTTCGAAATTGGGGATGCTGTTGGCAGCTACGCAGAGTAAAATTGTAATAAGCTAAGTTAAATAACTGGAAATTCAAGACGAAAATGTCAACCACAACAACAAGTTTAATAACAACAACAAAAACATCAGCAATTTACAATAAGCAGCCATTAATGTGGCCATTGCTCACTGAAACAGAGTCGAGTTCTGGATTCGGTTTGTGTTTGAATTTGAGTTTGAGTTTGGGTTCAGCACCTAAAATTGTGTAGTACAGTCACGTAGTCGCAGAGCGAAATGTAAAAGCTCGTTCTCGTTGAGTTGACCTGGCTTTCATGAGCTTTACACTTAATTATTGCAAATAACTAATGGCTAAAACATTCCTCTTTCTTTGTGTCTCCGACTACTTTTCTTTAGTCAACTTGAGCGCCCATCGAAGCAGAAGAACTTTTGTTTGACTTTTGTTTGACTTGGTGTTGACTCCACTCAATGCGGCAACTGAATGTGGCCACTTGTTGTCACCTGGATTACAATTAAGATAATTACGTATTTATAGAATGCTGGCCAGGCACAAACAGCTTTTAATTATTCATGGGCAATGAACTTGCAACCGAATTTCATTTGTTACACGCTATTTTTAAAACAATAGTCACTAATGGTGTCTGCATTCCTTACATTACCCAATAATTATACAATTGATTACTCTTAAAGCACCTGCAATACTCTATAACTTTGAGTCCTTTGTCTCTATATACCTATAAGTAAATATAGTTGTATTTACTTTCTTCACACTTGTTAAAATGCAGCTGCCCATTATGATTGGAAAAATATTTACATTGTAAGCAGCTACCAGTTTGTGTATAAGCTTGAAAACAGTTGTTTAATAATAGTAATTGCTTATGTAAGAATTATCTCATGTTCTTGTGAAATAAGGAGAGATAAACGATGCACTTTAAGAACACTTTATTTCACATTGTATTGTAAAGTGCTCTTTATATGTATTTCGATATGCGAGACTATATTATAACAGCAGCTGCTATTTATATTGACATCGACATCGATAGTAGAATTATGACTTGCTGTGCAAACTCACGATACAATTATTAGAAATGTATTTCGAAGACTCAACCAAAACATGCCCTGTACTTTTTGTATTTTATTTAACTACAGTAAGATACATAGAATAGTCAAATTTGTATTGCCCATCAGATATATCAACCACACAGCTTAAATATATTCGTCGCATATTAGTTAGCTATTAAGATGTGACTGCTTTGATTGTGCGAAATGTTCAGATGTTCAAGTTGTACAAGCAGGCAATGAAAATGACCATCGACTCAACAGCTGTCGAGATAAGGAACAGCAGCAAGGACATCAGTTGCAAGTAAAGAAACAGAGTCAAGGACTTCATGTTGTTAAAATGTGCTAGAACTGCGCTAACTTCACTCTTAGCTTTCGCTTTTGATACACTGAACCCATTAAAAATGGGTATAATAAAGTATAGCTAATGTGTGTAACAGGCAGAAGGAAGTAAATATATATATATATATATATATATATATATATATATATTCAACATAGCCGTGCTTGATTTGAATATCTTGGATTCAGGGTATCTCCTAGTCGAGCTCTCCCAACTGGAGCACACTTACCTGTTATAGCCAGAGAATATTTGCACAGATGCGAACAGCTTGACAGGTGAGTTGACGCTGTCTTTGACCTGCATTAAATAGCCATTAACGTTGGCAAAATAATATTGACCCAACCCAGTTTATTAAATAAAGTTCGAGTAAATCAATTGAGTAATTAAATCAATTTTGTGTGTAAGAAAGATAAAACACAATTATGCACAGCAGTGCGTCTGATAATTTAACTACATTTTATTTATTTACCATTTGCATTTGGCAAATTATCCAAATTTATTTCAAATAAAATTCAGTAATTCCTCTCTAAGTGTGAGTGTGTGTGTATGCTTGTGTAACTAATCGGCTTTCAATTTTGCAGCAATGTCAAATTGGACAAAATTTGATATTCAAATTAAGATAAATGTATTTGGCCTAAATTGCATTATGTGTCATGCGTTGATGTTCTCTGATTATGTGAAAATTATATAAGCTGAATGGGATTAAGTTAAATGTGTAAAATAAAACAAAAATCCTATTCTCAAATTTAAAGCCAGTTAATTGAGTTGTTTTTTTTTGCGTGTGTTGATCTTATTGCCATTACTTAAATTAAAATATATAATAATGTATTTTATTATTACGCTGCTTTCTCTTTGTTGCCAATATTAACAATCTGCATCTGTAAATATCAGCTAGTCTCTACTATATGCCATACATATATATGAGTTTGATTGGGCTCGCTTCGTTTGCAAAAAAGTTGCTTTGTGCTGATTGCGCATTCTTAAATAAATAATTAGCAATAATAATGAAGGCCAGGCAGCAAGCTGGCTAACTTCTATAATGCTTCACTGAATCCACTTCAGGCCCAAGCTGTTGTGGAGCCTTTTAGCGGTCCTCAGCATTAAAATGGGCATTGTTTTGTTTGATATTTGTCGCCACGCCTCAATAAACTCCTGTCAATTAGTCGTGGAAGAAAAATTCGCTTCCTGATCCTGCCGCCGCATATTGAACGAGGGCAACAGCTGTGAAAAGTTACCAACTTTAATTTTATTATTTTTTTGTTTTTAATATAATCCCAATCTCTTAATATTTTAATATTCTTTTAAGCTTATAAACAAAATTTGCTGCGTTAGAATCACAAGGACGAACTCTGGCGAACTGCATACAAGGATTGTGAAGCCATCTAGAAACTCAAAATCTGGTTATCGACATCAGTAAATTTTGTATCTTTTCGGTAGCTTTAACTTTACTTAAGGTAAGTTTAAGCTTAAATACATATCCAGCTAATTATCAAGCATAAGCATTTAAGTATTATTTACTTGTTGAGTATAAGCATTAGGTAGCTGGAAAGCAATCAAGAGTTTTAGTTAATTATATCTCTAAGTATGTAAATTTGTACATCCATCAATCTCATTCTCTGTCTCTGTCTCCCTCTCTCTATCTTTCTCTCTCTCTCTCTCTCTCTAATACAGACTATGTTTATTCGCGTAGGAATGCTGTCAAGTATATGTTACAAGGCTATTTATATTTTTTTTGGTAGTCTCAACTGACAATTAACAAGATTTTCGGCCACAATTCACAAGTTTACCAAGCGTAAACAATCTTCCATGGCAATTTGTTACTCCGGACACGGAAGTGAGCATAACAGAGTGTGGGGTATGGAAGGTGAGGTTGAGGGGAAAATGGGGGAAGCATTTCATTTTTAACCGACAATTTGCATATACTGTTCAAAATGTAAATAAACATTTCATCTTGATAAGCATAACACTAGCAGACGATGCGTGGGCTTTTGTTGTTGTTCTTTTTGGTTTGTTTTGTGGTCGGAGTTACTTGACAACTGCGTCATGTAAGAGCGAGGAGCAAAAGAAGCGACGCAGTTTAGAGTAACCCTGGGCTACAGCCCCCTCTTCATCCTCCGCCACTCATGTGTGCATATTTGTATATATATGTTTTGTCTTTTTTTTTCGTGGACACGCGCCAAAGAAACTCATGAATAATGCAACCAGAGCTGAACAGAGGCAGACAATTGCGATGATAAACAAGCTTTCAGTTACGTCCTTATCCTGCATTGCATTTTTGCTGGTGAACAATTAAAGCCAAATAATGTTAATGCCAAGCGACAGCTGCTGCAACCAAATTATGCAAATTCAAAGCTCTTTGATAAGGGTTTCATTCCTCAACAGACTCCACTCAATCCATTTCACTCTACTCATTCACGCAAAAGATTTATTCAAACTTCGAAAAAAAAAAATGAAAAAAAAAGACAACAAAAAATCAAAAACAGACATTAGCTAAACGAAGCATAAATTGTGAATGGTCTTATGACATATAATTTCTAAAGAGACAAAAATGAAATGAAAACGAACTGAGAGCTCAACATTTTTTCCAACATGAACAGAGTTTGGCTATTGCAATTGCCATTCAAAAATGTTGCTACTTTTTTATGCTGTCTCGGTCGCAAAAAAACTCTTTGCAAATTTTGTTTGAGCTTCATAAATAATATTAATCATAAACTGGTTAAGATGTCTTTTAATAAAGCCATGTTCGGTGTGCATCGCCAGACTGAGTGTTAAGCGTCTTTGTCTTAAGGATAAAATACAATTTAACTATCAAAGAGACGATTTTATGTTGAAATTTTCATCAAGAAAAGACGAGGGATGTGCTCGCACGCAAGTAGACAGACGGAATGGCCTTTCTTGTATTCATAACCTTACTGAAAAGTGTTTAATTTTGTCACGAACCCTCTTAAAAGTAGATAAATATAGGAGATTTCAAGTTGAAAACTTCTAACTACTAAATAGTCTTAGTCTGTTGTGCACAAAAGGAGGTAATAATATTAAAATCTCATCTCTCAATCAGATTCTTATTTATAATAATGCAATTCAAATAACATGTTTTAATATCTTAACACAGTATACTCTATAAATTTGATGAACAGAGTATGATAAATCAAACAAAACGCCAGCCCATTTTTATAATTAACTGTGCGAACGTAAACAACCAAAAATGTAACCGAAAATTCCCTCTTTGCGTTGGAAGCACACCAAATGAAATATCTTCCCTTTCGAGACCCTTGAGGCAAATTTAAGTAATATGAATTTGACACAAAGTGAAATGTAAGGCCAGCTAACGAAGTGAGTAAAGTATTTTTTGTGCAGAATTTGTATAATAAGTATTATTTAACTTGAAGTGCACGATCCAAAAGTAAAAACCACCAATAAAATAAACATAAAATCCAGATAAAGAGTTAGTCATACCATTATCTAATCTTTCTATCATTAATATATTTATCAAGCAAAAAGCTTGCAACGCTTGAAAGCTTGCAAAAGCTTTTGATATTTCATTTGTGGCGAATATTAATAAATCGAACGATGCCTAATATAAGGTGCGTAGGCAAGAATGTTTTTAGGGGGTTGTCTTGATCAAAATGTATACGAAAAGAATACGTTTAATCAAACCCAATCATAGTATCATTCAAAAGAAATAAATTCAAGATTTGTATAAAAAATAAATCACAAATTAAATTTACAATTTCCATTTGTATGCTTTCCACCAAGACAAATTTGGTTTCAAAGACCCTCCCTAAACTAAGCCACTGACTGATAATAAATTTCATTTACTTACCAAGCGCTCAGCTTTGCAAGCTTTGAGCTTTGCAAAACTTTCGTTTCACAAATATAACGCTTTTCGCGTTAAGCCTTCAAACTGATTTCCGTTGTTATGAAATGTATGCATTGAAAGTATTTATAAACGGCCCGCACAACTGCGATTGTTATAGAATGTACGACAAATCGTTCCAAGCGCCCAAATGTGAGCGCAATATTTAAATAATTCAAGTCAAGTTTAAGAAATAAATTATATTGAAAATGGTGAAGTTCTCGCTCGACGAAATACGTGGCTTAATGGAGCAGCGGCGTAATATACGCAACATATCCGTTATAGCACATGTTGATCATGGTAAATCGACATTGACGGACTCTTTGGTCTCCAAGGCTGGCATTATAGCTGGCGCCAGGGCGGGCAATATGCGATTCACCGACACTCGCAAGGACGAACAGGAGCGATGCATTACGATTAAGTCAACGTAAGATAAAACTCATACAAAATAATATCTGAAATTCTCACTAATCATTAATCCCAATAACATATGCAGTGCCATCACAATGTATTTTGAGCTACAGGACAACGATTTGGGCTTAATTACACAGGAGGATCAACGCGAAAAGGACACAAATGGATTTCTAATTAATTTGATAGACTCACCCGGACATGTGGACTTCTCCTCGGAGGTAACGGCTGCTCTGAGAGTGACCGATGGTGCTCTCGTCGTTGTTGATTGCGTCTCCGGTGTCTGCGTGCAAACGGAGACGGTTCTGCGCCAAGCGATTGCGGAGCGCATTCGACCCATTCTCTTTCTGAATAAAATGGATCGTGCTCTGCTCGAGCTACAACTGGACACGGAAGAGCTGTATCAAACATTCCAGCGCATTGTGGAGAATGTAAACTTGATAATTGCCACCTATAACGATGATAGTGGACCCATGGGTGAAGTATCCGTCGATCCAGCGAAGGGTTCCGTTGGCTTCGGTTCGGGTCTGCACGGCTGGGCCTTTACCCTCAAACAATTCGCCGAAATGTATGCCGATAAATTTAAGATTGATGTGGGCAAGCTGATGAAACGGTAAGTCAACCAAAAGATTTTTCAACTTAAGATATTCTTTTGTGCGTTTTAAGCGTTTTCGGAATGTAGATCTAAAATGTTCTCAAATTTTGATTCAAGTCTAAAGTTCATTGAACACATTGAGTTTCTCCGTTGAAGTCGGAATTTTGCACGTGTAGTTCTTAAAATGCAGGTTTTTAAGTTTCACCAAAGATTATTAACTATAATTATTTAAGGAATTATATCAGTTTCATCGTGTGACGAGTAACAATTTTTACATTTAATTACAGACTCTGGGGCAGTAATTTCTTCAACACGAAAACAAGAAAGTGGCAAAAGCAACTGGATGCGGACAGTAAACGATCATTTTGCCTATACATATTGGATCCCATATACAAGGTATTCGATGCTATAATGAACTACAAGACGGAAGAGATAGCCGGCTTGCTGGAGAAGATCGGTGTAAAGCTGCTGCCGGAGGAGCAGGATCAGCAGGGAAAAGTGCTGTTGAAGACCGTGATGAGAAATTGGTTGCCGGCTGGAGAAACGCTGTTGCAGATGATCGCCATCCATTTGCCATCACCCGTGGTGGCACAAAAATATCGCATGGAAATGTTGTACGAAGGTCCACAGACCGATGAAGCAGCGGTCGCCATTAAGAACTGTGATGCCGAGGGACCACTGATGATGTACATCTCAAAAATGGTGCCCACCTCAGATATCGGAAGATTCTATGCTTTTGGTAGGGTGTTTGCCGGCAAGGTATCTACTGGACAGAAGTGTCGCCTCATGGGACCCAACTATGTGCATGGCAAGAAGGAGGATCTGTGTGAGAAGGCCATCCAGCGCACAGTTTTAATGATGGGTCGCACTGTGGAGGCCATTGAGGATGTGCCAGCAGGCAATATCTGCGGTCTAGTGGGTGTGGATCAATTCCTGGTTAAAACGGGCACAATAACAACGTTCAAGGAGGCGCACAACATGAAGGTCATGAAGTTCTCCGTGTCGCCCGTTGTCCGAGTTGCTGTTGAGCCCAAGAATCCTGCCGATTTGCCCAAGCTAGTCATCGGTCTAAAGCGTCTGGCCAAATCCGATCCGATGGTGCAGTGCATCATTGAGGAGTCGGGCGAACATATTATTGCCGGTGCCGATGAATTGCATTTGGAGATCTGCATCAAAGATCTGGAAGAGGATCATGCCTGCATACCACTAAAAACATCCGATCCTCTGGTATCTTACCGCGAAACAGTTTTGGAGGAGTCCAATCAGTTGTGTCTGTCCAAATCGCGCAACAAACATAATCGTTTGACCATGAAGGCTCTGCCCATGCCGGAGGGATTGCCAGAGGACATTGATAATGGCGTAGTCACAGCACGAGATGAATTCAAGAAGCGTGCACGTTACTTGAACGAGAAGTACGCCTATGATGTGAGTGAGGCGCGCAAGATCTGGTGCTTCGGTCCTGATTGCAATGGACCTAATATCATTGTGGACTGCACCAAGTCGGTGCAGTATCTGAATGAGATCAAGGACTCGGTCGTTGCCGGTTTCCAGTGGGCCGCCAAGGAGGGCGTCCTGGCTGAGGAGAATTTACGTGGTGTACGCTACGATATACACGATGTAACGGTGCATGCGGATGCAGTGCATCGCAGTGGCAGTCAGATTATTCCGACCACGCGACGCTGTCTATATGCCGCAGCAATAACAGCGAGTCCTCGTCTCTTGGAGCCCGTTTATCTGTGTGAGATTCAGTGCCACAATTTGGCCGTTGGCGGCATCCACAAAGTGCTGAGCAGAAGACGTGGTCATGTCTTTGAGGAGGCCCAAGTGCCGGGCACACCCATGTATGTGGTCAAGTCCTATCTGCCGGTCAATGAATCATTTGGCTTCACGGCCGAATTGCGCACCAATACACGTGGTCAGGCATTTCCGCAATGTGTGTTCGATCATTGGCAAATGCTGCCCGGAGATCCCTGCGAGCTCAACAGCAAACCCTATCAGATTGTGCAGGACACGCGCTTGCGCAAGGCTTTGAAACCAGGATTGCCGGAACTTTCACTGTATTTGGATAAGTTATAGAGAGAAAATTACTGATCTTTAAGTTGATCCATGACTGGTTTTTAAATTAATACTCTTTATTTTCCACTCTTTTCATATTTATGTATTTATTCATGAACCACTTCTAAGCAGTTGTGTGATATATAGTGATATGTATATTCATTTTAAATTAACTATTTTTGTATTTTAATAAATTTATTTTATTAAAATCACTTACAAAACACTTGCAATATATTTTTTTAAACTCAGCATTTGCCGCTTTTCATATGCATATGTCATAGAGCTTTCCGATATACCAAAAGTATCGCTCGAAAGAGCATATCGATAGCAAACATATGCTTTCGCCAGTGCTGTAAATACTGGCACCGGCAGGGCTTTGGAGTCTGGGAGTTGCTTTCATAACATTCAAAATAAATTAAATATGTCCGCTGTGGAACAGGATCCAGTCGAATTGATGCTAAAGAAAACCGGCTGCATTGAGCTACACTACAAGGTGCAGGAGTGCATCGCTGAGACGGGCGATTGGCGAATGTGCCAGGATACTGTGAAAGAGTTCAAGGCGTGCATGCAAAAATATGTGGATCAACAGACCAAAAAATATGCAAATGTTAAATAGAATCGTACAGAAAATTATGAGCAGAAGTTTCGCCGCTGGAACAACAACAAAACTGGCGCTCATAGTACGCGGCGATCTGAAGATGGGCAAGGGCAAAACGGCAGCTCAGTGTGCCCATGCGGCAGTCATGTGCTATCAAAATGCGGCGCAGGGCAGCGAGGCACAGAACGCAATCCTCAAGCGCTGGTGCCGCATGGGCCAGCCAAAGATTGTGCTACGTGTGGATAGCTATGAGCAGCTAAACGGATTGCAACTGCAAGCGGAGCAGGCCAATTTGATCGCTGCTTTGGTAAGGGATGCGGGACGCACGCAACTGGATGCCGGCACAGCTACAGTTTTAGGCTTGGGTCCGGCAAACGCCATCGAACTGGATAAACTTGTTGCTCACTTGAAACTCTTGTAAATCGATATATCTTATAATTTCTTTATGTACATATATGCAATTAATAATAATGAAATCAACAAACTCATAAATTAGGGTCTCTTCTTGCCGCCGGACATAGTGGATATGGTTAAGGATACCGCTTGGCCAAACATTTCCACCAAATCGGAAGTGACACGTTCCGTTATCTGACGCAATTTACCATTGGATTCACCACAAATCAGTCGCTCAATGCGCGGCGTGGGACACTGCACTAAAACGGAGGTGTAAACCACATCTGTAAATACAAAAGATGTTGACTATGATCGACTAGCAGTTACCCTGCAACCTGAGAATATAGCTAAGAAATCTCCTGCTCTTAAGCCATTCCCAAAGGAGTAGAGGGTATCTGAATACTTACGCTTATCCACATTGTAATACTCCAGTTCGCACTTTAGATTATAAGGTATTTCCTGTGGCAGATAGTCGAGCAGGCGAGCACGCACGCTCTCCACAATCAGCGATTCGGGCGATTCATCTGTATAAACATTCGCTGCAAAGCGCCAGCTCCTTTGCTTTGCAGCGGCAATTAAATAATCCTGCAGCTCCTGCAGTCCGCTGCCCGTCAGCGAGGAAACGAGAAAGACATCATTGAAATGACTCCAATTGGTTTCACGCTGATTCAAAGGCAGTCCCTTTGTGATCAACTGTGGGGTTTCACTTGGAGTCGCCGTCTTTTTGCTCTTGTGCAGCGTATCGTTTGTCAGCGTCTTGATTAGATCCAAAAGCACACGCTTCGATTTGAGGGCATCGATTTTGTTGAGTATCAAAAAGCTGGGCAACTGTGCGTAGGCCTTCAACGTGTCCAGCACTGTGGGATGCAATTCCTTGCGTGTCCAGCTATTGGAGGCATCCTGCATGACGGCAATAATATCCGCATGCTGGATGGCATGGCGATAGGCGCTCTTAAAGCTCTGCTCCAAATGATGTTTCCTTATCTCACGCTGTGTCACCAGCCCAGGTGTATCATAGAAGACCAACTGCGTCTGTCCACTAGTCAAAATTGCAGTGTTCGCTTTGCGTGTCGTGTGCACTTTGGCGGATGTGGGACAGACCTAAAAGAAAACGTCTTTAACTGAATCGATAATAGTTAGATTCACTCACCTTGTGGTTGATAATGTTGTTTATAAAGGTGCTTTTGCCCACATTTGGTACTCCGATGACGGCAATGTGAAGCGCTCGCTGCTGCGACTTTTTGTTGTTGTTTTGGTCATTGTTCACAGCACCTGTGATTGGTGGTGGTGGTGGTGACGGTGCATTCTCGTCAGTTGTCCGTGTGGTGGCTGACAAATTACGCACACTTATTGCCAACAATTGGACTTTATTGCAATTAAGCAATTTTATGGAACTTGCTAACCTATAGAAACGCATCGCGAAATCGTGTGACTGGCAATGTAATCGGAATGTTAAGCAACACTGTACTCAACACATTTATTAATCGATTTCAGCAAAAGTAATGGGCGTATATCGATAATAGGGGTTACATTGTAAGCGACGTAATAAATTCAATTTTGACTTCGGTTATTTAAATGTGCATTTTTTAGTTTTGTAAAACAGAAACATTAATTCATATAAATATAATTAGATAGTGAAAATTTGAACTTAGGCATCTAAAATTATTAAACTTATTAATTTTGTAAATTGCATAGCAGGTAAACACATAATAAGCCATACATTTTTAATTTTGTTTTTGTTTACAGCTAAAATACCACAATAAAATTCCAAAATTAAGGGAATGGTGCATTATTCAACCAAAACAGTATCGTGCTCCTGCACCGAGTAGAAATCAAGTGTCTTGGCACTGTTCTCCAAGCGAACCACAAGCTCCGGCCGTTTGGCATCAATATAGCAGAGGGTCGGCGTCACTCCGGTAATACGGAAACGCTTCATGATCAGTCCCTGGAGTGTCTGCACGGTTATCATGCGCGGCACCTTCTTCTCCCAAACTTCACCAGTTTGCTGATATTGTATGCGCACTTTAATCAGATTCGATTGCTTGGCTTGAATGAGCGGCACAAAATCAGCGGGAGATCCATATTCTGTGTGCCAAGAAAAACAATAAATAAAACTCAATAAATAAAAAAACATAATAGTTATTCCAATTAATACTTACTATTAACGATAAGTAAATAGGTACGATGTTTTTTGTAGAAATCACGGCGAGCATCGGCTCCCAGCTTATTGGCCTGCAGCCAGTCCAATGCATATTTTTTCCATATATCATATTCGGCGCCACGTCGCTCCTCGGGAGATACCTTTGCCTTATTTACAAACTGGAGGCCCGCAATGCTGGCCACAGCCTTGGAAAACATTTCATCGAAATTCGATTTCAAATGCGGCGTCTTATTCAGACGTTTCAATTGCGGTAACTTATCCAGCTCATTAAATGCATCAGCCTGCAAGTGGAAACATTATATTCACCGCAGAATAAGAATTATAATTCCTTACCTCATTCCATATAGGATTGTGCAGCAAATTGAGCTGTTCCAGCGACACAAATATATTAAGTTTGCTTTGCGGCTCACAGTCCGGCAGCTGGAGCTGCTCAATGCCATTCTCCATGAGATTGAGCAAGCGCAGAGTTCGAATGTTGCCCAACTTGACCACCTGATCGAAATCCATCAGCTTTGTGCGATGCAAGTCGAGTTCGCGCAACTGACGGAAGATGCGTTCACAATCGACCACAGCCAATTGACTCAGTGCATTCTCTTGCAATCCCAGCGACTCAATGTCCGGCCACAAGAGCGCCGTCTGCATCACATCTTTCCAGTCGCTAAGTCCGCAATTGCGCAAATTTATATGCTTCAAATTGCGAAAAGCCGGCGCCAATTCAGCGATTTGTGTCTCTGTCGGCAACACCAGACGATTGGAGCTGCAACATTCAACCGTAATACAATTGGTTTATTTATTATAATTTACTTATTAATCTCACAACTCACCTCAAATTCAAATTATCGAGACTGGGCAGCTGTTGCGTAATGCTGGCCACAATTTCCCAGTTCCAAATGAGAGTGTGACTCAAATTCAGTGTTGTTAGCTGAGTCAGATCCTTTAGGTAGCCGGCCGCATTCACTGGTGTCTCATCGACACAGACCTCAGTTAGCTGCTCGAATTTGCTCTGCTTGCGCGCAATCTTATCCATGCCAACGACCTCGAAGAGCGATGCCTGCAACGATGCCTGGGCCTCGCGTATCAGCGTTGCATCCACATTGCTCGCATTGTAGTTGAGATAACGTTCGCGTGCCTCATCCTCCAGCGTAGCGCAAGGTCCAAGCTTGCCGGGCCGTATAAAACTACCCGCCGTGGGCATTTGCGTTTGGAAATAACGTTTGCCATCGACAATGCCATTGTGCTTGCCACGCATCCCGTCATCCCACTCAATGCCCAGCCAGGTGCCAATGTGTCCGCTGACCTGCGTTAATCGGGCACAATCGATAAGTTATGGAACAAATGAAAATTGTCTTTTCACCAGCTCACCTCGCCCACGTATTTGACGGTGCCATAGTTGTTGCCTATTTTGATGCGTGTGCCCAGCGGATAAAACAGCTGCGCCTCATCAATAATTCCAACCATTGTTGTTGTTATTGTTGTTGTTGTTTTTATTGTTTTCTTTTACAACGCCTATTGCTTTGTGTATTTGGATAGTAAACAATCTAAATATTCGCAAACACTGGGCTTTGTTTTACACTATTTACCGTATCTAGTGCTAGGAATAGCACATAAGTATTGTTGTTGACACAGGTAAATATTAATTTCAGCCCAAATTTTGCACAGAAATGACGAGTTCTTTATTATTTGAGTGTGATCAACTTTACACAAAACAGGGCTGTATATATCCAGGGTTACGTGTCACTGCTGGCGCTTTGTGCTTAAATTCTATTAAAAATCGATTAATTTTTCAGTTTGTCAAAAAGGGATCAAAAACTACTGAAATCTATTTTAATTAAAGTCGACATAAATTGAAATACATTTTGCACTTTATGGATATCCCTACAATCTTAAGTTAATTTATATTTTATACGACTATCGATATTTATGTAACGATAAGTGTTATTGCCCTTGTCAAAGTTTGACAAAAGCATTTTTCTCTTGTCTGCAAACAGTCACACAAGTGGGAAGCTTTGCGCAGTGTACTAGTGTGTCTACGAACATTTACCTTTATTATTTTATTCTTTGTTAAAATACTTGATTTTTTTTTAACCGTATATATAAATTAATGCACTTGGCGAAATACAGAGATTTCCTCGATTGTGTTTCGCGATCCCAGATAACTGATAACAAAGTGTCAAACATACTCGCAGCATTCATCCGATTATACACATTGGTGGTTGGTTGGCTGGCTACAAAACGGTGCATCCCCGAAATACAAATAGTGTCCGCCGCCTTAAAGAAGACGATTTTGAATACCAATCGGCATTGCCACGTAAGCGCAAAGGAAAAAAAATAATCTAAGGAGCGAGAACGGAAACGCTGACAACTGCAAATTAAATAAGACTGCAGAGCTGCAAGAGAGAAAATGGTCTCTGAAAATAAAATAGATGATAAGATGGAGGTTGGTAGTTATTACTCATGTGATGTAAAAAATATATATAAAATCCTGTGATTATATTTGAACTCACGCTTTGTGCAGGCTCGCGATTATCAGCTGCGTATTGTTGAATACATTGCAAAACGGAATGGAATTATTTATTTGCCCACCGGATCGGGAAAGACTTACGTGGCCATCCTGGCTCTCAAACGATTCTCTCAAAACTTTGACAAGTTAGTACGAAGAAAAATTGAAAGAAAGAAATGTAAAATATAGAAAATATATAGATACCCATGCTGCTGTGGGTATAATCCCTTTTAATTCAATTTATATTAGTTCGATAAACAAAAGCAGCTTTCAATGAACAACAAGAAAAATACCAAATGATAATCAAAGCAAGAAAACAGCTTTTAGCTTTGGAAACTGACTTCACATCACAATTAATCATAAGTAATTTCTCTCGGTAGACATACAAACATACCATGTGTGTGTATTTATTTGTTGTGTACCATAAGTAGAACTCGTATTTGTTCTCATTTGGCAGATCGATCGAGGAGGGTGGACAAAGGGCTTTGTTTCTTTGCAACACCGTTGAGCTCGCCCGCCAGCAGGCCGTCTTTGTGCGAAGGTATACGAACTTCAAGGTCGGCTTCTATGTCGGCGAAGTGGGCGTGGATAATTGGGTTCGAAGCAAATGGACGGATGAAATAAGGGACAATCAAGTGAGTTGCTTGCATACAACTAGAAAGAAAATAATAAATAAATGTATATACATCATCTCATAAGTATTACTTAAGTTTGTTTATTTTATTTACTCCTATACTTTCATATTGTTCTCATGTTTGTTTTATTTATGATAATCTTAAGCTGCCTTAATTAAACCTTATCAAAGTACAAAAATATGTTTATAATGTATATATATATACATATTTGCATTCTTGTCCAATTAACCGACTAACAGGCTTTTATGCAACAACCGTCGGTTAATTGGACAAGTTCAATTGGCAAGTTTCTCAAAAATGGTTGTCCGATCTTTATCCCGGAACAAGGCTCATCGTTACGGCCCAAATCTTATTCTGTTTAGGTCACATAGTAAATTTTTCTTATTTCAGATGAAAGACAATAAAAAATCATTATTTATTTATTTTCTATTAACAGGTACTTGTGGGCACGGCTCAGGTTATATTAGACATGGCCCTGCAGAAGCATTTGGATCTGAAGTCGGTGAGCATTGTGATACTCGATGAGTGCCATCATGGAACTGGTCATCATCCGTATCATGAGTTTATGCGCCTGTTCCAAATGGCACAGGCAAATGCAACGCCACTGCCACGAGTGGTGGGTCTGACTGGGGTGCTAATCAAAGGCAATGAGATTAAGAACGTGGCCAAAAAGCTAAAGGAGCTGGAGTCGACATATCTGGGCAATATCGTTACCGTCTCCGACATGAAAGAAATGGAGAATGTTATGCTGTAAGCAAACAAAAACACAAAAAGTTCAGATCAGACTCTTAACTCCTCATCCCAATATTCTGTGCAGTCACTCAACAAAGCCGAGGGAATACCTTGTCGCCTACAATGATAGGAATCAGACATTTGAGGTTATTGAAGAAATTCGCAGTCTTATCTTATCTTATTTGAAGAGTCTGGACCTAATCACAATTCCCAATCAGCCGGTGAGGATGTCGAAGGGATTGCACGTGCAGCGCGATTCAAATAAGAAAAGTGTCATCAAATTAATGCTTAACGATTTCCTATATCAACTGGATAACTATGGCATTTATGCGGGCTCCATTGCGATCTTGTCGATGTATGCCGAATTCGATATCAAGCGTCGCCAATCGGAAACAATCGTCATGCGAAACACGTATCGCTTGGTTGTCGGACTCTGCGATAGGATTCGTCACATGTTGGTCAACCAGCTGACTGACGACGATGAGGATGAAAAGGCGGCCAACACCGAGGAGGTCATCATGAACTTCTCCACGCCCAAAGTGCAACGATTTTTACAATATTTAAAGGATACGTTTGCAAACAAGAATCCCAAGGATATCTGCTGTCTGGTTTTCGTGGAGCGACGCTATACATGCAAATGCATCTATGGGCTCCTCCTCAAATATATTGCTGCCGTGCCAGAGTTGCGTAATGTGCTGGCTCCGCAATTTATGGTGGGACGCAATGGCATTTTTCTCGATTTCGAGAGCGTACTTGAACGCCGTTGGCTGAGATCGGTATACATATTCAATCTGTGATCATCATTTGCCCATCTTAAAAGTTATCCGAAAAATATTGCAGGCCATTCAACAGTTTCGAGATGGGGAGGCTAACATGATGGTGTGCTCCAGTGTGCTAGAGGAGGGCATCGATGTCCAGGCGTGCAACTATGTGATGATATTAGATCCGATCAAAACATTTAATATGTATGTGCAAACCAAGGGACGTGCACGTGCCAAGGATGCCTCGTTTGTGTTGTTCTCGTCGGAGCTGAATAAGCCAAAGATATCGCTGCAGATACAACAGTATCGACAGGCACACGTCGAGATTAGAGAGTATTTAAAAGATCGTGTCCTAGAGCGCAGCGATCCTAAAATGGATGAGATTCGCGAGCATTTCCAGGATCAAATAAAGCCATATGTTAATCAAAATGGCGCCGTGCTACTTGCCAGCAGCGCTTTAATGTTAATCCATCGCTACGTCCAACAGATGCCAACGGATGCCTTTGGTACTGTGCTGCCCTGGTTCAAGTTGCTCGATCCAAACGAACGCAGGGAACTTACCCAAAATTCGCAAGGCAAATACGTTGTGTCGCTCAATTTGCCGCTGAACTCAGCACTACGCGATACCATCTACGTAAGCGTCCAAATGTGCTGTTAGTCCAAATCCCAATCTATATTTTTTGTGTGCTTGTAGAGCGATCCCATGCCCAATGGCCATTGGGCAAAAATTTCGGCTGCATTTAAGGCTTGCATCAAGCTGCACGAGCTGGGCGAACTCAACGAACGCTTCCTTCCCAAAACGGTGACCGAGAGGATCGCCGATATTGCAAATGTTCACTTTGAGCACTGGAAAAAATACGGGGATAATGGTGCGTATGCGATGACTTACTGTCGTACCCTATATACTATTTGTGTCCCATTATCGTTTGACAAATTTTTCCTATGCCAGATATATGATATAGTGATCCGATTTTAATGACTCTTACTCCAAGTGTTAAAAGCAGTGTAAAATGCATAGCTAGTGATTTTATTTGGTATTTCTTGGCAAACCAAAAAGTTTTTCAGAAATCAAAATGATAAGTATACTTTATGGCTGGTATAGTGAAAGTGTATATGATCTTTGGCATGCCCAAGACAGCATATATATATCTATCATATCAATACATATCTATTTCTATATTCATATCTATATCTCTTGCAGTGACTCTTCGAAGCAAAGAAGCTAAGAATATAAATACCTACGATACTCGTTGCCCATCGGAACTATACGATGCGATGCCGCGTCTGGGCGAGACTTGCTATGCATATGAGATTATTTTGGAGCCGCAATTTGATCGTAACGATTACACTTTCCACGTCTACGATTCGTTGCAGACACGTCGCAACTATGCGCTGCTATTGAGGAAGCGTTTGCCACTATTAGCTGAGATGCCGCTGTTCAGCCACCAGGGCAAATTGCATGTGCGAGTGGCGGAGCAGCCGCAGCTGATGATTATTGAGACGCAACAGCAATTAGATGAACTTCAGCATTTCCATGTGATGATCTTTCGCGATATTTTGCGTATTTGGCAGCCATTCTTTGTTCTCGATCGTCGCAATGCAGAGAATTCATTTCTGGTTGTGCCGATGTCAGCAACACCAGGCGGCGGCCTCGATTGGCCACTAGTGAAGCAGTTTTGCAGCAGACTGCCCAAGGTACAGGCAACAACTGTAGCACAGCGCAAGACGATGCCACCGCCAAATCCAAAAGATTTCGAGGGCAAAATCGTGACACAATGGTATGCTAACTATGATGAGAAGCGAATGCTGGTCACCAAGGTGCACACGGATCTCACGGCCATGAGCATGATGCAGGAGAAGCAGCAGGAGAATAGCTACTATAAATTCACTATGTCCAAATACAGCAACTATATTGGTGACATTGTCCACAAGGATCATTTCCTGATCGAGGTGCGCGAGTTGACCGATCAAATGAATTTCTATGTGCAGCAGCGAGTAAAAACCTCGGCGCTGAGCAAGCTACGCTCCAAGGTGATGCTGATACCAGAGCTATGCTTCAATTTTGGTTTTCCTGGTGATCTGTGGGTGAAGTTGCTCTTCTTGCCGAGCATTTTGCGTCGCGTCCACTATATGCTGCACGCAGAAGCGCTGCGTGTGCGGATTAATAAATATCTTGGAGTGGATCAATTGCCACAGAATGGCAGAGATTATCGGCCACGTCCGCTAGAGATTGACTGGTCGTTGCGTCGCAATGTCGATCATCAGGGCAATGCCATGCAAGATTTGGAGAGCGAGGGTCCTTCCCTGCTCGAACCGCTGCCCTCAAAGAGTATCGAAATGGCCACGGAGAATCTGCAAATCACCGATCTCGAGACGCCGTGGCAACAGTATATGGAGCCCATTGATATCGATCGCAATATTATGTCCGCTTACCCCGTGGAGCTAATGTATTTGTATAAATTCAAGCAAGGCGTAATGCTTTCGCTGGACAAGCTCGAGTTCGAGGACAAGGAGATGTGGACACAGACACAGTTCAAGATGCGCGAGGGCAAAATCTACAACTGCCAACAGGGATACAATTTACCGGCGCTTCCCTCCACCAATACTGCGAATAATGGCAAGCGGTCGCAAGAGGTGCAGCTATCGGTGCTGCAACGCAGCATCTCCAATAAGCACATTACGCCAGCGGAACAGGGTGAATTCCTGGCAGCCATCACCTATGCGGGCAGCGTTGATGTCTTTGACATGGAACGCTTTGAGCTGCTCGGCGATTGCTTTCTCAAGCTGAGCGCCACTTTATATTTGGCCAGCAAGTATCCCAAATGGAATGAGGGCACATTGACCCAGGTGGGTATTGGCAAAATGTTGACTCGTCTCTCTCTCCCTATTTATGATTATTATATTTTTATGTATATATATAGTAATTATGAATCTGTTGTATGTAATTATAATATTCTTTAATATCAGGTCAAATCTACACTGGTCTCGAATCGAAACCTATTGTATTGCATAAGGGATACGGATATTCCGTCTCGCATCTGCTTCACATTGTTCACACCGAAATACTTTTGGCTGCCACCCTGTTTGAGTCTGCCCCAGAATGTGCAACAATTGTGGCAGCAGCATCCCGATAAGGCGGCACTTGTTGGCCCGCACAATTTGCGCAACTTGACGATGAGCGAGGAGGAGGTGTTCGGCAATGGCAAGTGTGCAGAGAGTACCTACAACAGTTTTCTGGATAGCTGCCGGGCGAATCAGCAGACGCATAATGCCGGCATGGATTTCAGCAGCGAAGTGGATTTCTGTGTGGGCCAGGTGAAGATGCCGAATAAAGTACTCGCTGATACGCTCGAAGCGCTGCTGGGCGTCATCATTAAAAATTATGGGTTGCAGCATGGCTTTCGCATGCTCGAATACTTTGGCATTTGCAAGCCGGACATTGGGAAGCCGTTGACACAGTTGCTCGATCTGCAGCTGGGCAGTACACAATTGCGCACGAACATCACGAAGCGCGAGGTCGACGAGTTTCTGATCAATCATTCGGCCCTGGAGCACAACTTGGGCTATACATTCCGTGATCGTGCCTATTTGCTGCAGGCGCTGACGCATCCCTCCAATCCCACAAACAGATTGACGGGCTGCTACCAGGAACTCGAGTTTGTTGGCGATGCCATATTGGATTTCCTAATCTCCGCCTATATATTCGAGCACAAGACACGCATGACGCCGGGTCAATTGACGGATTTGCGGTCCGCCCTCGTTAACAATACGACGCTAGCTTGTATTTGTGTGCGTCATCGCATCCACTTCTTCATTCTGGCCGAGAACGCAATGCTCTCCGATTCCATACAGAACTTTGTCCGTTTCCAGGAGACACAGAACCATCGCGTAACAAATCAGGTACGCATCCTGATGGAGGAGAGCGATCTTATGCCCGGGCCTCTGGACTCCGATGATGAACTGGAGATGGCTGAAGCAGACGAGCAGCAGGCGAGCCAGCCAGCTATTACCGCGGATACCAAGAAGCCGGAAGTCGGTGAATACAATATATCAACGAATGTGGATGTGCCCAAGACATTGGGCGATGTCCTGGAGGCCCTTATAGCTGCCATCTACTTGGATTGCCGTGATCTGAACACCACTTGGCAGGTGGTCTATAAACTCTTCGAGCCCGAACTGCTAGAATTCTCACGTAACGTGCCATTGAATCCCATTCGTCAGCTCAACGATCACAAGTCGGCGAAGCCCATTTACAGTGCACCAGTCACTGACAAGAACCAGGTGATGGTCACCTGCCAGTTTATCTGCATGGAGAAGACCATCAAGGTATATGGCTTTGGCAGCAACGGCAAACAGGCCAAACTATCTGCTGCCAAGCATGCTCTACAAAAGATTGCCAAGTGCGAGGCATAACTCAATTTTCGTTACAGCTTCATTCATATCAATGTATTGAGTTCTCATTGATTTTTATAATTATCATTTAATATTCATTACTTTGTCATCTAAACAAGGCGAATATATCGCATATCCAATATGTGCACTTATATGTATCCAAATATAATTATTTTTAATTTCAATTTAGTGTCATAAATCTTTTTAAAAAAAAAACCATACACATGTATTTTAACTGACCTGGTCGAACAGAAATACTTCGAATCCTTTGCAATAAATATCGAATTGTAATCTTCAAGAAAACGACATGTAACTAGTTTTTAACTTGAATATATATATTTTAGTATGCGTTTTTATTCACCGCGTGCATAATTTATTTCGATTTCTTTACAACTTGCGCTTTGTCAACGTTCAAAGTTGACGCGGCTTATTTACAAAATGCTGGGCGCATTAAAATTGGTAATTATTAAACGTTGTTGTTGTTATTGTTTGGGCCCGCCACTGGTTTATAATAAGTGCTTACAATTTAGAATAAGTAACGTCGTTCGAGAGAAACTAGTACAATTAATTCAGCAGTTGAAGTTACACAAAAAACAAAATAAAAGTCATTTAATCAAAAACAAAAAACAAACACTTTCAACGAACTAACATCTTTTGGAATGCCACCAGATACGTTTTAAACTTTAAACAATTGGAACAGATTGAGAGATAAATTTGAAGAGAAACATACAAACAAACATTAAACTAAGTCTAATGCGATTGCGTTGCAATTTAAATGAGATTAATTTTCTTTGCTTCCTAAACTAATACAGTTATTGTTCGCGTGCATGCAATGCGACTCGAATGAGAAGATCATGATGATCATCTGATCATCAACTCTACACGCGACAGGTGCAATCGGGCTTATTTATGCTGCGCTGCCGCGTTTGCAGATTACGCAGCGCGGCGCCACCGTACTGTATGCCACTGCCAATGCGCTCTGGATCCAGTTCGCCTGTTTCTATCTTGGCCAATATGGTCTTCGAGCATTTAAGAAACGCCTCCTCAACATTCTCGCCCGTCTTGGCGCTCGTCTCCAAAAAGATAAGTTCTGCAAAGTAATAAAATAAATGTTAATATTATAATAATAAAATAAATAAATAAAAACGTGAACGCACCATTCTCCTGGGCAAAGGTGCTCGCTTCTAGAAATGTTACGTCGCGCGCTTCCTCCAGATCCTTTTTGTTGCCCACCAGCAGTATAACAATATTCGGACTGGCCAAAGTACGTGCATCATTTAGCCAATTGGTCAACGCATTGAACGAATCCCGCGACGTGGTGTCATAGACGAGCAGAGCGCCAGCAGCACCACGATAATAAGAACGTGTCACCGAACGGAATCGCTCCTGACCAGCTGTATCCCATATTTGTAGCTTCACCGATTTACCGCCCACATTCACAATTCGTGAGCCGAACTCAACGCCAATGGTGTGCGAGCTGTCGTCCTTGACTAGAAAAGTCCATAAAATAAGATACAATTATGTTAAGTCAAAGATAAGCAAGCATCCAAACAGCAATAAAATATGTATGATGATTTAAGTTGTAAGCAACAACAGCAGACATAGAAATGTAGGTTTCTTATCAGCAAAAAGACTTCAACTTATAAACTTATACAGGAAATAGCAATAAATATGAATCGAATGCAAATCATGAATTCAACCATTTTACTTATTTTATAGCGAAATAAAGTGTGAATAAAGCGCCGAGTGCTTTTTAATTGCTACTTACATTTGCTTTCGATGAAATGATGCAAGAGACAACTTTTGCCGCTGCCGGCGCTGCCTATTATTAGAAACTTGAACAGGTAATCTAGAATTGAGGTAAACACAAAACTGCAATTAACAATTGATTCTTGTGCGAGCTGAGCAAAAGTTTTTGACACAAACCGTATGTTTCAGACATTTTATTTCCTTTTGTTTCGTTGTATTGTTGTTGTTTCTTCGTTGCTTCGACTGGGCGATTTTTTTTCTCTGTTTGCCGTTGCTGTGGTGCTTGAAAATGCCCGAAAATCGAACTTGTTGGCTAGAAAAACTTATTGTATTGTTTTTAACTAGAAAGTGTTGTTGTTCACCTGCAGTAAATGATCACATACAAACACACACACATACATATGAATATGAATCATAAACATTGTGAACTGCGTTTGAGCTGAACTTGTTAGTTCACGATTCAATTCATTGGTTCGTTTTGTCCAAAAACCAAAAAGAATTATTCTTGTACTTTTCAGAAATCGAAGAGAATCATTCAAAGTTTATCAGATGCACAGCAATAAAAATAATCAAATCAATATCATCTTTAGTAATTTATAATACAGCTTTTATTTAATACATTTCATATATTTCTTATCTAGCAATTGCAATTGGCATTTATGAATCCTTTTCTTGTTCCACATAGTTTTGATAACAATTGATTGGATCCTTGGCCGTGTACACCGAATAAGCTGTCTTGCTGTTTTCAAAGTTCTGCAAACAAGGTGCAAATCAAATTATATGTAATATCAGCTGATTATTGATGAATTCTTGCCTTAACGTCGCCGGTTATCAATGTCCACAGATAAATAAAAACGGTTGGCATCACGCTGAACAGGAGAAACTGTTGGAATGTGTTAACATCGCCAAAAACAGCCAACTTCATCTTAACAAAATTTATTTGAAATGTAATAGGGACAGGAACTTGAAGGCAAAAAAAGCAAACGCTGACGAATTGTTTGTTATTCACGTAGGCCACATGCAAGGGTTGCCAACGTTGGCAAAAATATAACGCTCTTGTGTAAAGGTGAGTTTTTAGTATATACTTATAAAAATGCAATCATTGTTAAATACCTATAAGTAAACTAACAATTAATTTTTACATACATTTTTTTTACTATACATTTTTATTATACATTCAGTATATTCAGTAGGTTTAAAGCTGCCAGGGCTGCACTAAATACAACAGACGTGTAAAGCACTTTTTGTAATTTTTTAGTGTATTGCGATACGGGCACACTGCGAGAAGCTACTGAATATTTATCTGAAAAGAAACTTATTTAAATCGTAACAAAAAATGGCTTTTCGCATACCTTTTGGCAAGAAGCACGCGGAAATCGCGACATCCTTGTTAGTAATATTAAAGTGGCACTTGTGCATATAAGAACTACTGTTTTGATAGAAATGGAAGCCACTCGCATATCCATTGCATAATCAAAACTTGATGAATATTGCAAATTTTAACTTTTCTTCCATTTTGTTTGTTGTAGCGTGCGCTCTGGTGCAGGATTCGGTGGCGCCGCTGGCCTGGCTCTGCTCTACTACACGGACTGGAAACTGGTCCTGCAATACATGCCCATATACGGCTCCAAGTTCGATAAGACCGATTGAAGACAAACCACTGCTAATATTTCAACTAGTTAAATATGTTTGATTGATGTCAATAAAATTAGGTTCGATTCAAACTGTTAAATCTTTTGCCATGTTGCTGCACAATAGGTTTTATTATTAATATATATAATGTATAGTATATAAGTACTACGCATAACGGGTTTGTTAGTTATATGTAGAGTACAGAAGGAATCTACGCTTGGAGTTGTATAGATTGTTTCGTTGTTTCGATTTCACTAACTAATTAAACGTTAAATGTCTTAAGTACAATTTTTCACTTATATGCTAGCTAGCTAGTATTTTGATTGAAAATCGTATTAAAACTACATAATCGAGCATTTGTATTCGAGCGCTGCAGTACCAAAAGTATTCAAAAACTTCTTTTTCGAAAAGAGATTTGCGAGTTTGGCAAACATTTTGTGGAAGCTCAAATCGACCGGCGATTCAAAATTGCGTAGAATTTTGATGTGTTTTTTGTGTGTAATTTCGAATTTCATCACGAATGTGTGTCATAATTATTATCATCATCAGGGAATGGAGATTTACTAAGCTAAATATCCGGTTCCACAAAGGAAGCGGGAAATAAACCAGTTTTATGGGTGCGCGCATGGGTGCCCTTATACCATCCATTCTTCTGCTTGCGCTGCACATAAATAATATCTCCCGGTCGCAATTCCAGCTCAATTTCACTATTCGGCGGATACGGCACAATGCAGCGAAAGCGACTGAAAAGTAAAGGCATATTAATTACGGATCTCTCATTTCATCAATCACTCTCTAAGCTGCAATCTTACCTCTCTCGCGTGCAGTAGACGGACTTTGTTGTGGCACTGGCCTTGATGGCTGCCTCAGTGATCAGACTGGCGCCATTGTTGCCATTTATGTTGCTGTTGCTGCCACCGAGCACATGTCCAGCGTCCAGGCTTTGGCTCTTGCGATGATTGGGCGCCATAATCATGTTCGCATGCAGCTGTGTTTGGGTTTGTGTATGGCTTGATGCTGCTGGCGGCACGGCATTATTGTACATGCTCTGAAAGGTGGCAGCATCCAGAGATTGCCTAGCGCTGTAGTGGGAATAAATTAAGTAAATGGGGAGTCCACTTTAAGTAAGCAATGGCAAACTAACCAAAGCAAATGCGGTCGCTCTTTGTTGCTCTTGATGCGCTGGGAGCCGTAGGAGATGCTGCTGCTGCTGTTGGGTTGCAACTGCTGTTGGCCTGCAGCAGCAGCCACCACAGATGTGTCCTTCAATGGCTGACTCTGTTGAAGCTGGCTGGGACACGAACCGGATCTTTGAAGGGACAAAAGCTGGACATGGTAATTGATTGAGGAATGATTGCACGCAAACATACCTGACATGCACTGGATGCATTGGCGCCGCTTTCACATTGCTCTCTATTGTTGTGTTGCTGAACTCTTTTGGCGCCGGCTGCTGCTGCTGCTGGAGTGGCGCACCTGGTGACTTGGAACGCGTTTTCATATGCGTCAAACGTCGCATTAGACCAACAGCGCCGGAGGAACTGCCGGAACTGGAGGTATCCGCTTTGCCACTGCTATCGGCTGTTGTGCTCGATTTGCGACTAAAGAGCGCCTCCACTGGCTTGGTCCACACCGAGCAGCTGGTAGTCGATTGCTGTTGCTGTTGTTGTTGCTGCGACTGCTGCAGTTGCTGCTGTTGTCGTGGCGGCAAATCTGGTGGCTGTATGGGCAGCATATTGCTAAGACGCACATCTAACGATTGCACCGTTGACGTTGGCGCATTCGCATCCGTTGCGGGCATTACATATTTCCACTGATGCATCAGCTGTTGCTGGTCGCGTGTGCGCAGCGGAGTCAGATAGTTGCCCGGAAAGACGCCCACGATGTCCAGCCAGTTTTTGCCCTTAAACCAGCCATCGACACAACGCTCTGTGACAATATAAACGCACCCCTTTTTCAGCTCCAGTTCGTCGGATTGGCGTGGCTTGTAGGGGAAGAGGGCAAGATAGCCCCAGGGCAACGTTGGCGGCAATTGTTGTTGATGTACATGAGTTTTGAGAACACGCGATGCTGCTGCTGCTGCTGTAGCTGTAGTAGCAGCAGCAGTTGTTGTTGTTGCTTGTTGCGTATTCAGCTCGAGGCGACTCAGCTCGTGTGGTAAACTGAGTATCTCGGCGGAATGGCGATTCGTTTGCAGCAAACTGAGTGGCGCCGATTGAAGTAGAGCGTTCAGAGAGTGTCTCTTCTCCTTGGCACCCTTGTCGCGATAACGCACCGAGCCACCACCAGCAGCAGCAGCTGCAGCAGCTACAGCCGCTGCATGTTGTGGTGTATTTGGCAGCGATTGATGATTTGGACTGCAATTGTTCGAGCTGCAAGTTGAGCTCGAATTGCTGCTGCTGCTGTTGTTGTTGATCGAGGAGCAGGAGGAGGAACCTGTGCTGGAGTCATTCGTATTGTTGTGAGTGGGATCAATCAATGGCACCGCAGGCAAAGCACGTTGTTGTTGCTGCTGCTGTTGCATTAATGGCACAGGCTGTGGATTGCTAGCACCGCTTTCCAGCAGCTTTTTAGCTGCCGCATTCAGTTCAACGAATGCAATGGGAAATATGCCAATTGTTTGCGCAATTCGTCCCTCAGCCCAATTGTGATCGACACGGCGCAGAACATGGATGACGGTGCTCTTCCTGAACTGCAGACAGCCCTCCTCATCGCTGGGACCCATCTTGAAATCGTACATGGCAATGCACTGCGGCATGGGCAGCGCCACAGCCACCTTAACATAATTAATGGGAAATGTGCCCTCTTGTCCATTCGCCTGGCCCACAAACCAGTTGTTGTCGATGCGCTGTTTCAGCAATATTAAGTCACCCTTTTTAAACTTTAAATCGCTCGCTTCACCGCTAACAAAATCGAACAGGGCATAAGCGTGTGGCAGGAGAAATCTTCGCGGCTTTTGGCGTGCTGTCTGCTGTGGTTGCTCCGATGGCGGTGCCTGCTGCACTGGCTGCGATTGTTGCTGCTGCTTTTGCTGCAGTTGTTGCTGCTGCTGCTGTTGGGCTTTTTGTGTTGCTGACAACTCCTGCTGTAGTTGAGGTGTGGTAGTTGGCAACTCTTCGATTTTAGTTTCATTCTTGCCAGCCGTTTGTTTCATGCCTATTTGAGTGGGTGAGTTTCAAGTATTAATACTGCCCACAATTCAACACAACACCTACACATACACAACACACACACGACACTTACCTTCTAAAATTCGCATGAGTAACACATTTGGCGGCAGCTCGTCGATGCGACAATTGACCAAAACACGACATTCCGGACACCGTAATTTGTGCTGGCTGGCAACGATGTCCTGCAAAAACAAAAACAAAAACAACATCAACAAAGCACAAAATGTTTAACTTTTGCAACACTTACCAGCAGGCACTTGCGACAGAAGGTGTGTTGACATGGCAAAACTTTGGATGTGGTGTCCAAGCGTTCCAAGCACACCGAACATTCCAACAGGTCATTCAATGTGTGCTCATCCATTTCTTTTTTTTACTTTATTTCGCTTTTATTATGCATAGTCTTTCTCTCTTTTGATCTCTCTCTGTCACTTAATATTGCTGTATCACAAAAAATCTCAAGGATGGTCACAATTTGAATTTCGTGCAAAGCAACATTCCAAAAAGCACACATACACACACATACAGACACCTACACACGTACACAGCAACAGCAAGCGAGCTTACGAAATACATACATATGTTTAATCGAATTTCGCGCTTTTTGCAAACTAATAACAACACTTGCTTGCTACATTATCAATTTACATGTTAACTATTTTAGTTTTAACTATATTTAAATTTCGATTTTATAAAATGCAGGCAGCGTGCAGCTCGTGGCCATCATTGAAATATACTACAACTACAACTACAAATATGCATACAGCCACACGGATACAAACCAGCTTGCTTCTGAGTTACACAAGTGGTCACATGAATATGAGCACGTGCTAATAAAAACATTTATAAGTCGATGTTAATTATTCTTGTGTGACAGTTATAGCATACAGCAGAATGCTTTAAAAGCTTGCCAGAGCATAATCATGTTTCATTTAATTAAATTCTTAAATGTACATGGATTAAATTATTAACTCTACAGGCTGTGTGCATATTGCTATTTGCAGCGGCGTATAAGATCGAGAGTGACCAGACTTATTGCGTTAACTGGAATCATATTAGTCTGGCAGCACTTCAGTTACTTCAATTCAAATCCTGTTTTCATATAGATAATAAGTTATCAGTTTAAGCGGTGTAATAGATAAAAATTTAAATATGTAATAATCAGTTATAACAATATATTTAAATTTCAACAACCAAGAGCATTTATTTACAGCTAACATTATTGAGACCGATTACCTATTGCTTATCGATTGCAAACATCGATAGCACCGAAACGAAAACAATCCTTCAACCTAACCTTTCTTTTGAGAACGGAACGTGTTTGTTTTGATACGTGCGTGCTTCAATTGCAGCACTTAAATTAAACTAAATCGCACGTAATTAAAAAAAATACACGATGCCGAAAACGCGCAGCACAACGGGCAAGCCCCGTACACAGGGTTTCAATCATTCCAATCACTCCATGAATCCGGAGCGGCCGACAAGTGGCCTCAAAGGTGTCGCCCATCCGCGCACCAAGGGCACCATAAAGCGTCTCCAGATGTATCGCAATTTTAAGGCCAAACGCGATCGCACTGGCAAAATTCTGACCCCGGCACCGTTTCAGGCAAGGATTCTTAACGATGAGGGAAATTACCAGCTTCCTAATATTTTATTCTATTTTTAGGGTCGTTTGCCTGCTGGCACAATGGCCAGAGTGGAGCCGACACCGAAATGGTTCAGCAATTCGCGCGTCATCTCACAGACGGCACTGCAAAAGTTTCAAGATGAGATTGGCAAAGCTGTCAAGGATCCCTATCAGGTTATAATGAAGCCATCACAATTGCCAGTAACCCTGCTCAACGAGGCATCCAAATACCAACGTGTTCATCTGTTGGAAACAGAGAGTTTCGATAGTGTCTTTGGACCAAAGAAGCAGCGAAAACGTGTCAGCCTCAAGGTGCGTGATCTGGAAGATTTGAGCCGTGCCGCTGATGAGCAGGCGGAGCAGTATGATGCCACCAAAGATGTGGATCTAATTCGTGAGGATACCGGCGAGAAGAAGTTGGTGCGTGATTGGGTTTTCGGTGCGGGTCAAAGCAAACGCATCTGGAATGAATTGCACAAAGTTGTGGATGCATCCGATGTGCTGCTGCAGGTGCTCGATGCACGTGATCCCATGGGCACACGTTCCAAATATATTGAGGAGTTCTTGCGCAAGGAGAAGCCACACAAGCATCTCTTCTTCATACTGAACAAAGTAGATTTGGTGCCAGTGTGGGTGACACAGCGCTGGGTGGCCATCCTCAGTGCGGAGTATCCAACAATCGCATTTCATGCCTCGATGCAGCATCCCTTTGGCAAGGGTGAGTAGTGAACATGTCTATATATAAATATTCTGTATATCATTATAAAAACAATATCCGACAGGTGCACTGATCAATCTGTTCCGTCAGTTGGGCAAACTGCACATGGACAAGAAGCAGATCAGCGTTGGATTCATTGGCTATCCAAATGTGGGCAAATCTTCCGTCATCAATGCATTGCGTTCCAAGAAGGTTTGCAATGTGGCACCGATTGCAGGCGAGACGAAAGTCTGGCAATATATAACGCTAATGAAACGCATATTCCTCATCGATTGTCCCGGCGTCGTTTATCCCTCCGCCGAAACAGACACGGAGAAAGTGCTAAAGGGTGTGGTCCGCGTGGAGTTGGTTACCAATCCGGAGGATTATGTTGAGACTGTTTTGCAGCGTGTACGCAAGGAGTACATTGCCAAGAACTATAAAATTGAAAGCTGGACATCAGGAACACATTTTCTCGAGCAGCTCGCACAAAAGACGGGCAAGCTGCTCAAAGGAGGCGAACCGGACATAACTGTTACGGCGCGCATGGTGCTCAACGACTGGCAGCGTGGCAAGCTGCCTTTCTATGTGCCTCCCGAGGGCTTCGCCATACCAAAATCCCACGAGGGCAAACAAAAACCGGAGGAAGAGGCTATTGTTGCTGTTGAAGATGAGCCCGATGGCGATGGGGATGCCAAGTCGGAGGCGCCCACCTTTGTCAGCGAGTCGGTGAAGAAAGCGCGCGAATTTAAGCAGATTCAGGATTTCCGCAAGATTCGCGTCGGTCTAGAGTATGAGCAGCTAGATGAGTGCGAACTGGAGCATATTGATTTGGAGCTGCTGGAGCAACAGAAAGCTGAGCGTACTGCCCGCAAAAAGGCGCGCATGGTCAATCCAGAGATGGATGATGACTCAAGCGATGGTGCCGATAATTTCTATTCGGAGGATGAATACAATGAGGATTTGCAGCGTGTCGTTCATAAGAAATCCAAGACGAGGAAGACCCAACAGCTAGCAATCACATCGTCGGGTAAATTCCGTGTCTCCAAATTGCAGCCGGTCGATTCCGATGAACTGGACGACAGCGAGGATGATGATGGTCCGAGGACTTCTAAGCAGCCACGCCTCAATGCCAAACAGAAGCGTGCGCTGGAGCGGAGTCAAAAGCGCAAGAAAATCGGCAGCAATTTCTACGAGGCAACCAATGTGAAGAACCGTAATCGCAACAAGAAAAAGGACACGTAGAATAGCAACCGTTTTATCCGCTAGTTTATATAATTCGCTGCAGCAAACGTTATTAATTAATTAAGAATCCAATAGAAAACTGTGTTTCTTGTGGTTGTTTTCCCCTCTACAAAAACAAAAATACACACAAAAAGAAAATTCCTCAAGATTTGATTTACTCGGCGCACTGTTTCTTCTTGGGCATCTTGCGACCACACATATCAACCAGACTGCTGCCATGATCCTCATCCTCGGTGCTCGATGCGGAGTCGCTTGAATCCGTATAGGATGCAATGCCCGGCAATATGGCGATGCATTTGAGCCCGCCTACATCGTGTTTGGTTGTACTTATGCGACAGATAGCGGGCGTCGATGCAGCTGGTGTCTCCTGCTGCTCTTGCTCCACTCTGCACACTTTGCTGGTGGTCGGCGATTCACCATTTTTACGCTTAATGCCCTGTGCTAATAATGATTTCTGTGTATTACGCGCTGTGACCGGAGTACCAATGGATTTAGCTGTCGTCTTTAACTCCGCTTGCAGTTTCTAAATCACTCAAGAAACAAACATTTAAATAATCCATATAAACAGACTTTGATCAAAATTTACCTTATCGACGCTCTCTTCGTGCAGTTTCTCGACGCGATTTCGAAAATCTTTTAGCTCCATTTCCTCATCGCGCATCTGTTGGCGCTCTGCATTCATTTTGTGAGCATCGACCAGCTCCAGGAACTGCACCTCGTCATCGTCTAGGCCGCGTATTAGATTCTCTAAATACATATATGACATTGTTGTTAATTGTTGTTGTTCACATTGACACAATGCTGAAGTCTCACTCAGTTTGTGTGCCTCCTCAAATTCCATATCCTTTTTGGTTTTCTGCTCTTTCAGGCGGTCGTACAGCGAGCGACCGTCGTATGGCTCCTCGGGTCTCTCCATTGGATCTTCGGGCTGGCGGACGCGTTCCCATTCTTCCTGGCGACGCTGGCGTACTTCGGCCGCCTCGGATTCAGTAACAAATCCGGAACTCATTTTAATTTTGGGCGACAAACCTTTTTACTTTTCACACAATGTGTTGTCGCTGCATTGTAGTGCTGGTAAGTGTGCGTTTTTTGTCATCGATAATGAAATCGATTACAAATCACAAGAAATGTGGGCGCCAACGAAGAAAATTCAATTTTGTCTATTTTTATATTGATTTTTATTACACTTCTGTTTTAATTGTGTGTATTCGTTTACGAGCTTCTCGATTCATTTGTGCACTTTCAATATAGGCAGCCTTTTGAGAGCAGCTCATTTGGCGCCACTTCTTACCAGCCGCTCGAGCCACAGTGGTGACTTTAATATTCCTCACACCGCGTTTTTCAAGATATTCGCGAAACTGGGCAAGAAATATGAAATAGGGATTGACTGGCAACTTTTTAAATGTATCGTTCATTTTTTAAAAAAGTTTTACTATAAATTTATATTTAACTATAATATAACAACATATTTAATTCAATAAAAATAAATATTTGATGGATCACACAAAGCAACACAGATCAAATCAATTTTTTAACAAAACATGAGTAGTCGCATCATTTGAAATTTTATAGTGATTGTAAATCATATAAAACCTTTACTTAATCTATAGATAAAAAAGGTCTCGTCTTTAGTAGAGTATAAAATCCAACTCGATAAAAAGGATATATACAATTGGCAAAGTACATGAATGAAATTCTATAAATTCGCACCGTATTCGTACTTATCGTTGTGGCAACCAAAAATTGGCAATCGGATAGTGATATTGAAAGCGAACATTGATATTCATAAAAATTGATGTGATCCCGATAGAAAACTTGTGGGTAATCATAAAAAGAAAGTTGTAAAATTCCTACAAATTACTCCGTTTGGATTACCTGGAAACTCAACTGCAGAAAACTTTTGTTAATTTATTAATACAGGCCGTGTTTATTATATTAAAAGAAATGATATTGTTGCTGTATGAATTAATAATGGTCAAATGATGTCATTTGATTCAAAGTACCTTTTAACGTACGAATTAATAGTGATTTTGGTTGTCAGTAAATTTTAATTTTTCATTTCTCTCAATTTTGTACCGATTGTATAACATATTAGACATACTTAATTTAATTGTGGCGTCTATTGAAGCGTATATAAGGCAAGTGTTTTACATTGAAACTTTAGAATTTATAAAAATGAAATTTACTGTTTTAATTGTACTGGTCCTTTTGGCGGCTCAAGCAGTAAGTAAAATAAAAAGAAACAAGACACAGCGTTTTTTGCATTTGGCATGAATTGAAGATATTTAATCATCTTGTTAAATATGTTATAAGTCATAATTCACCTGTGTTCAACTTTAGAAAAGCATAATATTAATGTATATTTATTTGTTTTGAATTCTCTTAGAGCTGTCGTAGACCTAAAACCGCACCCCCTGTAACCAAAAAGTCAATGCGACCTGCCGTTAATTTATCAATACGGTGGTAAACGAAGTAATGTGTAAATTTTATTATTTAAAATTAAATAAACGATATTGTTGCTATATGAATTAATAATCGGATTGTACAGCACATTAGTTATGCTTAATTTAATCGAACGATGTTGTAACTGTATGAATTATAATAGTCAAATATGTACCAATGATGTGGTTAGATTTAAAGTACATTTTTAATTTTCTTATGTACGAAACCTGTTGACATTTAAATTAGTATTAAAGGTAATTAAGTAACCTTTCTAAAAAGTATAGAATTGTCTGAAGAGGTACTATGTTGATACAAAATAACTATCTTTAGAAAGTACTACTATCAGAAAAATGCAAGTAAATTTGCACGCAAATTTATTCCCGCATTATTTACAATTTTGTAGGGATTGAATAACATATTAGCCATGCTTAATTTAATTGTTTCACCTATTGAAGGATATATAAGCCAAGTTTTTTACATTGAAACTTTAGAATTTATAAAAATGAAATTTATTGTTTTAATTGTACTGGTCCTTTTGGCGGCTCAAGCAGTACGTAAAATAAAAAGAAACAAGACACAGCGTTTTTTGCATTTGGCATGAATTGAAGATATTTATTCATCTTGTTAAATATGTTATAAGTCATAATTCACCTGTGTTCAACTTTAGAAAATCATAATATTAATGTATATTTATTTGATTTGAATTCTCTTAGAGCTGTCGTAGACCTAAAACCGTATACCCTATAACCAGAAGGACAATGCGACCTGACAGTGACAGTGAAAGGAGAGGATGATAAAATCCTGCTAATGGAACTAGAAGGTCACAGGTAGATGTGGAAATGCATTAAACCAATTTGTCTTAATATTCGAATGGGAAAATAAAGCGTAAAACTTCTCAAAAATAAACAATTGATGTGCGTACATTTATTAATATGCCGTTAATTTATTAATAGAGTGGTAAACGAAGTAGTGTGTAAATTTTATTATTAAAAATCAAATAAACGATATTGTTGCTACATGAATTAATAATCGGATTGTACAGCACATTAGATATGCTTAATTTAATTGAACGATGTTGTAACTGTATGAATTATAATAGTCAAATATGTACCAATGATGTGGTTAGATTTAAAGTACATTTTTAATTTTCTTATGTACGAAACCTGTTGACATTTAAATTAGTATTAAAGGTAATTAAGTAACCTTTCTAAAAAGTATAGAATTGTCTGAAGAGGTACTATGTTGATACAAAATAACTATCTCTAGAAAGTACTACTATCAGAAAAATGCAAGTAAATTTGCACGCAAATCTATTCCCGCATTATTTACAATTCTGTAGGGATTGAATAACATATTAGCCATGCTTAATTTAATTGTGGCGCCTATTGAAGGGTATATAAGGCAAGTGTTTTACATTGAAACTTAAGAACTAAAAATATGAAATTTATTGTTTTAATCATACTGGTCCTTTTGGCAGCTCAAGCAGTAAGTAAAATAAAAAGAAACAAGACACAGCGTTTTTTGCATTTGGCATGAATTGAATATATTTATTCATCTTGTTAAATATGTTATACGTCATAATTCCTTAGTGTTCAACTTTAAAAAAGCATAATATTCATGAATATTTACTTGATTTGAATTATCTTAGAGCTGTCAAACTTCACCGGTACGACCCCCTAGAAGGACCAGAAGGACAATGCGACCTCCCGGGGCAAGGTGATAAAATCCTGCTAATGGAACTAGAAGGCCACAGGTAGATGTGGAAATGCATTAAACCAATTTTTCTTAATATTCGAATGGGAAAATAAAGCGTAAAACTTCTCAAAAATAAACAATTGATGTGCGTACATTTATTAATATGCCGTTAATTTATTAATAGAGTGGTAAACGAAGTAGTGTGTAAATTTTATTATTAAAAATCAAATAAACGATATTGTTGCTACATGAATTAATAATCGGATTGTACAACACATTAGATATGCTTAATTTAATTGAACGATGTTGTAACTGTATGAATTATAATAGTCAAATATGTACCAATGATGTGGTTAGATTTAAAGTACATTTTTAATTTTCTTATGTACGAAACCTGTTGACATTTAAATTAGTATTAAAGGTAATTAAGTAACCTTTCTAAAAAGTATAGAATTGTCTGAAGAGGTACTATGTTGATACAAAATAACTATCTCTAGAAAGTACTACTATCAGAAAAATGCAAGTAAATTTGCACGCAAATTTATTCCCGCATTATTTACAATTTTGTAGGGATTGAATAACATGTTAGCCATGCTTAATTTAATTGTTTCACCTATTGAAGGATATATAAGCCAAGTGTTTTACATTGAAACTTAAGAACTAAAAATATGAAATTTATTGTTTTAATCATACTGGTCCTTTTGGCAGCTCAAGCAGTAAGTAAAATAAAAAGAAACAAGACACAGCGTTTTGTTGGTGTTTATTTTAATTTATATTTATACATTTTAATTATCTTAGAGCTGTCGTAGACGACAGGCCCCGGAAAACTTCCACCAAAGACACAATGGGGGTGTGAAAACACTTAACATATTTTCTCTAAATTCGATTTTAAATATATACACTTCTCATACCTACAAAATTGATGTGCGAATATTTATTTATTTGTTTTATTTATTAAAAGCTTCGAATGAAGCATATTTAGTTAGAGTCATACATTTACTTAGAATTCCTAGTCTTTATATGCGATATATGTCTTTTCCAAAAAGGAGCTATGCGATTGGCAAATTACATGGAAGAGATTCTAGAAATATGCCTCCTACTTGTATCTATCGCTAGAGCAACAAAAAATTGACATTAGAATAATGATATTGAAAGCGAACATTGATATTAATCAAAAATTGATGAGATACCGATAGAAAACTTGTGGGTAAGCATAAGAGGGAAGCAGTAAAATTCCCACAAAGTACTCCGTTTGAATGAATTATTTGGAGATTTAAGTTCCCAGACTGCAGAAAACTATCGTTAATTTATTAATAGTATTAAGCAAATTTATTCCCGCATTATTTACAATTTTGTTGGGATTGTATAACATATTAGCCATGCTTAATTTAATTGTTTCGCCTATTGAAGGGTATATAAGGCAAATGTTTTACATTGAAACTTCAGAATTTATAAAAATGAAATTTACTGTTTTAATTGTACTGGTCCTTTTGGCAGCTCAAGCAGTAAGTAAAATAAAAAGAAACAAGACACAGCGTTTTTTGCATTTGGCATGAATTGAATATATTTATTCATCTTGTTAAATATGTTATAAGTCATAATTCACCTGTGTTCAACTTTAGAAAACTATAACAGTAATTTATATTTATTGAACTTTTTTTTAGAGCTGTAAAAAAAAAATACCATCCCCGAAAATTATCAAGGTGAAGACCACAACGTTAGCTGCGTGAATGCAGTAAACCAATGTTGCTCAAAATATGCTTTAAATGCCAATATGACTTAATATTCACATCGGATAATAAAGGGTAACACTTCTCAAATGTAAACAATTGATGTGCGTACCTTTATAAATATGTATTATTAATTAATATCTCAAAATAAAGCATATTTAGTGAGGGTCAAACATTTAATTGAAGTTTCTATTCTGTCTACGCGATACGATTTTAAATGGATTATGGATATCATAATTCGAACTAAAAGTTTAAAGAAAAAGAGGCAGAAAATTCCTTGTATTTCTGCTCGGATCTGTAAAATTAAGTTGGCTAATTAACTCAGAAGAATCAATCTCACCGTTTATAAGCTTTTATAAAAATATTACACCAAGCATTGTTCTACGATCATGAAGAGAAGGAAGATTTATATATGGATCGTAAAATTCTTTTGATCAGCGCGTGATGGAACCCAAGACACATTTAAGATTTAATAAATGAACACGACTCCAGGCTTCAAAACTATCTATTTTTTTTACATCATCGGCAGACATCAGTATTCGAAAGTGACTTATATCAGTTTGAAGCTAATTTATAAATAATGCGAATAACAAGGGAACAATGTGACTTCCCAGCGGTACTCCGGAAGTAACTCGAACAGACTTAGACACAGAAAGATCTAAAATAAACTCTTTGTGTTCTACGCGGTAAGTATTTTGAGATCCAACTAATTAGGTTATTTGGAAATCCCAAAAGGTTATGTAACTGAATTAGCAAAGAGTGATTTAAAATTTCAATAGGCTTACTAAACTCAGTGTAAACAACTTCCGATTGCATCTTGTTTTAAAAACCCCTAATAACAAAATAAGTGAAGTCGAATAAGTTAGTGGTTGAAGAGTTATAATTTTCTCCAAAATCTTGGGAATAGGGGACAACTTAGAAATATCTCTATAATTCTGAAGATTCGATTTGTTTTCTTTTTTTAATGATTGTCTCCAAATTTTATGAGCAGAGCATGACTCAAATAGTTTAGCCACAGGCTTTAAAATACGATCAGCACAGTACTTAACCACGCAGGCAGGTTCACCATCAGGTCCCGGTAAACCTTTGGACTAAGCAATGAGCTCTCAAAATTCCAAAAATGCAATTAGAGCGTCTAACTATGCAAGGATATGGTAAAACCAACTGATAATTATGGGATACCATAAGTAGATTGAAGAAACGTTTAGGATCCCGCTGAAGCAGTAAGCTACAGTTTCTTAGGCAATCCTTATAACATTTGTTATTTAGCACGGAGAAATTGGATCGTACAACAAAGTAACGAGAGTAATCCAAGGATCAGACAGTTTTCCTGAATTTCTCGTACATTCTCGACTTTCGATTCTTTACATTGATCAATTCCCACGTAATCCATAAAGATTTGGTTGACCTATATGGCTCACAAACAAGAACAGACTAGTCAAATAAATAGTCCAAAGTATTGTAAAAAACGTTGATTGCACTGCGATAAAAGCCGAATGATGATACATAAAATAGCAGAAATACATCCCCTATTTTAAATTATATTATTTACAAATTTACAAATTATAAAACATATTAGCCATGCTTAATTTAATTGTGGCGCCTATTGAAGGGTATATAAGGCAAGTGTTTTACATTGAAACTTTAGAATTTATAAAAATGAAATTTATTGTTTTAATTGTACTGGTCCTTTTGGCGGCTCAAGCAGTAAGTAAAATAAAAAGAAACAAGACACAGCGTTATTTGCATTTGGCATGAATTGAAGATATTTAATCATCTTGTTAAATATATTATAAGTCATAATTCACCTGTGTTCAACTTTAGAAAATCATTATATTAATGTATATTTATTTGATTTGAATTCTCTTAGAGCTGTCTTAGAACTACACCCAGAATCCCTCGAACCAGAAGGACAAGTCGAGGAAGTGGCAGGTCAGGATGGTGAAATCCTGCTAATGGCACTAGAAGGCCACAGGTAGATGTGGAAATGCATTAAACCAATTTGTCTTCATATTCGAATGGGAAAATAAAGCGTAACACATTTCAAACATAAACAATTGATGTGCGTACATTTATTAATATGTTTTATTTATTAATATGTCAGAATGGAACATATTATCTCATCTCCAAAAAGGAGCTATAAGATTTCCAATTTGCATGGAAGAGATTCTAGAAATATGTCTCCTATTTGTATTCATCGCTAGAGCTACAAAAAATTGGCATTAGAATAATGATATTGAAAGCGTACATTGATATTAATCAAAAATTGATGTGATACCGATAGAAAACTTGTGGGTAAGCATAAAAGGGAAGCTGTAATATACCCACAAAGTACTCCGTTTGGATTGTGTGGAAATTTAAGTTCCCAAACTACAGGAACTTTTGTTAATTTATTAATACAGTAATAAACGAAATAGTGTGTTCATTTAATATCAACGGTCGTGTTAATTATATTAAAAGAAATGATATTGTTGATGTGCGAATTAATAATGGTCAAGCATGTATCAATGATGTGATTTGATTCAAAGTACCTTTCCAATTTTCTTATGTTGACATATAAAATAGTATTAAAGGTAATAAAGTATAGAATTTTTTGGGGAAGTGCCATGTAAATATATAAAATACCTCCAGAAGCACTACTATCAGAAGAATGGTTGATGTACGTATTGTTATTATCGCGAATAGTATAATAATATGTTCAAGCAACAATTTTTACAAAGTTCTGTATGCACAATGTACATAGAGTTACCACAACATTCTGTGTGCGAGTCTCTTAACAGGTCACTGTAAAGACGCGCATAACATCGATTAGCGTAAGTTAGTCGTTCCATTCCATTAAGCAAAGAAGGTCGCGCAGCGCTCGACGAAAAGTTATTAAAACGTTTATATAAACATAACCTCTAAAGAAAACTCATCGTGTTATTAATGGCCATGGGCCTGGTGTTTCAGCTAAGCCTGCACCCATAACCCCAAATCTCCAACATCCCAGCACGCTTCCACTGCGCGGAAAATAATAATAATCACTTGAAAACAATAGAATGTTATACTTGCAAAAAGTGAAAAATGTTGAAAATGAGTGCCTTTATAAAAATAGAACCGCTGTGTGCGGAACAAATGCAAGCCATACTAGTGAAGAACGACCTATTGCAGTACGTGGAAGGCACTAAGACGTGCCCTCTCACAGACGGGAACGACTCCGCCGTATGGAAAACGTATGACGAAAAAGCGCGTGCGGATATAGTTTTGGCGATTAAGCCATCCAAATTGGCCGTAATCGAAGGTTGTACGTCAGCTGCCAACTGCTGGACAAAGCTTGGGGAAACGTTTCAATGAAGAGTAGGAGTTATTCGAGGCTGTGAAGCAACTCAGGGAAATTGGCGTGACAATAGACGATGATTTGCTCAGCATACTCCTGCTTCTCAGTTTGCCTGAATCATACGAAACGTTTCGGAGAGCAATGGATGCAAGAGATGATTTTCCAAGATCAGATGTTCTAAAAGTAAAAATAATAGAAGAAGTAAATGCGCTCAAAACTAAGTGTAAACGTGAAGAGCAAAACGTAATGCTCGCTTACCGACAAAACGGTAAACGCGATAAGCCGCCTAACATGTGAGAGAACAGAAAATGTTTTACTTGAAATAAAACGGGACATATAGCGCGTAACTGTCGTAACAAGGCAAAAGGCAAAGGCGAAGAGCCAGAGAACCAAAGAGAGAGAGCACAGAGAGCTGAAGAAGCCACGCTCGCTTGTCAGACTCATTTCTGTATAAATAAAGTTGAAATGTGGTGCCTAGGCAGTGGATGTACAGCGCATATGACATCAAATGTGGATTCCTTTGAAAATATCGCAATGATCGAAAAGACATTGCATTTGGCAAACAATGAAACGACACAGATCAGTGGAGTCGGTGATGTACGAATCGCAGTTGAAGAAAATCAAACAAAAGAGAATGTAACTCTGAGTGAAGTGCTTTGTGTGCCCGATCTGAGACAAAGTCTGCTGTCGATCGCAAAGATCACAGACAGAGGTTACGAGGTCCATTTCAGAAAAAACGATGCGTTGATAATGAAAAACAATAATATGGTTTGGTTGCGTGCAAAAAGATATGGAAACCTATACTACTTGGACAGTGAGCGGATCCAAGCAAACATCATAGAAGGGCGCAGTCAAAAGAATATTGACATGTGGCATTACCGCATGGGACACTTAAACGAAGGAGATTTAAAGAGCATGGCGAAAAGCGGCAAAGTTTACGGTATGAATGTCAAAGACAACGAAAAGTTGTCGAAATGTGAAGTATGTATAAGTGAGAAACAAACTACAAAAACTTATAAAACTACAACTGATAAGAGAACGACTGATTTGCTCGAAATTATACACAGCGACGTGTGCGGGCCAATGAGGAAAGAGTCCATGAGTGGTTACAGATATTATGTAACCTTTATCGATGATCAGTCAAGATATTGCGAGATATATTTCCTTAAACAAAAATCTGAGGCGTTTAAAATGTTCAAGCAATATAAAGCAGAAGTGGAAAACTTCACCGGAAGGAAAATAAAAGCACTACAATCGGACAACGGAACCGAATATTGCAACGTGGAGTTTGATAAGCATGGCATCCGGCGTAGGCTTAGTTCCCCATATACGCCGCAGCAAAACGGATTGGCAGAGAGGCAAAACAGAACCCTTGTGGAAATGGCTAGGTGCATGATGAGACAAGCGGGAGCGCCTCCAATGTTTTGGGCAGAAGCTGTAAACACAGCTTGCTACATTCGCAACAGATGCCCAACGAAAGGACGGATAATACGGGATTCCCTACACCATGTGGACAAATAAGATCCCGACACTGGCCCACATGCGAACGTTTGGCACAAAGGCATTTGCGCTTGAGAAAGGCGTCAAGAAAGGCAAATTCGATTCCAGATCTGAAGAGTGCATTCTGCTGGGATACGCAACAAGCTCGAAAGCGTATCGGTTATACGTGCCGGAAAGGCACAAGGTGATCATATCTAACGATGTAAAATTCTTGGATATTCCAGGTTTCAAAACGAAATATGAAGAATTCTATGGCAAAGAAGACATTGACGTCGTCATCACAACAAATGAGCCAAGTGAGCACTGTGAGGATGCGATGGACGAATCCGAAGAGGAGAAGCAAGAACCACACAATCCGCGTCGTGGTCGGGGGCGTCCAAAAACTATTCGGACGGGTCAACGCGGAAGGCCACGAAAATTGTACAAAGAGGTACGATGCAGCAGCAGCAGCAATGATGAGGCGGGAGACGCCAAGGCAGAGGATGACATCATTGAGGAGTGCGAAATGGCTTTTACATGCGTAGACGGTCCGTCTACGTTGCAAGAAGCTAAAAATTCTAAGGAAGCAGACGCGTGGACTAAAGCAATCGAGGACGAGTTTTTAGCTCAAGTGCTAAATGAAACGTGGGACCTCGTAGAACGACCAGCCGATCGTAAAGTTATCGGCAACAGAATGGTATTTCGCACAAAGGATGACGGCAGCGCTGCAGGCAAGAAGAAAGTGCGTCTGGTGGCCAAGGGATACGCTCAGCGACCAGGAGAAGATTATCATGACACTTATTCACCCGTAGTACGATTTACATCGGTCAGACTGCTCATATCATTAGCAGTAGAAGCTGACATGGAAATCCACCAAATGGATGTGGTTACGGCATATTTAAATGGAGAGCTCGAAGAGAGCGTCTTCATGGATATACCAGACGGATTTACCGACTTCATGGAAAAGTTAGAATCAGGATCACCGATCGGAACAAGGGACACCCCTCAAGGAGCGGCATATCTAAAAGCCGCTGCAGCTTGGCGGAAAGGAATAAGCAAATCCAAGAATCCTGTTTGTCTAATACGGAAGGCCCTTTATGGACTGCGGCAATCTGGCCTACGTTGGTACCACAAGTTGACCACTAAATTACTGGAGAGTGGATTGGAGTCCACCAAACAGGACCCATGCTTATTTGTAAGGAGACAAGGGAGCAAAACTCTGCTTATCACGATATACGTTGATGACTTATTGTTAGCATCAAATGACCCTACGTGGATGGAAAATATTAAGGCAGATCTCTGCAATGCTTTTGAGATGAAGGATATCGGCAAAGTGAAGACTTGCCTAGGCATACAATTTAAGCAGAGCATAGACAAGCACTGGATATTCATTTCACAGGAACAATATGTTGGTGCCATATTGAAGAAATTTGGCATGATCAAATGCAAGCCTGCATTGACACCAATCGAGGCAAAGTGTAACCTGAAGCGTCCTGAGATTATCGACGAAGGCGAAATGCGAAAGTATCCTTATCAAAGCTTAACTGGTGCTTTAATGTTTCTTTCAGTTACGACACGCCCGGATATTGCGTTTGCTGTGAGCTATATGAGTCAGTTCAACAGCAATTACAATGTCGAGCACTGGAAGGCAGCGAAACGCATATTGAGGTATCTAAGCGGTACAAAGAAATTGGGCCTGTTATACAAGCAAACAGGCGAGGATCTATTTGGCGTGGTCGATGCAGATTGGGGAGCGAATCTAAGCGATAGGCGCTCCTATTCAGGGCAGGCGTTCATACTATCTGGAGCAGCTGTGTGCTGGGAGGCACGCAAGCAACGTACTGTGGCACTATCGAGTACTGAGTCGGAGTACCTTGCGATGTCCGAAGCGGTCAAGGAGGCACTATATCTGAAGGCCCTACTAAACAGTGTTGGCAAAGACTGCGCCACGGTGCGTCTTTATAATGACAGTCAGAGCGCACAAAAACTGGTTACAGGCTTCGGGTTTCACCCGCGTACAAAACATATAGATGTACGCCACCACTTCATTAAGCAAAAATACCTGAGCGGCGACATTGAAGTGGAGTATATGCAAACAGAACATATGCCAGCAGACGTCCTGACTAAAGGTCTGAGCGGGACCAAACATCGCGAATGCATTTCGAGTTTGGGAGTTACATATATTTAAGTTAAGAGTATTGTTACTTTAAGGGAGCGTATTGTTATTATCGCGAATAGTATAATAATATGTTAAAGCAACAATGTTTACATAGTTCTGTATGCACAATGTACATAGAGTTACCATAACATCCTGTATGCGAGTCTCTTAACAGATCACTGTAAAGACGAGCAGAACATTGATTAGCGTAATTTAGTCGTTCCATTCCATTAAGCAGAGAAGGTCGCGCAGCGCTCGACGAAAAGTTATTAAAACGTTTATATGAACATACCCTCTATAGAAATCTCCTCGTGTTATTAATGGTCATGGGCCCGGTGTTTCGATCAGTAAGCCTGCACCCATAACCCCAAATTTCCAACAGTACGAATTGTCAGTAAATTTAATTTTTGTATTATTTTCAATTTTGTTGGGATTGTATAACATATTAGCCATGCTTAATTTAATTGTGGCGCCTATTGAAGGGTATATAAGGCAAATGTTTTACATTGAAACTTCAGAATTTATAAAAATGAAATTTATTGTTTTAATTATACTGGTCCTTTTGGCAGCTCAGGCAGTAAGTAAAATAAAAAGAAACAAGACACAGCGTTTTTTGCATTTGGCATGAATTGAATATATTTATTCATCTTGTTAAATATGTTATAAGTCATAATTCCTTAGTGTTCAACTTTAGAAAAGCATAATATTAATGAATATTTACTTGATTTGAATTATCTTAGAGCTGTCAAACTCCACCGGTACCCCCTAGAAGGGCCAGAAGGACCAGAAGGACAGCGCGACCTCCCGGGTATATTTGCTAAAATCCTGCTAATGGCACTAGAAGGCCATAGGTAGATGTGGAAATGCATCAAGAGAATTTGTCTTAATATTTGAATCGGACAATAAAGCGTAACACTTCTCAAAAATAAACAATTGATGTGCGTTCATTTATTAATATGTTTTATTTATTAATATCTCAAAATGGAACATATTTAGTTAGGGTCATACATTTATTTAGAATTCCTAGGGTGTATATGCGATATATGTCTTCTCCAAAAAGAATCTGAACGATTGGCAAATTACATGGAAGATATTCTAGAAATACATCACCTATTCGCAATTATGGCTCTGGCAACAAATAATTAGCAAACGCGTAATAATATTGATAGCTAACACTGATTTTAATCAAAAATTGATGTGATACCGATAGAAAACTTGTGGGTAAGCATAAAAGGGAAGCTGTAATATACCCACAAAGTACTCCGTTTGGATTGTGTGGAAATTTAAGTTCCCAAACTACAGGAACTTTTGTTAATTTATTAATACAGTAATAAACGAAATAGTGTGTTCATTTAATATCAACGGTCGTGTTAATTATATTAAAATAATCGATATTGTTGCTGTAAGTCATTTGATTTAAAGTACTTTCTTAATTTTTTTAAATTTGTTTGTTGACAATTACAAAGATAATTAAGATTCCAAGAACTAAAAAAAAATTATTTCCGCATTATTTTAAATTTAGTAGGGATTGTACAAGATATTAGTCATACTTCATTTAATGGTTTCGCCTATTGAATGGTATATAAGGCAAGTGTTTTAAATTGAAACTTAAGAATTGAAAAAATGAAATTTTCTCTTTGGATCGTTTTAATCATTATGGCAGGTATAGGAGTAAGTAAAATAATTAGAAACGATACATATTGCTTTGGCATTTTATATGAATTGAAGATATTTATTCATCTTGTGAAAAATGTTGTTAGTCATAATTCCACTCCGTTCAACTTTAGACAAGCATAATATTAATTTATATTTATTTGATTTGAATTATTTTAGAGATGGCCTAAACGGAAAGTTTCCCCCAAAAGCGTAGAGGCAGAGGATTGAATGCATTAACTCAATTTTCTCAAATTTTTATACATTTCTCCGCATTATTTTAAATTTTGTACGGATTGTATAACATATTAGCCATGCTTAATTTAATTGTTTCGCTTATTGAAAGGTATATAAGCCAAGTGTTTTAAATTGAAATTAAAGAATAAAAAAAAATGAAAGCAACTGTTTTAATTACATTGGTCCTATTGGCTGCTCAAGGGGTAAGTCAAATAAAGAAAAACGAGACACAGAGCTCGCTTTCAGCATTTACATGAATATGTTTTAAGTGATAATAATAATTCTCTGCGTTCAACTATATTATTTAATATTTCTTTGATTTAAATTCTTTCAGGCTTACGCAAGGTGTTATGGTTGGTGCTTCAAAAGTAAATAAAGTTCTCCTTTCTAGTAGGAGATGTAATCCTACCAATGGCACTAGAAGAACATGGGTAGATTTTAAAATGTAGTTTATATAATTTTTCTTAATTTTGGAATATAAAAATATAGCGCATATAAACTTAGTTGATGTGCTTACGTTCATAAATATGTATTATTTATTAATATCTCAATAGGAAACATATTTGGATAGGGTCATACATTTATTTGAAAATTGCTAGGTTGTACATGCGATATATGCCGTTCTCCAAAAAAGAGCTATAGGATTAGCAAAATACATGGTATGTTTACATAAAGACGGTTTGAGTTTTTCTTTTTTTTTCGCACATTATTAAATATTTTTCTAGAATATGTGTGTGTTCAGTTTATAGACATAATTGAGGTCAGCATACATTTACAAGAAACATCAAAGGTTATACACACGCACGCATTTATAGATTTGTTTTGTATATGTGTTGGTTCTAGTCTATTACAGTTCACCGCAAATGAAAGGTAAACAATATTTCTGCATATATATATATATATATATATATATATATACATGTATATGTCTACATATTTTTGAATACTGTGCTAGGAACTTGTGTACCTATTCAAAATTGAGCTTATAAAATGCTGCACGAGTTTTTCTCGCGAAACGGATTCACCTTCTGACTGGTGAATCCACTAAGCAGACAATCATCCGACTCGTGATCTAACATATATTTCATCATTGCATTACAAGCCTCCGACACCTGGATGCGTTGTATGCCAGACTCGCGACGCAGTTGCTCATTAATTGTGCGCTGCTGTTGCAAATTAGCAGCCATTATGTCCAAAACGGCAGTCTCGGCAAGACCTATGGTGAATGCGGTTGAAAAATGCGATTGCTAGCGAATTGCGATTGCAGCTGCAAAGAAATCACTTCAATTTAAAAACATTGCGTTTTTTCAAAAATCATACTTGAATTTACCTTTAGAAGCTTAATTTAGGCACAAGCTCGAGGATCTTGAATCACCGAAAAATCAATAGCGTTTGATTTTCTGCTGTTGAATGTACATGTTATTAGCGAGCTATCGATAACAATAAGTTTTAGCAGCTGATTTTCAAGTGCTGCCAACTTGGCGGAAAGTTAAAGGCATTTTGAATTTTATAACAGTTTTATTGAAATTGCGATTTAACATTTGTTTTAATCGTACCAAAAATATGTATTTATATAAATATATGTATATATATATGGGCATAAATAGATGTATTACGTAAGCATGCTATAAAAATGTAATATATTATAATTAAAATGAATTCAAATGTTTCAGAATTGTAAACTTACTCGGGCATTAAATCTGGCTGTGTTTCATTGTGTTCATTATTATTGTGAGCTTCTGTTGGATCTTTGGTGCTAGACTCCAACTGAGCTTGGGGCTTTCGAAACGCATTTGCCATTAGCAGAATATTCCTAGCGATACGCTGTTCATCTATACGCCTTTGCGCCGTATGCGTTCGCTTATCCGCATTCTCTGACATACGCTGCTCGAGCGGTAAGATCGCTGCAGCCAAGATGGGTTCCGGATTTGTCCAGATCTCGGTGCCGGGCGTTTCTTTGCCAGTTGTTGGTGAGAATGCAGGTCGTGCGGGTATTAACGGTGAACGCACACAAACACTAAGAAACAAAACTTATTTATTTTTCGACTTATTTAACAATTAGTCACACTATAAATTCGTTTCAAAAACTTGATTTGTCAATGCAAATAGCAACAAAAATTGAAATTTCTTAATGTGTATTTGTTGGTATTTTTGCCGATTATACGATCAACTCGGCCCCAGGCTTGACACTCGCTGGCTCATTGTCCTCGCTCGGTTTTAATCTAGAACGAATTAAAAAGGAGACAGGAGACAGCAATGAGCCCAAGTGTCGCGCCCTCGATTTGATTACTAGCGTGTTGGTAGCTGCTACTCACTTGTTCACTTCCTCCAATTTTTTGAGCAAACGTTCGTTCTCTCGGCACACAATCTCCTGATCCCTGAGTATCGTTTCGCGTACCGTAAACAAATGATTATTCTCCTGCCGTAGAGATTCATTTTCGGCCATATAGAGTTTAACCAGCTCGGCCAGCTCGGTGCCATCGAGTTCGGGTAAACGCTCTAGATCCACTTTGGGCACAGCTATGCCGCCATCGCCAGTGTTAACCCGCTCCAATTGCTGCTCGATTAGGTTGCCAGCGAGGCCGTCAATCGGGGCTGACTGATGGTGCAGATTCAGGGCCGCCTTCAGATGTTCATTCTCCATTTGCAACGCGTGCACGTCCCGCTTCAGACTGAGTATGAGCGCCTCTCGCGGATCCATCATGATGACGGGCTTGGTCCGGATGCGCTTTGCACGGGATGCATAGCGCAGGGTATTCAGCGTCTCGGCATGATTATAATGTGCTGGCGAAACGCAGGCGATCATCAGCGTTACACCGTTCCCTGCCAGACTGTCAGCCAGCAACTTGGTCAACTGACTATCCCTGTAGGGAATGTGGCCTGATCTCTTCTTGTTATCACTCAGCGATGAGATGCAATAGCCCAGAACCATTAAGCTCTTGTTGATGTTATTTGCCTCCTCCAGCGTTTTGCCCTCGCTCATCGTCTTCTTGGTCAACTCGCTGCCAGCCAAATCCACAAAATTAATCTTGCCATGTTTGGAGAGAAAGACGCCGCCATCGGTTTGCTGATCCGATAATATGTGTACTGTTAGTATCGTATGCGAACGGGATGAATGATCATTCATCGCATGCGAGCCCACAGCACGATTTCGCATGCCTGCAAAATGTTAAACAAAATTCATTTCTACTGCTGTCTGAATAAAATGTATGTCTCAAGAGCGCCCATTAAAGCTCAACTCCACTTACCCTCCTCCAGGACAGCCAACAAATCGTCCAGTTCCTCACAGTCAACGGTAAATAGATTCTCCACAAAGAAACCGCCCGATTTCTTGGACCAACGTACGGCGAGCGGCTTGCGTGCACTTCCCGGATTAAGCAAATCGATTACCTGTTCATATAAAATGCATTTCAATTTCGAAAACCAATAATGAAATTAAGGCACCCCTTGGACTCCTTGGACTTGATCAAACAAATCATCTAAAATGCCATGCAAACTGCAGCTAAAATTCACGCAATGCGACAATTTACAGCGAGCATGCATGAGTGGGCAAAGGGATGAGGAAGGGGTTGTAAAGTGGTCATTAAATAGAGGTCAATGCAATGCATGCCAGAGTTAATTGTATGAGCAAATACTATTTGCCAAAGGTCGGAAGCAATCAGTTATATTGCAAAACAATTTTAATTAAACATTAGATCAATCGGAACCGCCTTACGTAGATATCAGATGATAAAAGAGCTATTCGAGTCGAGGTTGTGGTATGCTTAAAACTGAACCGGTGTCGTTGGAAAGGTCAGTCTGTTGATATCAGTTGATATGTGATGTGGTGTAATTATTTGAAGATTATTATTATGATATACTTGTTAATCACTCACCCGTTCATTGTAAATCTCCATAAAAGAAGCCTTGAGCACATAGTTAACATCCTTGCGATTCTTAATCAACTGGAAGAGATACAAAAACGAGCGGAAGATCAAACCATGACCCGGATCCTTTGGATTCGGCTTGCCCATAAACTGCAAAGATAACCATCAATAAATCACACCAATATATCTTTTAACTTATATCAAGTGAACTCCGCTCACCAAATCCGGCGGGCCGGTCAATGTATGCGTTTTGCCGGAACCCGTTTGTCCATAGCAAAAGGCTGTGCAGCTGAACCCCTCTATGCCCATCTCAATGATGCGCTTTATGCCCGAGTAGTCCAGTATATCCTCCTGAGTGGCACCCGGCTCAAAGACCACATTATAGGTAAAAACTCGTACACTGTCGCGATTATGCGAACGCTTCGCACCCGTGTCACTGCCCTCGATCTGACAGAAAGAGAGAGAGGAATATACTCAATATATATGTGGAAAGTAAACAATTTAGTTTTCGGGTCTTACGATGACTTGTCCATTGCCAGGAAACTGTAAAGTTGCTCCATGCCTGTCACGTTTCTCCTTGTCATTCAGTGGACGGACTCGGACCACTACGTTGATATTATCCTCGGGCGTGGAGGGCTCTTCGCTGCCCGTGCCCGTTGACTTGGAGGCCACAACTTCCAAGGTATCCGCACTGCCAATTCTGAGTAAGGCAAATGAATAACTCATTTATGTAAATATTAAGTGGAAATTAAGCGAAAAGCGAAATGAACCCCTGCGAGCATTTAATATGTTAATTGAATCGATAAATGGATGAACATCCTAGAAATTGGATACATAAGTAAGGAGACTGTTAAGACTCTTAGTTTGAAAAGGTAATTGTGCTCTAGAAACACCTAGTTATATAAGTTGTATCTTTTGCTTTGTTTCACAGCCAACAGATGTGAAAAGCCACGTCCTCAACTATTTCATCACAATATATACGCAACGTGTTTAATTAATCACTGGTCTCTTGGACTTGTCAAGGTCAGTTGGTATGTGGTATTTTGTGGTCGTTAATTCAATTTGTTTTAACTAAATGGAATCTCCGTGCTCAAGCGCACCAACGAAATTTTGTTATTGTTATGAATTTTATTTTTTTTTTGATTTGTTATGGTCAACAATGCTAAAGTGTTTGTTCCAATTCCCTTGAACTTGATGACGTTCCTCTGATTGAGGGGCCCTATAAATAGCCCAAGGTTAAGGGTGGACGCAGCCTAAACTCTTGTTTTTGTATTGTTTTTTCTTGGAGTGGGATTTCCTTCGCTGGCTTAATTAGTTTTTTGGTGGTACGAGTAAAAAGTTCCTGGCGTTGTTTCATATGATTAACAAGAAATATTTTCAATGGAATTTTGGAGCTTTTGGTATTTCCATAATTTGTGTGAATTGAAATTTGAATTGTAAACAAGTCGATTGCTGTGAATAGCACCGAAGAGCTCAATTTAATTTCGTTCGTGTGTGTGCTATTCCATTCAATTATTAATCCAATCCAATCGAAAGGCCTAAATAAATCAACAAATAGTTTAATTGAACAACGCAGCGTATACGTGATATGGACATTTTTTCATCCTTAATTCATTATCCATTAGCGTTGACATTTGACATATCCAAGTAATTGGAATGTTAAAAACTAATGCATTAATGATCAAAAACTTGACTCTCTAACCATACTAAAGAAAAAGACCAAAAGTATGAAGCATGTGTGTAAATATATTAATCAGGCACAGAACTTTTGATCTACGCCTCAGTTTGTGTGCACTTCGTCAATATTTTAGACGAGGCAAACGTGACAGCAGCAATTAGCATGAACACAAACAGAGCTGGTTTACTTTTACCCCAAGTAGTTTTTGGGCTAATAAGTCAACCAATCGAAAGTTCAATCAACTTTCATCCACTTCAAATGGATGCTAAATACTTAATAAGCCAACGTATTTCTAGTCGACTTTCGTCTAATGGTTGTCTTCTTTATTCAAATAAAAGGTATAATCTTTATTTATAAATATTGATTTCTTAATGGCCTCAAATAATTGATAGCTATTCATTATCCTTTTTAATAGGGATACAAGTTTGCTGTCAAAATATATATTTTATCTTATTTTTTTCTATAAAAATCGATTTTAGAGTTTAATAATTATGAATTAAAAAGTGTATAAAGTTATATACAATCAAAAAGCTAATAATGAATAAATAATAAATGCATAATAATAATATAAATAGAGAAGATATATATCTGCATAAATATCAGTTACTTTCATTACAAGACAACACTAGATCATTAAGATGATGTACTTAAGATCTCAATAGGAGTAATAATAATTGTACTACTTTTGTAGGCCATAATACTGTTGATTTTTTGTTTAGTCACAACGCACCAAGCTCAATTTGTTGAGCATTATTGATAATAAAGTAGAACTGACTAATTTATTGGGTGCTCTACATATGAGGTGTTTACAGGCAAACATCAGCACGTGTCTTGTACTTGAACATATTGACACCAATAGCATTTGTTACTTTAATTGATCAGTTATATAGCATATATACATAGCGTACATATGTTCATGTAGTGCGCCCATTTAGTTTTTATTAGGGGCTTCATAATTATTAGATAATAAGTATTCAAATACGCTTTTATTAATGTCCGTGTCGATAGTTACTTGATTGATTATATATATATATATATATGTATATATTTTTATTATGCACATGTGACACAATAGAAAACAATTAATTTTCCCCTGGCTTAATATTCAGTGTGGACTTGTGCGCAGTTTACATTTTTCTAAAATACCACAGACCAGACATTCATATATCTTTATCTATATCTAATATGGATTTTTTTTGTCATGCACAACACGGTGGTTAGGTCATTGTTATTATTCAATGAAGCAACAGGGACATGTTCCGTTTTCAAATATAATCAAAGTTGACATTTCATCGCCTAAACTTTAGCAACACACGATATGGTTATTAGCAGACGTTGTAGCTATATAGATACTATACGGAAGCAAACGCGCCAATAAAAGTGAGAGTTACACTTTATTGTTGCTGTTTTTTTTTTTCTCTTTTTTATTTGTTCTGTCTCGTTGGCTGAATTGGTATTCGTTATATTTTATTTGTTGTGCAAACAATGCAACAATGAAAACAACAATTTCAACAAAATAAACATTAACTGGCCATACAATATTTATATGGCACGAAATCTCGACTAGACACATACACTTAAATCACATGACAAATACTAAAGTTAAGGTACATGCTATCGACTGAGTCAATGTCCCTATTGGGCATTTATAATTCATTATTGGATTCTTTTGTTGTCATAAAACACTTTTGGCAGGTCAATGCTATAAAATGTTCTGTGATAATGACTTGAGAAAGGTGCGAAATCGAACCTAATATGTAGCAATTAAGTTTGGAAATTGAGATTAGATTTTATTTATGAAATTAAATTTCTAGGCACTACAAGCGAAAGAAAAAGCTTTGAACTAAATTCGGAATACATTTTGATAATGTTTAAGAGACAATCGAATGACGTTCTGATAATTAATAGACATCAGGAAGCAGGAAGTTAGTATTAATCATTTAAATTACCTCTTGGCACAAGTTCCATCAATTAACCAATTGTTCGACATAAGCTTAACTACAACCCAACTTAATCCAAAGAACCGACAGGTCCTTAACCTTAAGTGCGACTGACTATACTATTTAATAGACCATATAGTATATGGCTGGTTTCTCAACTACTATCAGTATACAAACAGTAACAACGCCTATCAAAACAGCTCTAATGGCAAATAAAAATATGTCACTTTCGCTCTCGATGCGGGTCAGGCAGGACTCAGAGGACTCGTCGGCTTCAATATGCTGGGTAATTACAAAATCGATTTATGTCGTGCTTGCTCAACCCCCATTAGAGAATTCCACAAATTGTTTAAATATAAAACTTGACCAATTGAGGGTACTACTGTCTGTCCCACCATCCATCCGCCTTTCCGTCTCTCCGTCTGTCTGTCTATCTGTCCATTTGATTGGCCGTCTTTTGACTTATTGTGCGTGGTCATTATGGCTTGTGCCTTGTGGGTATTGCTATGATTCTAGGGTTCTCGTTTTTTTTTTTTAATGACACCTCATCAAGGGTTGGAAGCCCCTAGTCACGTTATTAAGTAGTATTGTAGTTTTATTATTCAGTTCAGCAGGCAAATGGATTGCTGCGTAGATATATAAGAACTACTAATAACTTGCATAGTTAGTCATTTTAATAGTCTTATTAATATTTCAAACAGCTTAGCACCGTTTCTCACGACTAATCAAAGTAAAAGTAATGTTGACCTTTAAAATATATCAGTTTTATTTAAAAAAAAAATTATAGCAGGCTGTGCTTAAATGATCGTTTTTAATAGTGAAATTAGACTGATGGTGTTTAAATTGCTTCAACGGTAGTGAAAATCAACAAAATGAAAATCGTGTAATATTTCAAGACAGAACCAAAAGAAAAATAACTCCATATAAGGTATGACTATACTTCCATTTTATTTATATTTGATTTATTTTGATTAATAACACTAAGATATCCGCTGCACAATATACGGTTAGGCTTGAGTATTAGGGAAATAAACTTTCCCAAAAAGAAATTTAAACAAAATCAGCTGAAAGGGAATTTAAAACGCAATTTTCGGATAACATATTAAAGAAGTTCCAGTTTGCGCAGTGCCTCCAAAGGAAAATCTTTGTGGAAGTTTAAAAATGCATTCATTTCATTTATATTTGGGCTCTGCAGAATTGTAGCGTTTCATAATATCCAGTTAAGAACTTTTTCTCTAGGTAATCTTCACTGTATTGAGGGTCAAGAAATATTTTCGAGCTATTGATTACGGTGGGAAGCATCGCAGTTTTATAGTTTATTCTTATGCCCGGACACTTACTCATTTTCACGGGAACGCAGAAAGTACGGCGTATTGCGTGAGCTGCCTCCAGTGCCACCGCCGCTGCTGCCACTGCCCCCACCCTTTTGCGGACTAAAACGCCGCATGCCATTGGTCAAGCTGCGCGAACGCGGCATCCTCGATCCACTGCTGCTGCCCGAGATCTGACGACGCGGTTCCGTTGGTGTTGTTGCCTTGTTGCCGCCCGTTGTTCGTCTGCCACGTCCAGCTGCTGCACCTGCTGCAGCTGGTGCTCTGCCACGTGCCGTGACGCTATCGGCGCTACTGCCACCGCTATTGCTTAGATGTGGCACGCTCGAGGCGCGTCGCACCATTTTGCCGAATAATTTCTAATCACAAGTCTCAATATTGTCACAGTATATTCTTTAGCCCTCTTCTGCCACATGGCACACACGCACATAGACACACACACCCACACACACACACACACACTTAGTCAGAGGGGCCAGTCGAGTCCCGGGCACCGCGTTATAATAAATTCAAAAATAAATTTATCCGCAAGGAGCAGAAGGATCGAACCGCGCGCAACGTCAACTCAACACGAACTGAGCGACTCAAGTTCAGCAGTAACTTTATATATATATATATATATTTATATATTTGTACAGGGTACCCAATCAGATTTATGGTAATTTTGTACTCACGCACACCACGCCATGGAAATTGCCCACTGGTCGTCGCTTCGCTTTACCGTTACTCACCTGTAATTTGCGTGTGTGTGTGTGTTGTGGTTGTTGCTTCCCTAGTCGTCACTCGTTACTTCGTCACTCGTTACTTTTATCTCCCGCCTTCGGCTTTGCAATTAAATCAACGCGTTGTTTTTGGTAAACAAAGTCCAACACCTCCTCCCCCATTGGTTTGTGGTGGTTGTCCTTTTTGCTACTGCCTACTGCTGCTGCCGTTTCTTTTTCCTGGTCTATGATGACCCCACTCTGACCCTGGCCAGTGTGTGTGTGTGTGTATGTGTATTGTGTTGCATACGTTCGTGCTTCCATCAACATTAATAATATTGTCGTGCCTTATTTGCATTCACTCCAGCATAATCATAATAAATGTGGATTATGCATTTTAGATACATATTTTTTGAATACTTCCTTTAAGGGTATAGAGCCCAAGTGCAGTGAACGATTGCCAGTTTCATGTTAGAATTCGTTTAATTTTAACTGCTTTTCACTTTAAAAGTATTTCTCGAACTTTATCATTCCGCGGAATTAAAAATCGGTTAATTATATATGTATGTGTAGTATATATATACATATATATATATAAATTGCATATAAGTCGCCTCTCAGCTCATACTTAATTTATAATATTGAAGAAAATCTCCCACAGCCAAATAAGAACAATTAAAATTGAATGTGGTTCACTTACTGAATGTTTATTTTTCGCATCTCGACTGAAATTCGAATTTGACGTTAGATTTTTTGTTGTTGTTTTTTTTTACACATATATATAGCTAACGATAGTCATTAAAGTTTATCATAAACATCATCATAACTACTGATGCTGGGGTTGAGAATTAAATCTAAACGTTTAGATATAGATCTTGCATGAGCTAACTAATTACATATATATATATATGTACGTATATGTATGTATATATATATATATATATAGAGTAGTACCCATAATTTCGAATGGGTTTCATGCACGAATTTCTCACATATTTACAATATATATATATTCCATTAGATTACAAATATACGAATATACATTCATGTGTAATGTGTATTATGATAATAGATATATTTAAAATTAACTTAGTTTATGCCGTAGCCAAGTCGTCTTTGAGCCTGGACTTCATATATTCATAATCATATATTTGTATATATGTATATATATAGATATATGTATTACTCCACACATATTCTAACTTCTCACTTAGCTTAATTTAAATGTAATTAACTTTTCATTGTTTATTTTTTTTTTATAGATTTCATTTTTTTAATCCAAAGTTGTGAAAACAACGAACATTTTTTTAATATTTTTTTTTAAACATTTAATAAGCGTAATCCATTCTGTAGTGGGTGTTGTTGTTGTTTTTTGTTGTTTTTTGTTTTTTTTTGTTATGGTTTAATATTTAGGATAAGTCGATAAGTAAATCTAAAACACTTCACTTGGCCTTCAGTTGGCCGGGATAGAGTCCCTCCGAGTATTTGGGCCGGCACTCGGCACAGAACCATTTGCCCTGCGGCGCAACCATAATTCCAACGCATTCGAAGTGAAACCACTCGATGAGACAGTTCTGACCATCGCAAGCAATCATCTCGGACACCTCGTCGTAGGGACAGCGACAATAGCAGTATACCGATTCACCTTCACGCGCCAGCCGAGCACCCGCCGGTGGCCTGATCGGATATCGAATATTGTTCGCCTTAAAGTATTGCAACGTTGCAAAATCCGGATTGGGCAGCAGCGCTGGCGGAATGGGTTGATTGAAGGCAGTCGTTGCTGGCGGCGGCGGTGGTGGTGGCGTTGGCAACGGTACGATTGGGGCTGCTTGCAACACAGTCGGCATGGATGATGACGATTGTGGTTGTGTAGGCGGTGCCCGCGTTGCTGTCGGCGTTGCCAGCAAACTTGTCACATTTATTTCGGCATCATCATCGGAGCTGCTATCGCTGCTGTCGCTGTTAATGGCGCTCGCAGCGGGCAACAAAGCGGGTCGTATTTTCAGTGTGGGTATCGGTGGCAATGGTAGCGGTGTCGGCTGTTGCTTCGCCAGCACCATTGCTGGTGTTCCTTGCTGCTTGACACGTTTCGCTGCACGTCGACCACCAACAGATCCAGCGCTGAGCGGTGTGCGTTTGGTCCGCTTCCGTCCACTGCCATTGCTGTGCTGATGCGACGAGTTGTGATGAGGCGTCTGCTGATGCGGCGTCTGCTGTTGCTGCTGCTGCTGGTGATGATGATGATGATGATGATGGTCGGCGGCAGCAACATTGTGATTATTGCTGCTGCGATTGCGCTGCTGCTTTGGCGGCGTCGGCAGATCCTCCTTGGCCCAGGTGAGTTGTGGCGGCGGCTGTGGCTTGATTAACTGCATGCCAACCTGCAACGGTGGCGCCAGCACCGCACTCATATTTTCATCCTCGCTGGTATAGCCATAGAATTTGTTGGGGCGTCGTGTGCGCTTGGAGCGCTTCAGTTGACCATCGGCATCGGAACAGCTGCTGCCCTCGCTCATCCGCGGCTGCCAGCTGGGTCGATGTGTGATCGGTGTCATGGCCGAGGATTCGACCAGCAGTTGATGATGCAGTTGCTGCTGCTGTTGCTGTTGCAGCTGTTGTTGTTGCTGCAGCTGTTGTTGCTGCTGCTGCAGCTGTTGTTGTTGCTGCAGCAGTTGCGGCGTTGATGCAGCAGCCATTTCCATTTGGGGCAGCAACAGTTGGGTCATCAACTTGGCCTGGCTCGTCGACGTGGATCTGCAGGTGGATTTACGTTCACGTTTCTTCTTCTTGTTCTTGCTGACACGTTCACGCCGATCCTTATCCGCAAAGGCGGCCGCCTCCTCCGGCAGCGATGGCGTCGACGGCCGACTATTCTCCACAATCAGATAATTGTTGCCGGCACCCGGATACTGTTGGTGGCTTGAATGCTCCGCCGCCAGACGCTTCTCGGCCAATTCCATGGCCTTTTTCTGGGGATCGGCATCGTAAAATTCCTCATCCGTATCGGAGACAGCCGTATCGAAATCAGATTCATTGTACAATGGCGCTTGGGGCGTGGGCGTTACTGGGCGTGGCTCTACTGTCTCACTGACAGCCGTCACATTTACATATTCCTCGCTGTTGTTGTTGTTGCTATTGTTGTTGCTGTTGGACTCGGAGATGCGATCGTTGCCCTTCTTCTGGGCGGGTGATTCATTGTCCGAGTCATCGTCGCTGGAGCTGCTGCCGCTGGAACTGCAACTGCAATTCGAGCCACACGAACAACTGGAGCTATCGGAATCCGAATTGGAACTGGAGCTGCTGGAGCTATCGCTGTCGCTGGAAGCGGCAGTGCCTCGCTTGTTCGCCTTCGCTGCTTTCCCATGTGACGATAGCTTGCGGGGCGAGGGCGGTGGCGTTGGCGGCGGCGTACGTTGCATTTTACAATAATCATGATCGGAGATGATCACATGCAACTTGACCGGACGCAACTGCTCCTCATTAGGCTCAATTTCAATGGGCGTTTCGACTTCCATTTTTGCAATAGCCGGCTGATGTTGCAGCAGATTCTTCCATATGTCGGGCACTTCTTGTGGCTCCACATTTGCCATCTCCTTCTCCGTTTCCTCCTCGTCGTCGTGCTCCTTGTTCTCCTGTTCTAGCTTGGGCTTGTGCTCCTCCTCGTTTTCTGTTTTCGTCGGTGGCTGCAGTTGCTCCAGCTCCATTTTGGGCAGCTCTGCATCTAGCGACTCCTGCTTTGGCTGCTCCTTTGCCAGCTCTTCGCTGTCACTCTCCGAGGCTGGGGAGAGCATTACCCGCGGCATATCCAGATCATCGACAGAGGCGCGCATGGGCAGTGTCGTTGCCTGCTGGTTGTCCTGCTGTGTGCCCGTGCTTCGTGGCGCATCCGAATCGCTGTCATCGCTGCTATCTGATTCGGAGAGATTAGGCGCAATGAGATTTAGATCCTCCAGCGATGCCTTGTTGCGCTTGTTCTTCTTGCGTCGCTTGCGAGCCGTCGGCTGCTGCTGCTGCTGTTCCATTTGCTCTGCCGGCTGTGGCTGTGTTTTATCTTTAGCGGCATCCACTTGATGCTGCTCCACTGCCTCCGGCTTGGGTGAGGATAGCTCGGTTTTAAGCTGCGCCAATTGCTCATCCGGCTGCAGCTCGGAAGATGTGCGTCGCGAGTTGTGCGTCTCCTGCTGTTGCTGCAGCTGCTGCTCCTCCTCATGCTTTAGCGTTGGCTGTTGCTCGTCGAATTCCCTAACTGAAGTCGTTGCTGCCTCTTCGATGACATGCTGAGCGGCATGCTTGAGAAGCAGCTTGCGCGAGACAAACTTCTCGTCGCACTGCTCCTCATTGCAAGCATAACGAAAATCACCCAGATGCTGACGCTTATGCACCTCCAGATAGATGGCCTTGCTGAACGTGAACTGGCAATGCTCGCAAACGAATTGCGCCGGTGGCACACAGAAATGATAGACGTGACGCCAGCGTTTCTGCATGCAACGCTTGCAGCTGGCACTCTCAGTGCCATGCTTCCAGAACAGATGCTTGGAGATGTCCTGTTTGTTGCGATACGAGATGCCGCAACGATAGCACAGATGCAACAACTTATGCTTCCACACATGCGCCGACAGCTTGGCCTGTGTGTGGCAATCCTCCAGGCAGATATCACACGCCTGATGCTGTTTCCGCAGGTGGACCATCAGACGGAAGGCGCTCGGCAACGGTGCCCTATCGCACAAGCAGCAACGGAATTGCAACTCGAACGGATTTAAGGTGGCGACACCTGGGCAAATGTGACACAGCAGATCGCTGAAGCTATAGAAATTCAAGCCGCACATCGCACACGTAATATTCGCTTTGATGTGCAGTCGCCGATTGTGGGTGTAGAGCTCTTTGTGGGTGGCGGTCACATAACGACATGAAAAACACTCGTACAACCGCTCATTGAAGGGCTGAGTAAACCGCCCGCCGTCCACACTGCAACAGCTGACCGCATTCATGTAGTGGCCGCCATCCTCGAAGGCTGGCAAATAACTCTTCAGACGCATCACAATGGTCTCTGCATGCAACTCCTCGGCGGTGATGCTATCCACGGTCGCCGTGAAACGATGCATGGCAATCAGATGCAGCACCAGTTGGCGGGCATTGACAGCGATGCGTCGCGCATGATTGCAATACAAGCAGTAAGGATAAACAGCTTTCAGGCAGAGTCGTACAAAGTCAACCATTTCGAATTTGTCCAACGGTCGATCGAGTTGCAGATCGAGCGTTAAAGTATCCTCGCCGGCCACCTCAATGCCATCGGCGGGTGGTGTTGCAGGTGTTTCCATTTGAGGGGGTTGCTGTTGCTCCTGTTGCTCCTTATCCTCCACCTCCTCCTCCTGCTCCTCATCGGGTGTCTGCTGCTGCTGTTGCTCCTGCTGCTGCTGCTCATTTAGACTATCATCCAAATCCATGCACTCGCTGCCCAGCGTATCGCGTCGCTGCAGTGCTGCAGTTGGGGATGCAATTGACTCATCCTCCTGTTTCTGTTCCCGTTCCCTTGGCACATGCGTCTCATCTTCGTCGTCGGTGATGTGGTGGTGATTGTTGTGTGGAGATGCGGGCGGCGTCAATGACCAGCGACGTCGCTGCTGCTTGACTTCAGCATCGGGTAAACGCTGCTGCTCCGCTGCCTGTTGTTGTTGCTCCAGTTGCTGCTGTTGCTGCAGCTGCTCCAGTTGCTGTTGCTGCTGCTGCTCCAGTTGCTGCAGCTGTTCCAGTTGCTGTAGCTGCTGCTGCTGCTGCAACTGCTCCAGCTGCTGTTGTTCCTGCAGTTGCTGTTGTTGCTGCAGTTGCTGTTGTTGCTGCAGCTGCTGTTGTTGCTGCAGCTGCTGTTGTTGCTGCAGCTGCTGTTGTTGCTGCAGCTGCTGTTGTTGCTGCAGCTGCTGTTGTTGCTGCAGCTGCTGTTGTTGCTGCAGCTGCCTTTTGGCCACCATTATGGCCATGGTGCGCTCAATGTCCAGTTTAGTGCGCTCAAATTCGGCCAACACCTGCGGCAACTTTGACGCCGGCGAATCTTCATCGTCCACATCTTCCGGTGAAATATGGGCGGGCATGTGCGTTGCCTCCAAAAACGTTGATGCCGTTTCGGTAGCCGTTTCCGTATCATCCGATTGCGATGAGAAGCGTTCTTGCTGCTGCTGCAGCTGCACTGCATCCACTGTGAGCAGTGTTGCAGTGTCTTCTCCTCCTCCTGCTGCTGCAACTGTTGCTGTTGTCGTTGGCAACTCATCGTTTTCATCGTCCTCGGTGTCCGTGCTACTGAGCGCTGCATCCACTGATTTTTGAAACTCTTTGGGCACACGCAACATTATCTTGGGCACGACCAGTCGTGGGGGCACCTCTTCCTCTCGTGGCGCATCTTCAATTGGTGCTGGAACTGTATTAAATTGATTAGTTGTTGTGACTCTTTACTAGAGTAGCCCATCACAAAGGCGTACAAAATTCCTTAAATCTATCTAAATTATCAGTCATCATTAAAAAAAAAAAGCATATATCATAAAGCAATCAATCAATCAGTAAGTTAGTCAGTCCATCATTCACTCAATCATTGCCTTGTAAGTCAAACTATCACTGCTTATTTTGCATAATTTTCACTGACTGACTGCGTAAATGACGAATCAGTCAATCGCTCAATCAATCAATCAGTGAAATCTAAATGAAATGCGTCAGCTGAAACACTACACAGACGACTGCTAGGGCAAGTCACCTGTCTATATTTGTGTATATATAAATATATACATAAAGATAACAACACACTGATAATAATAACGTCACTCGCAATCGTAGCAATAAATATACAATGAAATCGGTTTTTTTTTTTGGATTTTTTAATGGGCACATTTAGCACAACAAGAGAATCCCACTTACTGTTATTCTCCGACAACATCGCTGGTTGCTGTTGCTGCTGTTGAGTTAGGTCCTGCTCCATTGGCACGGCAGAGTTGCCCGAGTCCGGCAACTGTTGCTGTTGTTGCTGCAGCTTCTCCAGCAGCTGCTTGCTCTTGGCAGGTCTTCGCTTTCGTTTCGCTGCTGTTGTCTTTTTGCGATTGGAACTGTTGTTGCTGTTGGCAACATTGTTGCTATTGCTGCCATTTCTGCAACCATTGGCATGGCTGCCCTTGAGGCCGCACAGCGTGCACGGCTGCATTAGTTCGGCACAATCGTGCTCCTCGAACTGGGCGCCAAGCTCGAAACTCGTCTGACAAGTGCAGCAGACTAAATAACGGGCTCGATCCTCCAGCGCCTGCAGCATTTTCCACTCCTCCACTTTGGCAAAGTGGCGCTGGTCCATATCATGCTTGTTCTCCAGATGCAGCGATAGCTTCTCCACGCTAGCAAATACATGCGAACAATAGAAGCAGATATAGCGCTGATGCACGTCGCGCATGTGCAGAAAAAACTGCCAACATTGATAGACAGTGTCGCAGCGTACGCAACGAAAGAAACGTTCCTTTTGTACAGCTGGAGTTGGAGTTGGAGCATCTGTTGTTGCAGCAGCTGTTGCATCTGTTGTTGTTGCTGCTACTGCTGCATCTGTTGTTGCAGCTGCTGTTGCATCTGTTGTTGCAGCTGCTGTTGCATCTGTTGTTGCAGCTGCTGTTGCATCTATGGTTGCTGCTGCTGCTATCGCATCTATTGTAGCTGCTGTTGCTGGTGTTGTTGCCTCTGTTGCTGTTACTTTACACACTTCGTGATGCGCATTTAGCTGCTGGAAATTATCAAAGCTTTGCGCATTGCACTTGTAGCAACTTAGAGTCTGTGCAACGTCGCTGCTATTTGGCACTGGCGCTTGTAGTCGCTGTAACAGCAGCGATGATTGTTGATCATGTTGCTCCTGCTCCGGGCACTGCTTTTTATTGTTGTTGCTGTTGCTATCGCTGTTGTTACCCTCGCTGCCGTTGCTGCCGCTGCGCCTGCGCTTTGATGCAAGCAACAATTGCCATTCCTCCACCAGCTGCTGCTCCAGCTGCTGCTTGTTGTTCTGCTCGCTATCTGGATGATCAATGACCAGCTGCTGTGATGTGGAGCTAACTGTGCTGCTGCTGCTGCTACTGCGGCTACTTCTTCGACTTGAGTTTGTTGTCCGCTGCTGCTGTTGCTCCTCCTCCTTTGCTATCACAGACAATTGCAATGCCTCCGCATCTTGCTGCTCCGGCTCCTGCTGCTCCTCACTGTCCAATTCTTCCAATGCGGCATGTGCACCATTTATTTTCACTGGTTGCGTTGTTGCTTTAATATCAACCAAATTATCACTTGGTTCAGTTGCTGCATCCATTTTGCAATGATCATCATCATCGTCATCATTTTGTTTCCTTTCCTCCTCCACCTCCGAATCGGACTCAATCTTAATGGTCTCCACTGGTGTTCGACGCTCAATTTTTGGCATTTGATTATCGCTGCCCGGCGAGGAGGATTCCTCATCAGCTGGTATGCTGGCGGGCGAAAGATCATTGACCTTATAAACTGGAGATGTAGTTACTGATGTTGTTGCTTCCGCTTCTGCTTCTTCTTCTACTGGTGCTTCTTCTGCTGCTTCCGCTTCTGCTTCTTCTTCTACTGGTGCTTCTTCTGCTGCTGCTGTTTCTCCTTCTTCTTCTGCTCCTGCTACAGGTGGTGTTCTCTCAGTTTCCTTAGCAGCAGATTCATCGTCATCGATTTCGTAGATGGGTGTTGAAGCATTCTCCAAATCGGCTCCTCGCGAATGTTCTTCGCTTTTGATATCTTGCGAGATGTTTAACGCAGATGATGATGTTGACACTGCTGCTGCTGCTGACGAAGATGATGATGCTGATGATGATGATGATGATAAAGACAATGCTCGTTCTCGTCTCGGCAACACACTTATCGTAGGTGAAACATTTTCCTCATCCTGTGATAAACTCTCACCATCGACTCGAAGCACAGGCGACGAAGTTTCTTCTTTAAATTTATGCTGCTCATCTTCATTGGTTTTAATCACTGGCGAGGCTAAAGCGTCTTCAGCTTGGTTACTCGTTTCAATTTGTAATCCTTCTGTTAAATATGATTCCTCGTCCTGAGCAGCACTTTCCTCATTGATTTTCATGGAAGGTGAGCTGCTTGATGCCTCACCATTTTTGACTTCATCTACTGGAGACGATTCCTTACCAGGTGAGGGGGATTCATCAGCATCAGCATCATCAGCATCAGCATCATCATCATCAATGTTAATCGTAGGAAACGGACTCGTCTCTTTTATTCCATCAGTTTCTTGCAACGAACTTTCCGCTTTTTTGATATACATAGCAGATTTCGAGCATGTTGCTGAAGCCGACTCTTTTCCAGGCGAAGCGGGATCGTCATCCTCCTTATAATGATCAATTTTAATCGCAGGTAAAGGATACTTCTCTTCGATTTTAATGTGAATTGCTGATTTTTGGCCAATATGCGATGTGGACGGCACCTCATCAGCAACTGTGGCGGATTCATTTTCATCCTCGAACTCTGTTCTCACAGCACTTTTATCAGCCGGCAATAACCTGTTAGCAGCTAAAGCAGTTGCATCAGCAATGATCTCTTTATCCGCTAAGATTTTCCTTTTGCCATTTTCTAACGTCTGATTCTGATTCTTGTTTTCCAATACATTGTTCAAAATCAGCAGATCTACCGCAGATTTGCTGCTGCTGCTGTTGTTGTTGTTAGAGGAGGAATCTTCAAAGTCATCCTCCTCGCTGAGTGCCGGCGTTGTTTCCGTATTGCCCGCATGGGGCTCAATGTTAGGCGTACTCTTTGTTTGTTGTTGCTGTTTTTGTTCCAGTGTTTTTATCATCTTTTTGCATTTATGCGCTGCCATGACAACAATAACAGAGAGTAAAACACAACAAGCGTTACAATTGTACTATCGATAAATGCTGTTAATCGATTAATTTGCATTACCTTTGCATGCCGTACACCGACTTTGTGTTTGTGTTGTTTATCGTTATTCTCCTCTTTGGAGCTGCTGCTACTGCTGCTGCTGAAAAAATACATAATACATTATTTAAGTTGGTCATTCCGGAGCTGGGCGATAAAAAGAGCAAACAGGAAATGACAACAGCAAAACATAAGGGAAACAACAAAAAATTCAAATTCTTTGAATTCATTTTTGCCAGCCCTGGAGCCGAACGAAGTGCGCACGCAAAGAAAGCACCGATAATTTAAAATACCAAAATAAATTGCGCAAAAAAGTCTGATGCGGAGGCGCAGGCGGAAACGATGGGTAAACCGAAAAAGCAAAAGCAAAACTTTTGTCTATAAATAAATTAGCAAAACTTACTTTAAATTGTATGGTGGAAAATTAATATACATGCAATCGCAATGGGATTTTGTTGTTTTTCTTTTCTGCGAATAATTATGCACGCGTCTCTCTTACCTGCTCGCACGGGCGGACACGCAGCACAATATTTACGCGCGCAAAACAGAGAGAGCGTGAGAGAGAGGAGTGAAACACAACCGACGGCACGGACGCTCGCTGCACAACTGAGCGAGACACTGGCAATGGAGCGCCCAGCGGAGCGGCGGCCGCGCGTTTTTTTCTATTTTTTTTTTTTGTTTTTTGTCGTTTTTCTTTTGTGAACAAGAACAACACCCCTCGTCCCCGTCCCGTAAATGGTTGGATGGATGGATTGGCCAGACGTTTGTGGCAGCAGCGCTTATACAATTTTTTGTTTTATTTTCTAATATTTTTGCGCATTTTGCTGCGTCATTAGTGGGACCAAAATTTCACAACAATGCGTATTTATTACGAAGCGCAATTGAAATATGTTGCGCTGAATTTAAGGAGAAAAAATATTTTTTTTTTGCACGTCTCACATTGCGCTTTGCATTTTTTTTCGCTGCTTAGTAGGGATTTGTGTATGCTTGATTGTTGCTCACGTTTTGCTTAATTCTAGGGCTTGGGCCATTGGCAATATTCGGCACGCACTTTCAGTATTGTATATGGCTGGTATATTTATTATTATTGTTGCTTAAATAACGCGTTTGGAGCAAAATTTTAGCAATTTTATCGACGTTCGCAGCCATTGAACACGCGCAGTAGCCTAGCGATGTACAAGGCATCGATAACAGCTGCGATGACTGTCCAAAAAAATCAACGCTGGAAGCGTCTACAAGCAACGCTGGTGCACGAGTTTTTACAGTTCAGTGGTACTAACAATTTGACAGCTCTTTCCGTTTCCTTTTTCGCGTGCGCCGTCATCATGAGAGCCAAGGGATTGGTTAGTATTCATTAAAAAAATAAACAAAAACTAACGCAAATTGTGCTAAAAATGTGCAACTCAAAGGCAGACAAAGCGGCAAACAAGTGCAATTGATAGAATACGAGGAAATGGCGTGCAACTGTGAGAATATCACCAAAAACCCAAACTGACAGCAGCCGAGTGGATAAAAATGCGACTGGCTTTGGAGTAGTTAAATTAAAGCAGTTACAACTTCAATAAGAAGTTTCACCTTAATGACAGCATGTTTAAAGTGTGACTAGCTTTTGTTAAGCATTATTAAGCTTAAATTACACTTGTAGACATTTAATGCACAGCTATTAACCTAACCTATAAACAACAACAACAAGCTGGAAATAGTGAATTAATATATTTATTTTAAAATTGCAGTTGAAGGAATACGAGGTCGTTGGTCGCAAGCTGCCCAGCGAGAAGGAGCCACAGACGCCTCTGTACAAGATGCGCATCTTTGCACCCGATAATATTGTGGCCAAATCTCGCTTCTGGTACTTTTTGCGCCAGCTGAAGAAGTTCAAGAAGACGACCGGCGAAATTGTGTCCCTTAAGCAGGTGTACGAAACATCGCCAATTAAGATCAAGAACTTTGGCATCTGGTTGCGTTACGATTCGCGTTCGGGCACCCACAACATGTACAGGGAGTACAGGGATCTGACCGTTGGCGGTGCCGTCACACAGTGCTACCGGGACATGGGCGCTCGTCATCGTGCCCGTGCCCATTCCATTCAGATCATCAAGGTGGAATCGATTGCCGCTGCGAAGACACGTCGTGTGCACGTCAAGCAGTTCCACGATTCGACCATCAAGTTCCCGTTGGTGCAGCGCGTCCACCACAAGGGTAACAGGAAACTGTTCTCGTACAGAAAGCCAAGGACATACTTCCAGTAAGGAGTAGGAGGATCACAAAATAATCCTCTTCGTTGTGGAATTAACGCACTGCGTGCGTTTTGTGGTTTTCAAATTCTTTCTTAAGTGATTCTTTCAATAAAATGAGTACGTTGAAGAGTAAATGCATTCATTTTCAATTAATTAATATTTAATAGGCTGTTGAATTATTATAAATTGTAATTTACAAATATTATTTAAGAAAAGTTTTGGCAATTTTTTGGGAGCAAATTGCAAAAAGGTTTGACTGCAAATTGTAAAATTAATTTGTTTTTTTTTTTTTAGCTCCATAAATAATTTATATCTTGTATTTATCAGAAAGATTTGTAGAAAGGTAAAAACAGCGTAGGCAGTCAAATTATGTTTGAAAATTAATTGTAGAAAGGTTTGACGTTGAAGTGAAAATACGGAATAACTATAATATAGGGTAACAGCATTTAAAAACATTAAATTAACTTATTGCCAGCATTCGCACTCAAAATAGTTAAATTGAGCAAGAAACATATGTTTTTATGTGTGACCATTTACATTGTCGAAAATACCAAAACTGTTAGTTAACACTCACTGTTAACTCACAGGCTAGCAAGCTGATTGCATAGTAAGTAACGTAGCTGTTGCAATAAACGGTCACACTTTGGTGCAATCAATAAACTTTTATTTTCGCAGCTGCGTTTTTGGTGTTTTGGTTTCTTTTGTTGAACTGCAGCTGAGCAAATTACATCATTGCATAGTTCAGAGCCCAGAGACAAAAGAACCAACACACATGACACAATGGCGACCGATCGTCGATTAGAATACGAAAGCGAACGATATGCGACGTTCCTCGAGTGGCCCACAAATGCACCCGTCCAAGTCGGAGATCTGGTGAAGAACGGTTTCTTTGCCACGGGCAATTGGCTGGAAGCGGAATGCAATTGGTGTCACATACGCATCGATCACTGGGAGTATGGGGATCAGGTCGGCGAACGACATCGTCGCGCCTCACCCATCTGCTCCATGGTGCTGGCGCCAGGCCACTGTGGCAATGTCCCCATGGTGCCAGCTACTGGTCAACAGCAGCAGCAGCAGCAGTCGAGTGACTGCGAGGGCAATTGCGTTGTCGATGGCGGCACAGCAGCAACAGCAGCTCAGCAGGGACAGACAACAACACCGGATCTGCTCATCGAAGCGAATCGCCTGGAAACGTTCAAGGATTGGCCAGTTCGTATATAGAGTTTATGACGGAGATGGAAACGCTTCATGCTCATTCCGCATCCAACTCAACTCAACTTTATTTGGCAGAAAGTTTCACTAAACTCGTATCCCTCTTGCAGAATCCAAATATAACGCCACAGGATTTGGCCAAGGCTGGCTTCTACTATCTGAATCAGTCGGATCATGTGAGATGCGTGTGGTGCAACGGCGTTATTGCCAAGTGGGAGAAGAACGACAATGCCTTCGAGGAGCATCGACGCTTCTTTCCCAATTGTCCGCGCGTCCAAATAGGTCCACTCATCCAGTTCGCCGGCAGTGATCTTGAGGAGCTGGGCATACAGCCCACATCGTTGCCACATCGACCCAAGTACTCGTGCATGGAGTCGCGATTGCGAACGTTTCGCGATTGGCCCATCGTGGACATACAGCCGGCGGAGCCGTTGGCTCAGGCAGGTCTTTACTACCAGAAGATCGATGATCAGGTGCGTTGCTTCCATTGCAACATCGGGCTGCGCTCCTGGCAGAAAGAGGATGAGCCGTGGCACGAGCACGCCAAATGGTCGCCTAAATGCCAATTTGTATTGCTCGCCAAGGGACCGAATTTTGTGCGACAAGTGCGTGAGATGGCAGCACTAACGCCAACCACAGCGGCAACAGCGCCACAGCTCCCGACGAGCATCGGCAGTGCCATGTGCACGGAGCCCGTTCGCCAGGCCTTGGTCCTCGGCATTGATGTGGGCGTGGTGCGTCAGACTATGGTCCGTAAGCTGTCCAATTCGGGTTGTCCCTTCGACACGCTGGATGATCTGCTGCATGCCATATTCGATGATGCTGGTGGCTCCAGTGCAGCACTGGAGGTCACCGAACCAACAACAACGGAACCAACTGCACCCCTTGAGGATTGCTCGGCGACGACAAGCAAAGCGGCCGCCTTGGAGACGACACCGGTGATACCAACACCAACGACAACACCCATTGTGGCTACAGCTCCGCCACTACCAACGGCCTTGGACAGCAGCTCGCTGCCAAATGGCAATCTGTCGCTGGAGGAGGAAAATCGTCTGCTGAAGGATGCACGCCTCTGCAAGGTCTGCCTCGACGAGGAGGTCGGCGTTGTTTTCCTGCCCTGCGGACACTTGGGTGAGTCTCTGGACACAACGCCATATTGAGCAATCTTTATTGATTATATTTTAATCCTTCGATGCAGCAACCTGTAATCAGTGCGCGCCCAGCGTTGCCAATTGTCCGATGTGCCGGGCGCCCATCAAAGGATTTGTGCGTACTTTTCTCTCTTGAAGCAACTGGGAGGCAACTGCTCCTCCTCCTTTATATATCTATATCTATATATATACTGTATGTTGATGGATCATAGCATAATTCCTATTGTCTACTTTGTACTTGGAACGCCGCAGCTCAAGTTAAGCGTTGGGCGGTGGGCGTGCGTCTCCATCAGCTGTTTATCGTTCACTAACTGATGGCGTACGCAATTCACAATGTTACTAACTTTTCTCTCAGTGTGTCTAAGCTTATTATGCGAGTTTTTTTATACATAAATCAAATCAACTGTTTACTGTTTAAAGAGTGAAAAAACTACAACAAAAAATACCCCTGCAATTGGAGGCAGAATTGAAAAATTAACTCAGAGATAATCTACAAATTGTTCAGTTTATTTTTTGAAAATTGTAAGTGCATGAATTGAACTGTGTTTTTGTGTTTTTTTGAAAATTCTAAGCGCATATAAAATATTTAAAATTTAAACTCAAATCACCTTTTTTTTGGAAATTATAATTAATTACAAAACATCTCTTTTAATTGAATCGAAAAGAATTTAATCAATGATTTTAACCAAGCAATTTTTATTGGTTCTTGTTATTCCTCGACAAATGAAAGAAAGATTTTAATCAAGAAATTTGCATAGCTCTTCTTATTCCCATACATCGACATTAATTAGCCATATTCCTGTTTTTAGCCTCGACATCAACAGCAAGGGTATTTTTTTGAATTCGGCTTTAGTCGAAGGCACAAAGCTGTCTATTTCTTGTTATTGATTGTGTTATTAGTATCCGCTGACTTATTGCAGCACACGAAACAAATTTAATTACAAATACAAATGCAAATAAATATATATATAAATGTTGAAAGTAGCCCGCATTATCAAATTGTAAACATCAATCGCTGATAAGCTCGGGGAATGTAATCCCAGTGGACAACAATTTACGCCGCATGATTGCCTTCTGACAAGGGTTGTTGGTGCACCTAATCAAATATTTGGAGAACTGACTGTGTTTAATCTTATTTCAAACGTAATTCATATTTTTTCAAATCATTTATCTTATATGTAAAAAAAAAAGATTCTTATTTCATTAAACTGCACGCTTCTTGAAGACTACAGAGGTGACCACGTTGCCTACTTTGCCGCCGAATTTGAATGTGGGCGTGGGTATTGTGCAGTGTCTTTCAAAGAGATGCTCAAAGCTCTGAAGCAGCTCGTCCTCCGTCCAGTTGCAGGATGTGATGATGAACCAGCTGTGCTCGTCGTGCAGCAATCGCGCAACGTTGTCCAGATAATTGGTTCGCATCTCCTTTGGATTATCTGGACACAGGCTGACCGCATCGTAGGTGCCCTTGTCGTGTACAATGTCAAAAGTACCCAAGGATTGTGGCTCCTTTTGCGTTAAATCCGCCAATTTGTAATCGATGTTGTGGGAATGATCCTGGGCAATGCCCCTGGCCAGTTCAATGGCCTTGGGTGAGTAATCGACGCCTGTTAGCTGGATGAATCCTTCGTTGGCCAAAGCAATCAGAAACATGCCATTGCCGCAACCCAAATCCAGAACACGTGCGGATTGTTTATGGAGTGTTTGCTGCTGCTTCAGCAGCCAGTCGACAATGCGTTGCTGGGAGTCCTCGTCAAACCAGATTTCGCCCACATCACCGTGACTTTTGTAGTTTTTGATTTCGCGTTCGTAGCTGGTTTCCCAGTAAGCCTTGGTGCCCAATTCCGAACCCTCCAATTCCATTTCTTTGATATTCCTATTCGATAAGTTTGTTGTACGAGCAACAGCTGACTTAACATTTTGTTGTTATGTTATTAGTCGATCGATTGGGTAATCGAATATTTAGAGAGACAGTCTCACTGACTTATTCAAAGCAGCATTTTCTATAAAATATGCTTAAATTTAACAATCTTTATGACAATTATTGGCTTTCATTATGTAAACTTGCATTCCGATTTACTACGCAAGAAACTAAACAGATTGGCGCCAATCTGTTAACTAACATAGTTTGTCGATAGCTAATAATTGCACTGCTTGCTTACAGTTTGGGGCGCACTGCTAGCGGTTCTAGTGTTATATTGGCTGTCATAATATGATTGTTATATTTGTTTGTTGAACTCGTCAGTTGGCTGCTTCCAGACGTGGAGCGAACGTGTCTCGCGCGTCTCGATCTTGAAATGAATTTCAAAAATAAGAAAAAACAAAATCACACCTCACGTTAATTATTTTGTTTAGTTAAGTTGAAGTTTTTTTGTACGTATAAGCGGGCAACAAGAATTGTGGCATAAATAGCGTATAAATTTAGAAGAAACTAGCTACGAGATACCAAATAAGCGCGCTCGCGTGTGTGTGTGTGAGTATAACATATATACATATGTGTGCGTGTGCATGTGTGTGTGCATTATGCTAACTGCTGCTACTAAGCATGCGAGTGAGCGAGCAAGCGAGAGCGAGATAGTGAGTGAGAGTTTGAGTGCAACATTGTGATTGTGTGGCAAGAAGCAGCAGAAGAAGCAGAAGCAACGCCAACGCGCTCCCCTTTCCATTGCATTTGTATTTGTAGTCGTTGGTGCCTGTTACTCTTTTTTTTTGTTTTAATACGTTTCGTAAGTTGACTCCATGAACAAAAAAAAATCTTCAAATTGTTGACTGGCCGCGTTTCCATTTCGAAATAAGCACAAAAGCACACACACACACACACACATACAAAGCACACTATCAGCATATGTGTATGTGTGTATGCTTTTACAACTCTTGCTCAATTTGAGGATCCATTTTATTGTGCTTGCTTTGGGTGTCAGACGTCAGGTGGCGCTAGAACTGCGCCATGACCAATCCCCAAGGTATTCCCCAAAAAACTGCAAGACTCGTGCCCAAAAAAAAAGCAAATAAAAAACGAGAACTGCAAAAAAATCAGCAAGTCAGCAGTTTTCTTTTTTTGTTGTGGTGCCTTTTCGGCGGTTGCCATAAGAACAGTTAAATTTCTTACAACTGGGACGCCCTTATGTATATATATATATAAATATATTTTGTCTTCTATGTGTGTGTGTGTTTGTGTAAAAAAAGTATTTCAACAACGCAGTAGAGCAGGCAGGCAGCCAAGCAGTTCCCGTTATATCGTCGGCATACATACATTTTAATGTATGTAAATAAACAAAAAAATTCGCGTTCTCATTTTTGTTTTTTCCATTCTTATTTTTTTTCGATTGTTTAGCAATTGACAAGAGCACTCTTCACACATTCTCCTGTCTCCCTCTTTCTCTTTCTGCTGTGACCCGGTGCATTACTTAAATATTGAAATAATTGCAATTGCATGAATAATCTGTTAGTGCTGACAGCGGCGGGTGTTTTTCCAGTTTTGCTTTTTCTCGCCGATAAATTTAGCATAATTTGTTAATCAGTGAAAAAACAAAATATCGCAAAGTAATATTATAATTGTCTATATAATTTAAGTAGCAAAATACTGATGAACAATATAATAATTGATTATGTACTAGCAAAATCAACTTTTATTATTCGTTTCGAAGTAACATTAAACATTTAACTTTTATTTTCCCGTAAAGCCAGCTTTATTCGTGGGCAACACTGGCTGCTGCTATTACTCATGCATGCAGTTGACGCTACTTCTCTCATCTTTCCCATTTCTGTTTCCTCTCTATCTCTCTCTCTTTGCCAGCGCTTACTCCCTTCTTCTTCTTGTTTACTGTTGGTTTCTTCGGTGGTTGTTGCAGTTGTTTTATCCATAAGACAATGGCAAAAACAAAAGCATCTTGCATTATTTTAAAACGGTGTTCGTTTCACACTTAGTATTTGTATTTTTTGTTCGTACTACATATACAAAATCTGTTAAACAGTTAAACAAAACTCTCGCCAATTCTTGTTGTTGCTGCAGCATCATGATCAAATTAACCGTTCTCTCTCTGTCAGTCTATCTCTCGCTCTCTCTCCCTCTCTCTTTGGTGCGTGCGTGAATGTGTGAATATCTACCTCTGTGGTTGTGTGTGTATGTGTGTATTAATCGCTACGTTTCAACTCGTCGATTAACTAGTTTTATTTGATTTTGCTGAATGTCAATTTCATTGTAAATTGCAAGTAGCTGTGGCATTTTTGCAACAAAAAATATATTAAAAAACAAGTTGCAGCTGGGGCTTGGTATGTTTACCATTTGCGCTTGAAGGTCAGCTCCTCTCCCCTCTATTTCCCCCTAGCTGACGCTGTTCACATTTTTCGTGTGGCAGCACTAATTGCTTTGTTTACTTTTACTCGACATTTCGGTATTCGGATTCGCATTCACATTTGGATTCGAATTCGAAACGGGAGTGAAATTTAACGGTAGGTAGCATCCATCTTGGTGGAGGGACGGATTGCAACTCTGTGTGTGAATTTCCTATCAATGGCATTTGTTCGCTAAATAATTTGACCTCTTGAGTCAACAATTAATATATAGCCGCTGTCCCATTCTATTAGCTTAAATAGGGTGGGTTCACACAATAGGTGGCCCCCACCCCACCACACCCCACTACATTCATTTGAGTGTGTGTGTGTGTTAAAATTTTAGATCTGAGCTCTCTGTTAACATTGTGTATTTAATTTTATGGCCAACAACAACTACAAAAAAAAACTCTGAGAAGGTCACGGTTGTATATGTATAAATATATATATATAAAATAAAACTGAAACAAACAGAAAACCAGACTTGAAACTCTTTTGGCTGGTCTGATGCTGCGGCAGCTTCGAGAAAAAGATATTTGCTTTAATCGAGGTAACGTGCCAACGATCGCGATCTCGCTGCTCTAAACTACATCTGTATGCACACGTATATATATTTGTATATATAGATGTGTGTATATATATGTGCCACTCCCTTTCCAGCAACAGCAATCAGCATCGAAAAGTTTATTGTATGTGTATCCATATCATGCATTAAAAGTTATTAACGGAAGTACATTCACCTGATCAGTTGAATGAACACGCGCTGTGCACTGCTTTATTTTTTACTTCTACTTTTTATTTCATTTTTTTCTTCCATTTTTGTACACTTTTGCTATTTACGGCGCTGTCGCCAAGCGCATGGACAGCTGTTGTTATTGTTGTTGCCTAACTTTTATTTCCCCAGCAGCCAGCTACTGACGTGTGCAAATCAAATCATAAATAATTCAGGGAGCACGCGCTTGTTTGCATTTGATTGCATTTGAGGGGGAGGTAGGGGGCAATCATGATATGCACAAGTCAAGTGTAAAGCATTCGAGCTTAACACTCTTTGTGTTTGTGACTGCTGCTCACCACAACTCGTGTCACAAGTCACTAAGTGCTTTTGGTGTTCAAGGCTTATCTTGTTTTTTAATTGCACTCTTTACATTTAATGACACATTTAAGTTAATTTTATGCTAGCAATTTACCTTGCTTTACAGCTGTTTTCTAAGAGAACCAACATGGCTGACCATGGTGCCTGACCTATCACAATTTGTAACTGATCAACACTGTAGCTTCTGTTGGACCCTGTCTTTTACATACATGTAACAGTCACTGTGCTGCTCATCTCTAACAGCACATGCAAACCTGACCTGCCGCAATGCGTTATTGACCAACACCTTTGTTGTTTGCTCACAGGATTTCAACTGTCGCTTTGCAGCACTGTCGCGCACAACAGCTGAGACGGCAATGCAAACAATATGAACGGTAAAGAACAAACAGCTGGCAGGGAATTCAAGCGAAATTCAAACGCCTACGCAAGTTTGCCAGCAACAACAACAACAACAACGAAAGAGAAACGTAAACAACAACAGCAGCAACAACAAGAGTCATTACGTGAACCGGAACGTTATGGACTCTCGCACAGTTTGTCCAGCGAATCGATGAAACAGGCCTGCGATTATTACGACGACGAGCCAAGCGATGAGGATTTAATCGAAATCCAGCAAACGCCACAAAGTTTCTATCAACAGCAGCAGCTGCATATGCAGCACTTGCAGCATCCGCTTGGCTTTAAAATGCCGCTAACGATGACCGTCGACGATGATGAACGTGATGCGTTTTGTGACGTAAGCCAAGAGGCGCCTCTAAGCACGCCCATCAAACAGACTGCAACGGCTGGCGGAGTGCCCGATGAGGCGCTCAGTGTGCTCAACGAACTGGATGCCATACTCGATGTGCATGGCGCATCGCAGCTCAACAATGGCAACAATAACTGTTCCTCCGCCACCTCCCCCAATTCCTGCCATTCTCCCTCCTCCTTCGCCTCGTCGGATGATGATAAAGTTGAGGATTACCTAATGGATCTGGACAACTATCTGGAGGAGTTGGACAAAGAAGATCCCCTGGCAATCGCTGGACACGTAAACAGTCTGAGCCGAGAGCCACGCACACGCACCTTGCCGCTGAGTCGCAAGAGGAAGCAGCACAAACTGGCCGAGGATGGGATTGGGCATGGGGATGGGGATGCCCAGCCAGCGCTGGATGACGAGTTCCAGCGTGGACATCAGATGAGGAAAACATTTAGCTGTGGCCTGACGCCAGCAAGCACCACAGGTAATTACTGCAAAGTCTGCTTTGTAATTTGTTTTTATCCATGATCTCAGCTGTGACGTGCATGATTCAGCTCAGCAGGAACAGGCCTTAAAAGTTTTATTTAATGAATCATGTTTTCAGTTGGCAGGGTTTTTGCATAATTATTCTTTTTTGTTTTATAAATCTTGCGGCGTAGATTCGTCATTTGTAATTCAAACTCTTATATAAATTGAGTCAGATTGTGCAGTTTTTCGAAATATATATGAGACGGCAAAGGCTACCGCAAGAACTTGTTTTCTTTAATCAGTAAATAATAATATTTTAAACATGGTAATTTTTTGCTTGTTGAAATAATTATAAAGATTACAGATTAATTGCAGACCGCAGTCAAATTGCCGACATTTAAATTTAACTATAAAAAAAATACATATAAAAAAACTAACAGTTTGTTCCCGTGGAATCTATATTATATAGCAGTCCGATGCTGATAACGTCCATCGTTTTGTTCCAATGTGGGAAACATTAAAGCACGGGAAACGTTTAAGTTTTGGATGTAATATTTTAGTAAACAATTAAGTTGTTTATATCAGAATTCGTTTTTCGATTAATTGTTTCTATGCGAGCTTTGTGATATAAATTCTATTTGTGGCCTAAATGTGAGTTTAGAGCTCATCTTTCTGAGCTTATCTCGTTTACTGATGCTGATCAAGAATATATATATACCTTATAACCTCAGAGACGTATTCTTTAATGCGTTGCAAACTTTTCGACAAAATAATTATTATTACAATCAGTGTTTAATACCCGCTGCAAGGCTTTAACAATGAATAAGAGAGATTATTTATTTTCGGGCTTGCAAAGCTGGCTAATAATAGCTACAAAAAAAACCCGATTCTATCAAGACGGCTTAACACATCTATATATGTATTTGATGAGATCGGAATAACCCGTTAAATACATTTGTCAAACTGTATTTTAGTCTTATTGGGGGCTATAAAAAGGAACAGTATAATTATAATTAGATTTGCTGAATAGCCGCATTAAATTTGAAAAGGTTTTGAAGAAACAAGTCAAACATGTTTTAACGAAATACTTTTGCAGAGAATTATTCAGACTCTCGGAGAACTTTGCGAAGTTAGCCAGCCAATCTAGCATTAGTGAAAGTTTCGCCAAAAAGAAAGGGAAATCATTAATTATTAGCAGTTTATATATATATATAAGATATTCAGATTCATGATAAACTTCATAAGTTTCTCAATTCGATTTGCATTTGATTTAATTGCAGCCACCTCGAATACATCACTAGCAACTGGCGCCATTGTGGGGGATGTGTGGCGCCGTCAATCGATGCGATGCGCCATGTCCAATGCAGCTGACGAAACCAAAGCCGACGAACAGCATCAGCAGGATGAGGAGGAGGAGGAGTCACCATCGCTCTTGCACGCATCCGCATTGCTTGTGCAGCTGCCCAGTGAGGAGTTGGCTTCAATGCGTCGCAGTTTCTCCCAGGGCGACAGTCCAACGCAGTCCCAGTCCGCGTCTGGTGCCGAATCGCGTGCCCTGCAAATGCTCACCGAGGCGCACATCTTTGACAATCTGCTGCAGAACGAGCAGCGCACAGCGCGCGCCGTTAGCGAGCAGCTGGAGCAGCGTCCCCGCCAGTACGGTCGTCGCTCTGAGGGGCATCCGTCGATGAGTCCTGTGCACTGCTGCAGCAGTGTCGGACTGAGTCGACCACAGAGCGCACCGGCGCAAACAGCACAGCCGCCGCATGCAATCATGTCCACGTTGTGCTCCGAGTTGAGTTCGGCGCGCTCCTCGCGCATACCCAGCCCCGTCTCGCTGGCCAGCAGCAGCAACACCAACAATAGCAACAGCAGCAACAGCAGCAGCAGGAGCAGCGGCAGCCGCTACACTACCACAGTCAGCAACGCCGCAGATCAGGATCAATTGGAGCTGGCGCAAACGACACAAACGACCATGTGCAGTGTGAGCAGTGGTGCCGGCAGCAGCAGCTCCACGCCACTGGAGCCGCAACTGTTGCTGCGCGAGAAGTGTGGCTTCAATAGCTATTGGCCGCATGCCGGCAGTCGGACACTGGCGCTGTTGGCCTGCACCCTGGGCGTGTTCAATCTGTGCCGCTTTGCCGTGCTGACCATCAACTATGGTGGCAACTTTCTACTCCAATTCCTGATGCTGTCCATCATCTTTGGCATTCCGTTGTTTTGGCTGCAAATGTGTCTGGGCGCCAAGATTAAAGCTGGCCCCGTTTCCATGTGGAAAATTAGCCCAATTTGCTCTGGGGTTGGCATTGCTCTTGTCATGGTGCAATGCTTTCTGGCCATCTATTCAACGGTGTCGGTTGCCTGGATTCTTGTCTATTTGCGGGATGTGTTCCCAACGCCCACGCAAAATGTTTACCGCTGGCAGGAGTTGGCCTTTCCCTATCGGTACGATGCCGCCAACGCAACGGGAAACTTAACGCAAACAGTGGCCGAATATTTCAATGTTGTGGTACTGCAGCGTCTGCATCTGGCCAAGCATCCGGATGCTAGTGGTATGCGTTTCCATGTCAATGATCGGGTAGGTAAACATATGCGTTTGGTGTCCGCTCATCTCAGCTAACATTCTACGTTCTTTTCAGCAGCTGGCCTTCTATTTGGCGCTCATCTGGGCGGCAGTCTTCCTCATACTCTGCAAGGGATTGCGATCCCTGGGCAAGCTAACCTATCTCATCAATACGTTGCCATTCCTAGCACTGATCGCAGTTACCGGCAAGTTTGTCAGCGTTGTGGATCCAGCCAGCTTACAGGTACAGTAAATCTACTTTCCACTTTATTTTTATATATTATACTAATTGGTTCAACTTTAATTGTTCCTCCTCGCTACGCTTAGAACGCTTTTGCTGCCAGCGACTTTGATGACTTTCTGGTGAACTCGAACGCGTGGACAGCGGCAACGCAGGAGACGTTTCTCACGTGGGGTCTGCTGGGCGCCTCAGTGATTGCCATAACTAGTCGCAGCCATGCCACGGCAACCAAGGCCACGCTGCGACGTGATGCAATAATGCTGGTGCTGCTCACGCTGCTCGGTCTGGGCCTTGTGGCGTTGCTAGCCTTGTGCTGTGCACAGATCCTGCGACAACATGGCTACATATATGTGCCGGGCTCATTTGGTGAGCAATTAAATTCCATTCAAATTGACTTTGACTAATTGTTTTTGTCATCCTTTTTTTTTGCAGAAACACCCGATTGTTATACGTCCGTTTATTCGCTGCAGGCGCACATGAATCCCCAGCTCTTGTCCTATCCACGTTCGCTGGTGCCGCATTATTCTTCGTTTCTGGGTGAGACCTATCGTCGCAATAAGACCATATTGCACATTGAGAGCGGTTTCCAGGCGCTGCGCTTCATCACGGAACTATTTCCGGCTGTTCTCTCGCTGGCCAGTGATTCAGTTTCGTGGATTTGGGCTGCTGTCGCTTTTGCCATGTTTGCGGTCTTTGGCCTCGCCCAGCTGTGCGTCATGTGGAAACCCATTTCGAGTGCATTGGGCAATTCCACCAGCTCTGTGCTGCTCAGCTGCGTTACTGGACTCCTGCTGAGCATTCCGTTTGCCACCGAAATGGGCATTGGCATTTTGTATTATGTGGATTTTTTGCTTGGCGGTTCCTGGTTTATACCCATCATTTGGGCAGCGCAAATCTTTGGCGTATTCCTCATCCGTGGTCGTCCCTATAACGGCGACGATCTGGTCAATGACCTGCGCATGTGCGGTTCCATGTCCGCCTTCCTGGCCCTGTCCTGGAACGTGTTGCTGCCAATTGGTCTGATTACGCTCTCGGTGATTGATTATAAGGCTTCGCTATCGAATCAGTTCTATTATTGGCGCGGCAAATCGTACTTTAGCTACTGGAGTCGCAAAATGGGCAGTCTCATTCAAATTGGCATTGTGCTCATCATTCCGGTCACCGCCATTATTCAGATCTATCGCTACTTGAGCAGCGGTCCATCGGATATACTCGAGGTAAGTTGTTATTATTTAGATTTGATTTGATCATTTTACTCATCAAATTTTGCACTGCTGCAGCGCATTCAACTCTTGTATCGTCCGCCGGAGGAGGGTGACGAGCCGCGTCGTCCGTCAGCACGTCAAAGATCTGCCCAGGAGCGTCGCAACGCCACCGCCCAGCAGCAGGATAGTGCCCAGCTCGATATACAGAATGATGCACCGCCCAAATACACGCCTCCCCCCTCTTATACAACGGCGACGGGTGCCAGACTGGCCAAATTGTTGCGCCAGAGCATCAGGCGTAGTGTGCGCAGGTAAAACCTAGTTGTACACCATTTATTAACTAGATATAAATCAGATATCAACCAGATGTTCTACCTCAAAGCAGGATTAATCTAAAGCTCAAGCCTTGCTTAAGAAGCCCTGACTTATGTAGACCCGATCAGATCCAGATGAAGTTATGTCATTGACAAATTTTAACATGATTTTCAAGCCAGAATTCCATTTCCAGATTTAAATACAATATTATTCAATTGTTGAAACCATGATTAAAAAGCCCTGGTTTCTGAAAATCCGTTAAGTTTTGACGATGTTGAGTCCCACTTTGAAACAGCCAATCTACTCCGATTAGATCTGGCTTCGTGTTTCCGTCTCAACTCTAGACAGACTGCAATCTTAATCTAGACAGCAATTAAAACTAATTTCAATCCCCTTGCTACTTTCAGAGTGCTCGGCGATTCCTCGAGTCGCACTCGGCCCATTCTGTCGCTGGATGCTGAGTCATCGTCGTCGCCAGTTGCCGCACCGCCCGATTACCTAACCATACTAATCCATCCCTCGGGCTCTGGCTCGACTCCAGCAGCAGCAGCAGCATCAGGTGCAGCTGCATCCAGTTCCAGCAGCGGCAGCAGTCCCGAATCCATTGAGATTGGTCAACGGCCAGCTGGGTATGCGCAACGTTCCCAGTCGTTGGGCCGCAAGCTGCAGCGAGGCGCCTCCGCGAGTGCCACACCTCATCCGTACACTGCCGAGGATGTGGTGACCATATTGAGATCATCGGTGCGTCATCGACCGCCGCCACATGGCCGGCAGAGTGTTGGACTTGCCACAACGTTGCCGCGTCCGCCTGGCACGATGTCCACGCATCTTGAGGATGCCTCCTTCCGTTCCATTGAGAATCTGGTGCTCAATGCCGAGCCGCCAGATCAGACGCCAGGCGTCGGCGATGCCCAAAACAGCAGCAACAACATCAACATCAACAACAACAATAATAATAATACATCTGTGATTTAATTGACTAATATCTCGTATCGTATCGTACATATACAAATATATATATATATATATATATATATATATATACATACATAAATATATACAGATATATATATATATATATAGTATATACAGAGCTCTGTATTGAGGATCACATATCTCTGCTTGCTTTCCTAGACTTGATTAGCGCTAGTTAAATACGAATATTATTTTGTAGCTATATCGAATAATGCATACTATATAATATGTAATAATAAACAACTAGTATTTGACGACAACAAAAACATGAGAAAATTGGATTTGATAAGCAACACTGCTCCAAGTTTGGCTTCATTTAAGCGATCAAACTTTGGCTTGTTTGAGGGTTTCTCATTTCTCTTTTCAGGGTTTTTTCTTTGATAAAAACAAATGCATTTCTGATTGGGATTGTTAAACAACGCTGCTCTTTAACAGTGTTGTCATTTTTCCCGTCAAATTTGGCTTAATTTTGGTCTTGGCTTGTTTTTAGAGTTTTTAATCAGATATTCAGAATTATTGAATTTTACATAAATTTTATTTTTAAACCCATTACGCTCTTAAGTAAAAAAGAAAATATAACAAATTAATTTAGCTTTCATTTAGCTGTTTTGGTGTTTGACAAAAGTTGGCATCACTGATAATCTTAATTTATGTTTAGAGGCCGCAGATGCCAGAGATGACAATGGGTGCAGAGACTGGCTACGTGCCACTTATTTAAGTGCGTCGCATTTGCGCAGCCGAACGTAATTTTTAAGCCGATTAATAAACGTGACCAGTAAAATTCTCAAAATGAAACGGAAGCGCCCCAAACTACAAACAGAGATTTGACACAGGAAGCAGCATATATATAGATCTACTCTATGTATAAAGTTCACCATACATTTATTTTTTTGCAGGCATTGTTGTTTTTCTTTTGTTTTTGACTTGCACATTGCATTTTTATCTGGTGCAGACGTTTAATCCGCCGCATTTTCAAAATGGCACGCGCGCGCCAATTGCCAGACAATGGTCGTTGCCAGCCTATGCAAGGGCAATATCATCTAACTTGACATTGCTCAAATGCACATCTGTGTATTTGTTTCTATTGTATAAACAATTAATATAATGTTTTTAACTATCAGAAATCTACTGGAGCAAGGTTTTTAGTGCAAATATTTCGTATTGGTTTTTAAATTACTCTCTGGCGGCTATCTGGCAGCTCTTTGACTTATTGTGAACAGTCGTTAACAGTCGCAATTGGGTCGTTAACATATCTTGAGCATAACAGCAATTATGCATTTGCAGGCTCTGCAAGTTACATGTTGCTAGCGCTCCGGCAGGGTGAGCACATGTTGCCATGTTAAAAACACAGCAACACGTAGCGCCTTGCCTGCGACTTTCCTTCCGCGCACGCGTTTTGCTGGCGTTTTTACGCTCCCAACATCGCGCCGCTCTCTCAAACTTTAACAGAGTCTGTTAAGCATAAAATAAAATGCCAATAGCGTCTGTTAAGTTTTTGTTATTGTGAAATTTGTCGTTGAAGCGTACGGTTGACGGTTCACCGGTTGTTCGCGTACCAAAATCACACACGAGAAATCGAAGTGCAGAAAATCGAAACGAATGAATTAAAATTAAAACGCTGCTTAAGCGCGCTAAGCACAAAAGAGAACTTTGTGAATGGGAAACTTGCATTTTAATTGCAAAATAAACTAAGCATTTTGGCTGCGAATCAAATAAGCTTTTCTCAGCTTCTTTGCCGCTAACAACAACAACAGCGACGCCGACGCCGCCGTCGCAGTTGCCGTCAAAAAAGTGCTCAAACAAGATTTCCACTTGAAATTCCTGAATTTCGTTCGCGACGCGCAGCTAACAAAAAAAGAAGAAATATAAATCGTAATATAAAATAATACAAAAATTTCTGCAAGTGCAGACAGCATTTTTAGTGTGTGTGTTCTGTTTTCAGTGTGTGAGTGTGTTTCTTAATTCTGTGCACCAATTGGCAACACTTTTGGATTAACGGTGCATTTATTTACAATTGCCTCCAACTAAAACGGTAAGTGTGGCCATTTTCTGCTTCTTCTCATTCGCTTACCCAGACTCAATTTGGTGTGAGGTGTTAAGGACGAGGAAGGGCAGAGAGAGGAACAAAAAAAAAACATAGTCGCACGCACAATTTGTTGTAGTTTTTTGTATTAGCATTTTTATGTCGCCGTTTGGCTAGTTGACAAACAAAACGCACACACTTACACACACTTACGCACACACACTCATCCACTCATATACATAATACACAAAGGATTTCATGACGCTTTTGGGTGGAACGCCTGAAGTTACCCTCTGTCGCTGTTGCCTCAGCTCTCTCTCTCTCTTTCTCACGCTTGCTCGCTCACTCGCCCGCAGGCTCAGCGCCGAATGCTGTGCTACTGAAATTCGCAGCTTTTGCGTCGCTCTGTCGCCGTGTCGGTGTGTGTGTGTGTGCGTCTGCGTATCTATGAGTGTGTGTGTGTGTGAGTGTTGTTTTTATTTATTTTGATGGCGTATTTCGGCATTTCGCTTTGTCAGAGAGCGCCCTAACGGTACGTGTGCTTGTATGTGTATGTGTGTGTGTATAGGCTTGTCTGCGTTTAGTTTTCTTCTTCTGCATTAAAATGAATTCGCAATAAATATTGCCTATGTCAAATAAAAGGGCGATGAGCCAGCCTTTTTCACTCCTCCTCTCTCCTCTCCCCACTTCTTCCTCTATCGATGCCGTTCTAATCTCGGGGGACACTAATGTTTTACGACAATTTGTATGGCCACGCAGGCAGTCGGCAGGCAATACGCATAGAGAACTTAATGCACACATCAATGGCAAATTAGATGTACATACTCCAAAAAAGGCAAATGTACTAATAACAATCATTGAGTGCCGCTTCTCTCTATCTCTCACTCTCTCTCTCTCTCGCGTTCACTCATTGTTATTTTTTCCAATACATTGACATTTCACTCATGTCTCATTTGTCGTTCGTTCGGCCAAATGGAAATCGTTTTGTTTTGTTTTTGTTTTTGTCAACTGACAAATTTTGACTGCCATTCCGCTACTTACTAATCGCTTACTTGGAAGAAGAAGAAAAAACACTCGAAAACATTGAAGAGACGGACACAAGTGTAAATAAACAATACTACTTACTCACACACACAAGCACACACTATCTCTATATGCACTTGTTAGAGATGTGCATTTAGCTGCAGCTAAATCGACTGCATATGATCAATGCATAAATGTGAATTATGAATAAATTGCTTTAATATATTATCAACTATTCTTTACTTACTATTTATATAAATTAGGCACCTCCAACTTCCCCCTTATCAGCATTAATCGCCTTTGCTCTTGTTTATATTTCACTCATCTGTAATGGCTATTGGTGCATTTTTATGGCCCGTCGGCCACTTTGGATCTTTGCTGCATGTAGCACTTAGATAAAATACTCCTCAGTTTCTTCTTCTTCTCTTTTTCCCGGTTGTAGTTTAATCATTCGATTTACGTCTCTATTTGGAATGTAGTGCAATCGATTTATTGTTTGGATTTTGTTTAATCGAACCAAACGCTTACAAGCTCGTCCCAAACAAAGTGAAATAAAAAAAAAACAGCAATAAACCAATCGATTATTTAGCTCCACTTTCGATAATATAGTACACATACACATATATCTGTATATATGTGTATATATGTAACTAAATAAACAATCGCAATCGGCTCATTTGCTTTTTCAACGCCATCGTTTTAATGCCTGCTTCGATGCTTGTAATTAGTTGTGAATTGGATTTGGATCACATAAAAGTGTTGATTACAAACACACTGTGTAGATATTGATAGACTGATTGACTGACTGGCTGGCAGGCTGGCCGACTGGGTGCAAAGTGTTTTTCTTTGCTGGCTATTAAGGTTAGCCCCCTGCTGCAGTGAAAGTCTTGGCCAGTCTCAGTCTTGGCTCAGGCTGGCCAAAAGCAAACGGCAAAAAGCCCTTGTGCTAGTTCAGGGCAAAGAAAAGCAGCTTATTTATGTATTATTATGCTCAGCAATCGCTCAAGTATTTCTAAATGAAATCAATATAAAGCAATAATTTTGAACTTGTAATATTTAAACAGATAATAATTCCTTCAGCTAAGAATCAGCTCGAGAACATTCTTAAGTTGTTTAAGTTTTTCTTTTCTATTACTGATAAGCTAAGACCCCAATTCCTCTATGGGTCAAACGGTATTCTTAATGATTTCCTAATTTTCGTAGCTGTTGCTTAATTGTTGGCTAATGAAGCAGTGAAAACGATGCGATCAATTCAAGAAAAACAACTTTGCAACCAGTTGGTAAACCTGAAATCGACTAGTAAAATTAATGCTATATAATTACAGCTGAAGTCTTACAAATTATCATATAAATATGTATGTACGGTTTTCGTAAATTATGTTACCAATGCAAATTTTAAGTTTACCGAACATCGAAAATATTTATCTCTGGAATTTACAATTCTTAAGAATATAAAATTAGAGGAAACTGATTATTTAATCTTTTTTTCGAACGTTTAATTTTATTATTATTTATATATATTTTTTCAAGCAAACAGTTTGCTGCAATTATGGACAAGTCTGAGATGAAGTGACTGCTCTTTAAATTTTGAAGAGAGATTCCTATCTACGCAAAGCTCTACGTCATCTGCACAGTAAATTCTTGTTACCTGCCTACCTAAAACAAAGAACGAGAGAGAGAGAGAGGGAGGGAGAGAGAGAGTGAAAGAGAGAGGCAGACAATTATAAAGTTATCTACAATTCAATCATTTCCGTGTCGTTGCCATTCTGTTTACCTTTTGGCCAAGACACGACCCCAAAAAGAAAAAGAAAACAGTTTGTCAATTACAAATTGCTAAATTTTTGTTGTTAAAGTTAAACTTAAGTTAACGCTGCTTTTGCCAAGTCATGAAGTGGCTCTAAAACCATGAGAGGGAGAGAAGAAGAGAAAGGGAGTGGGGGAGGGGTATTAGGATTGTGTTGAAGAGGTTCTCTATAAAGCATTTGGCATCGCTGGTGCAGCAGCTAAACAT